TAAATAAATAAATAAAACTTCCTTTTGTGTTGTTAAATGCGTACGTGCATATTAGGTTACTTTCGATTTCAAATTGGTGAGGCTCTGATATATTGATAAATGACGTCGAACTTCATTGGCTAACACCTACGTATTTCTACCAGTCTACATCGGCGTCATAAGTTTGATCTTACACTTACTATAGAATATGCACCGACGAAATGTAAACGAACCTTCAGCGCCTTGATGAGAATACCTGCACATATTTTTCCTTCTCGTGCGGCGGTAGCTTTGAAAAGGCTGAGGGCGGGTATGATGCGCTATCCGGGATGGTCGAATTGGTATTGCCGACCGCTACCTCCGCGATATCATTGGACCACTAGGAAGTTCCGTGTTGATAGACGAGGACGCATACCGAGAGAGCTTTACCGGAAATATCTTGGGCCATTTTTCATCCTCCAATCCGTTACCGTCAAGGCCTTACCTACGTGTATTTTCAACAAGGACCTACGACGTAAACTAATTGGACGATCGCATGATAGTTGCCACGTATCGTTGTAACTCTGCTTCGCTTTAGTAGAGCCGAAGTCGATACCCGGCCTCCCTTCTGCAGCTATAATGACATGGGATAGAATGGGACCCAGACCGCAATTCTGGCAGGAGAGAATTAGGCGTGCGGGCAGCGGACACCAAGGGGGGAGGATGAATTCCCTTTGGGCCGGCTACTGCTGTGGATCGCGCTTGAAAGAACAAGTAGGCACACCGACAATTTAGTGGTCCGGAGACCAAAGCAAGATGGACCCAGATTCTCGGGCTTGGTGGTAGCTGAGCTTGCAACCGGTAGAGGAGTGATTGGATGGCGAAGACCTCAAGCCAATCAAGGGGGCCTCGAGTCGTGTTCACGTGACCGAATATGCATGCAGCGAGCCGCTCCCGCAAATTGAACCCCGTTTTTACTAATCTCTAGTTGACCTAGTAAGTGTTTGCTGGCCCCGAATCGTTGCCGACTCTGGTGGATACCTCTCATGTATGTACGTAGCAAATCTCCTCCTGGTAGGCCTAACCGCTTGATCTTCAGGCCTTAGTACCTAATAGCATAACATCTAAGCGGACCCTAGAAAAAATATAAGCATAAAATACAACGATATCACGAAGATCTCGGGTTTAATTCGTTATCTTACGTTCTGTGGGGATATATCATTGACGATGACGATGGACTAGGATAATTCAACTTCTGGATCGTACAAACAATTCGTATGTACGTACTTGATCCCCTGCCTTAACTGGTCGTTACGCAGAGGCACAACCCCTCCTCCTCTTTTCCTCCCAGGACAAGGGAAGCAAGGGGGACCAATAGCCAAAATGACCGTTGTCCAAGCATGGTTCTAACAAGGAATCCCCCTCTTGTTAGAACTGTCACGCTGAACATCCGACTACCTCTATCACAAGCTTCTAGTCTGCTAGGTTAGGTATGACAATGTCTACATGAACTACTCCGTACGTAAGGACGGATCAGTTGACAGGTTCGTGCTTACAAGCCACCACAACCTATCCCACCTCGGAAGATCGCCTGCCCGACCTCATTGGCTGGTACGTGTGTAAGCGAAATCGGTCGGCGTATTCTTGTAGAGCTCTGAGAAGCTGACAGAGCTCAATGGAGCAGGGAAAACTGCAGATAATCTGTCGATATGTGCGCTAGTCTTCGTGTCGACTTCCGAACTACTGGGGGAATTAGCGCTGGCACCCCACCAGCCGCCATTGAACGGTTGCGTCGTACTCTGCGATCCACCCTCTGCTTACCCATCCTGCCTATCTAACTACCTAGGTAAATAGGTACGGTAATACGCAGGTAGGATATAACACATACAAGCCGGGGATGCATGTCATGTTTATAGCGTGCCCCTTCTAGTATTACAGTTCTAGACTCATTGATCAACAGAGTCTCATGAAACTAACCCTAACGAACGTCGCATCGTTGGCATCTCAAGAGTCGGACAGGGATTTCCCTTTTAAAAGACGTTGTCGTATAATGGTTCACGCGAAACAAACTCATCTATAGGCCTGCCTAACTTTGATCCTTGTTGGTGACCTGGCCTGGGGATGTGTTATTGCGAGTGCGAAATCAAGGTAGGAGTATCTGCGTCTCCGTGATATAGATCCGCGATGCCTGCGAGAACGAGGAATAATTCCCGTACCATTCCTTTCCTAATACTAAGTGCGCGTACGGCGGGCTGGTTGCCCTAAATTGCTCATTCGACTTGGCGGAGTACTAGGTAGTTGGCTAAATAGGCTCTCGAATATTGAGGGCCCTCTAGGAAGGCTTTAGTATAATATGGGTGTTCATTGCGGAGGGATTCTCCCATTACTCCTATTAGGTATTCGTGACGGATTTTTAACTGGGTCTGAGAATAGCTTATAAAGTCCAATACAAGTTAGAAATACATAGAATTCCATCATTTCGTCATTAGATATTTTTCAATGGGCCTTGGTAGGTATCCCCATGGCCATATCACGCGTGCATCCACAATCGCATTTTGAAGCCAAGGGAATCTGAGGGTGTCACGTATAAGTATCATAGAGTGAAGCCGACTGCAAGCGCATCCTACATAGGCCTATGATGGTGATCATTTTTGGTCACGCGAAGCCCACAGCGCCACAAGCCAGTAAATAGCCCTTCAGTTTCCTTGTATAACCGGACTTTCTTTGCATATGTACCTACGAAGGTAAGTGTATGAAATCTGAGGCGGTATAGAAGTATACACATGGATTGATAGCTATTACATGAACAGATGTTGTATGTACAAATACAATATAATATGATAATAATACAACATACATACCTGACGATATTCAGGACAGCAATGACGATGACGACGGTGCTGCCGAACCGATCCTACGCAGCAGGTAGGTGGAGAATCGGCGGTGAGATTTGGACCGAATATTTGCAGCCGTGGATGTGTTTCGGGTCGTGGGCGATGGAAATCCCCTAAAATCCCTAAAAGCCCCAGACGCCAGCCTGTCACCAACCAACTACGCAATACTACATGCCAAGAATCGTACCTAATCGTGTCATGGATCCATATAGGATCTCACCTAGATGAACTACACGGTTAGCCGAGATTCTCTCAGATTTCATACTTTTAACACACACACACACACATACACACACGTACGGAGGTACATACACGCATATATTTATGTAGGTAGGTACTTACATATTGACGTCCGCAGGTTCCACATGCCGGATCTCGTCGAACCTGACTTTGCCCGTCCCGCCCCAACTGAGCGCGCTTGCCCCCAGGGCTGCCCGTTAGTTGCCAAACTGCGGCGTTTGTGACACTATGTGTCCGTATTGGGAAACCGCGTTAGGTGCCTATCCGTATTTTGGTAGATAGCTACTTCCATTTCCAAGATTCCGTGGATTGGATTGGAGATTGTGTTTGTCACGTCACTTACATAAAACTGGATAAAGCATAACCCTGGGTACATCAGTTCCAAACTTCCCCCAAACAACTTCAAAATATTGAAATGTTGGTTCGCCGCGTTCGAAATCCGGATACGGGTGAGAAGAAGGGTTTCATCGTCATTTCTTACCCATCCATTCATTCATCCATCTCGCGTGTTTCTACCCCGTGTGTCTCTCCCAATTCCCCTGCTGCCGGGAAACGAGAATTACTACGACTGGTTCCCAAGAATCCATCTTTGCGGGATCACCATACATTGCTACCTTTAATACAGCGCCGTTATACCCATCCTTCCCATCCCTCGTGCAATTTATCCGACATGCAGACCGATACCTGCAGTGACCCGGCCAAGCGCCGGTCGATGCCCAAAGAGCCATCTACATTGCTACATCCATTGCATCCATTGCATCCATCGCATCCATTACACAGGCACAGGTACATACATATGTACATGCTTATTACCAGCTAGCGATTGTTCTCCTAACCCTTTCGGCCGTTTGTTTTCTCTGTCCTTCTCTGTCTCTCCCTCTGCAGTGACTATCACAAGGAATTAGGAAGACGCATGTCAGTCCAACGGACTACCCTATGTGATGGCACCTCATCCACCCCACTCTTTATCGCGCGGACGCATTTTCCCTTTTCTTCACCTTGCAGACGCCCGTGACGCCGTACATCCTCTCTCTACGTCTTTTGGCCCAAACCTCCGGCGGCGCATTGGCAACGCCCGGTCCCTTGCGGCCAGACCATTAGAGGCCGACCCAGATTCCAATCTGGTTTGGGCCACCGCGCGCATGCTACATGGCTAGGTACATGGCTACATCACTACCTACATCGCTATCTTCACCCACTACTGCGCACTACAGGTTGAAAGCCATGCCACAGCAGCACGCTCTACATATGCACTCCCTCTTGTGACCGCAGTCCGCTGCGAAACCTGCAGGTTCCACTTGCATAGCCACGGGGCGTACCTAAACTCGCAAATAAGAATTTCATGACTCATCGTACAACACAACGCAAAAACAAAACAGAAAAAAAAGAGCCGACTCGATGGATAAGGTGGTAGTACACCTCCTACCCGCCCGTGAAACCCCCAAAGCCCATGCAGCTGCGGGAGGCACTGTCCGAAGCGCGCCCGCCGGGGGGGAGAGGAAGGGGAGGAAGGGGTCAATACGTAGGCGGGGATCCTGGATATTCAATGTTCTAAACCATGCAAGGCATGGGATCATGTCGACCTACGAGGGGATCCAACTCCACGATTCCAACGACCCATCGGCTCCAGTTTTTATTGCTTCTCATGGTTACAGTGATCGAGCCCGTCGTTGCGTGCCGTGGTATCCTTCCCGCACCGTCTGTCCCGATTTGCCCGTTTCGGCGCGTAGAGTATCATCCCCATACTTGATTAAACGCGTACGATATTGAGGCGGTGAACATTGTTGGCGACTTCGACGATCATAGAGCTTCCTCAGGTGCAAGCGCAAATGCAAACGCATATGTAAATGCGAAGCAAAGGGTGAAGGTCAACCCACGGAGGGGCCAACTAGACTAGCCCTACCACTCCATGGATTTGGTCACTGCTTTTATATCTACTCCGGTGTAGCTCTAAGGTTTTACCAATCGAGCCTAGTATTACTAAGTATCCAAATTTGAGAAGTTACCGCGATGTAGGCAGGTAAAAGTGTACGAGAAGTTGACGGTATGTCGCCGACGAGACATATTTCAAGGAGAACGACCCGAACTTCGAAATACTTTCCAGACAAGTTTCAATACGCAATGAAGACACAGAGTATTAATATCTCGAAATATTTATCCAGAAAACAAAAAAAAATTACTCACCAGGAAAAGAGACAGCCTTCGGAATCTAAACTCGGAATAGACAGCAGCATGGCCGAGGTCAATAGGTTACACTTCAAGTAAGTTGGACTTTTCGCTCACTCCGATTTGATTTGTCTATTACGCGCCTTTCACTTCCTGTTTTGATCTGCATCTCACATATATTGTGGCGATCTGATCCCTTTTCGGTGCGTTGAATCACTCTAGTTAATATCAGATGTATATCGAGACCTAGGTAGTCTGTCACTGCATATGTATGCCCAAAGAGAGCAGCTTCAGCCACCAATGTAATGGAGTCTAAGTGCGCTTTGACATATACTTCCCCATTCCCCAATCCTGCCAGAACTAGAGGCGGATTATGGGCAGAGCTGTGTGGCATCCACGTCCTTATTCGCTCACATTAGCTTCGCTTTAACTTCACTTCACCTTACTTCCCCAGATTAGGTCGAGAGATCATCATGTTGCTCGGATAGGCTACTATATAGTGGCACCCTTTCTTCAGCTAGCACGTATGTACGCACGATCGATTTTGTGGATCGATTGACGTGGCACGGCACGGCACGGCATCTACCTGGATGTCATAAAAGAGGGTAGAACTTGAGCTAAACTGAAGTATCCGCAGTGAAGAGGCGTCTACATACGACACCAAGCACAGCAAGCTTAATGAGCGTCTGACCAAGGAAATCCAATCCCGGCTAGATTGGATCGGTGTCGATTGGTCCATTGCGGACGATCAAGACGACGACGATAGCGACGACGATGGCGATGACAGTAATGAGGACGAGGATGAAGGCAGTAAGAACCCCGTCAAGGAATCTAAAAATACTCAAGGTAAGAAGGAAGTGAGGCTTTTGGATTATGCCTGTGGTACGGGCATGATGTCTAGAGTAAGTTACCCCTTTTCAATGTTTATCCCTATCACATCGTCTAAAATACGGCGATAGCCATAGCTTCTACATGATCAATCATTTCTCTAACACCTCTTGGTAGGCACTCGCTCCTTATACGACACAGTGCGTCGGTATCGATGTATCAGAGAACATGGTTGTAGCGTATAACTGTCGAGCAGAGAATCAAGTACGTATAAGTTAGAATATTATGTTTAAGCCTTACAGCTCTTGTTTATACTCCTTATCATGTTCACTTAAATCATTTGTCGACTAAATAACTCCTGTGCTCAGCGTTTTAACTCTGTCAAATCCAACTCATAGCCTTCCCTTGCCCATAAACAGATAGCACACGGAGATATGATAGCTAACATATTCATAGGGGTTATCCCGTGACGAGATGTACGCTGTAGTAGGCGACCTCATAGCGTTGGATGGGCCCCAGCCGTCTGACGTCTTGGCGGACTCGCGCCTCTTCGGCTTCGACGTAGCTACCGTTGGTGGTGGCCTCCACCATTTCGCGGACCCGGAGCTAGCCGCCGACCGCTTAGTCGAACGTCTACGCCCCGGTGGCGTCTTGCTGGTCTGGGATTTCCTCCCGCACGGACCCATGTCGGGACATGTCGGGAATCACGGAGTCATGCACCACGGCCTCTCCGAGGAACGGGTCCGGAAGATGTTCGAGCGCGCCGGGGCCGGGCAAAAATTCTCACTCGAGGTCCTCGGTTCTGGTATATCGATTGACATGGGTCGACATGGGGAGAAAGGCGTTATAAGGAGGGAGATCTTCCTGGCTAGGGGGCAGAAAGCTGTCTAAATCTGACTCCACAAGTATCTAGGGGAAAGGAGGTTGTCTTTAGACACGATGGGGTACGACACGCTTCATTATATTAAGTAGGATATTAAACATTCACCCCTTGGAAGACAAGTCATCTTCCATTACTTGAATGACCATCAACATTAAATAAATAGTGTGAAGAGGTTTCTCAGATCCAACGGCACATTGCAAGGTATTTCATTTAGATGCGTAATCACGTAACTAGAGTATCTTGAATAAGTGGCCCATGTTCCTTGACAATATATGGATGATAATCATGCGTTTGATGCAGTTATCGCGTATAACTGCTCTCCTTGGATAGTATATTAGTTGTAATATGAAAGCTAGTTCCTGCCGAAGGTCCCATAGTATATGACGGTTTAGGACACTCTCGATATTGACAGAGCGTATTCTCTATGCCACTTATACCTATCTAGCCATATCAGGCTTAGTCCGGGCCTTTTCACTCGGGTGTCCGTCAATGTCTATCGAGACAGTATCTGTCATAGTTACGATGGGGGCCTACCCTCAGCCCTTCGCATTTCAACCGCCGTCTACCTGAAGCATTGATATACGCTCTTTAGCCAAAGTGGACTATAGATGTAGCGCCGTCTAGTAAAAGCCTTGTGGGCTCTATGACCTATGGGAGATATAAGATCCTTCACTCTCAGCTGGTTAGAAGGCCGTGTCCCCCCTAGCCTCAATCGGCTCAGGAATTTTCTATCAGAGATAGGACTTGGCTTTGCTGATTTTTACATGGAATTAGTCCCATATTGCCATACAAAGATGTACGGCAAGATAAAGCGCCTTCATAGAGTTATCTGACGTGGTGCTCTTCTACAATATTATCACCCTAATGGCCACCACCTCTTATATACGTATCCTCATGATTCTAACAATCCTAGCTCGTACGCAATAGATACATCCGTGGGTCTCCTTAACATCAACGATACAGACATTGATATGTCCTCAACATACCTAGGCAATCTCACTTTTATCCAAGTCCAAGGAAGTCCGCCAGTTCAAGTCTTTAGAATAGAAACTGAGCCGACTACTTGTGTATAACTTCTCCACATCACAAGCCTAAATCATTATCAGTAGATGATTCGAATGCCATACATTAGACACTTACTAGCCTAATGAGCTTACATGTAGTACTGAAGAAGGGCCGACATAGGAAAGCCTAACTTGAAGCAGACAGATACGCCACTATTTGAAGACTCATGGCCCATAGAAGCTTACGTGGAGCTAGGAGACCCATTGCCCCTGGCGCGATACTTCTATCTGCAATGATTTCGACTAATGAATTCAATGTCATGTATATGAAGACAGGCTTCACGGTAGAGAAGGGGCTAGCAATTAATCTCGCGTAGGTAGCTTATAAGTTCTCGAGACATCTACACACCATACCGCTTACCATAGGGTCAAGTCTCATGACACAGTACACCTGTGCCGTAGAGTACAAGAATGCCTGTTTTTACCAGCAACTCTACGAGGTGTCTTCACCGCCGGTGTGGGATGTAGAAGCCAAATTGCAGAAGTGCACGCAATGATGATCTTTAGGGTGAAGTATGGTGTCATCAAACAAGTTGCTATTTCCCTTCTGAATCTACCCGACTAAGGGGTAATGGCGAATACATGTTATGGTTCGATGCCGATATCGAGTCGAAACGACAAACCCATGCTTCGCCCCTTTCATCCGTGGAGCTAGCTAGTCGGCCATGACTATTGCGGGGAGTGGGAAGGCGACTCCTAGAATCTACACATAGCTTGGATTCTCAACCCAGTCCTTTCCGGCTCCCTTTGCAACCTATTAAGTTAGACTAATGAAGCCGACGGTCGGATCGTGACACCCATTTCGGCTCGAACAGCCACCCATAGGTATAAAGCCAAAATTCCGGGTAAAAATAATTGCTACGCTAAATGTCATAAGATACGAGTATGTTTATCTATTTAAACCAATTTGCTATATCTTGTGTATATATCCTATTAATACTTCGAGGCTGTGTAGGGGAAGCTACACCTCTGAAGGATGGGGAGATGTGAGGATGAAACGAAGTAATAATAAGTTATTGAGGCAATCAAATCAGAGTGTATTTGAACTGCCCGGTATAGCCTAGGTAGCTACTATCTAACTAACTTCATATTCGTCTGTAGTCCTGCTAGATACTTAGCTGTTCATATAATTATCTTCAAACGGAGTTATTATCCACGCCCACATTCTCTCGAACCACCACCTCGCCAGTATCCGCATCCCTCTCCAAGACGAAGCACCTCTCGGCAAAGAACCCACGCCTATTCTGCTGCCGCCACGCCTCGCTAATCCGGCGAACCATAACGGGCTTCCATCCACCCACGTTGACCGTGATACTCCGCCACGACTTTCCCCGCCTCCCGCTCATTAGGGCAGATAATATTTTCATAACAGCATCGTAGTCGGGATCCTCGTTCCACTGCGGCCCTTCGTAAGCTTGGAGGGTTGTCTGGGTGTGAAGGACGAGGGTATCCAGCCGAGGAAAGTCGCAGAGTGCGCGGAGGAACATGGCTGGCTCGCACAGTGCCACGTCCATGTCTAGCTCGATCGTATGAAGGTGGGTGAGCCTACGGGAAAGAAGAGAGAGATCATCAATCCTCATTGTGGGACACCGCTGCCTTTCGTCGCCGAAGCCCACGTAGTCGCGGAAACTTAGGATGCGTAGCGAGTCGGCGTGACTGAGAAGTCCGGAGATAGGGAACAGATTTGTGTGACAGGTTACTTTCAGTGTATGAAGCGATCGTATTTGTAGGATGAGCTTGTATAACTTCCTGGTCGCGTCCGGGCGGCGGTCTGGCAGATGTGTGCTAAAGTCTTCGCAATGTAGTGTGTGAAGTTGATGAAGTTGTGAAAAGGGTATAGAATCAAGAAATGGGAATAAAGGTACATCAATGAGGGTTAATCGCCGCAACCGTGAGAAGTCCCAATGCTTTCTAACCTCATTAATGCTGTGATTCCAGTCATATGAGCGAAGTGATAACTCCTGGAATGCTGGGAGTCGCTCGTTTTCCTCAAATGAGAATTGTGTCCCCTGGCCACGGTCATTGTGAAGGAAAGTTTCGATCGAGCAAGCTTCAATAAGCAGTCGTTTCAACGACTCGAGGCGAGTCATAAGCGACAGTATAGGAGTAACCATCTCCAGAGAAACAAGGTTACTTGTAGGTATTGCTTGCAAGTCCATATCATGCGACTCACTATCAAAGACATGTAGTGGTAGATCTTCGATATATAATTTTATGCTGATACTATTGACGTGATTTGGACTTAAGATACTAGAAGGTGTCGAAAAATAGCCGGAACGATGTTTTCCCACGTAGCGCCATCTACTATGATTATTAGCCATATTAGCAACTTGGATGAGATGCGAGTACCTTAACGACGAAAGCCGCTGTAATCTGTCCAATAACCCCCTAGTAGCTGATGGATCTAGGTCGCTTCTCACTTCGACATGCCTGGTGAACCAACATAGACTTTGAATTACCCGGGGAAAACATTTCTCAGTCTCAAGTGATATAATACATTCATTAAGGCGGATAGATTCAAAACGAATGGGTGTAACGATGGCTTCAAACCGCCTGGATAATTGACGAGCACCAGCTAATGCCCGACTGTCAACATCTCGCAACTGCAGGGCGATGTCGTTAACGATGGAGTCCTACAAGATAGAAATTACTGGGTATAAATTATGAGACGAGACGAGACGTTGTACCTGTTTAAAGATAAGAACTAGCAGCTCCGTACTAAGTTTATCGAATAGCGACGCCTGCGCAGAGCGGCGCTTGGCTACTTCAGTAGCCAGTAGCTCGTTATAATGGCAATTCCTTTCCTTAGACTTAGTAGAAGTTGAACAGGCTGAATAAGTACTACAGAGAACCCCTGCTAGGGTCATGACGGGCAACATGAAAAAGCTGAGAGGGATATAAAATTGGGTCGACGAGTTCCGTTTGTTAGGATGAAACCGTTGATGCCGTTAGGTGGCAGCCCTTGGCCAATACAATGAGAATCTACCTAACTCTTAGGTTGGCTTATAGTAATACATAGAGGAGGAATGATAAGAGCTTGTTAGTGACAGTAGTCAATTTGTGAGTTTGAGTGTTAGAGGGGGCAAAGGCAATAATATATCAGATGGGCGAACCAATAAGAAAAAGACGGGAAGAAGCAGCTTCTAAGCCTTGAGCTGAACTTTGACAGGCCATGATTGTGGCTAGACCATATATGGCTAAAATAACGAATGCCGGGTATCACTCCGATACAGTTTGATAGACTAGCTGAGATGAAGTAAAAGAGTATCAAGACTCCTAAGGATCGTGCCTGGATCCGAATAAATATCTTACTAGTACTTAACCTAGTAGTTAGATCATGATAACTAATGGTTGTGTCGGGAAAGGTACGGCATATTTAATTTGACACGGAGCAGGGCTAATAAGCGTTGCTGAAGTAGATGAGGTAGACGATGGAAGAAGGGATGAAGTGAATAAATGAGTAGTGTACACAGTACGTACCTACCTAGGCCCGCTTACTTAAGGCATTGCAGGGGAAACACGTGAAATTCGCAACTTTCGCCCAAAACGGCGACCCCACCTTTTATATCATATTTTTTCAGATGTGTGGTTCCTCCCGCCGCCACAAGCGTAGCCATCTTCCCTCCTCCCTTCACTCACACGTGGAAGTACATGGATTGAATTCCGAAATTAAGGATCCTGCCATCCAATTCATGGAATAGTGTATTTGTGTTTTCGCTCTTCCAAACCGCATCTATGCTACGAAAAAGTAAGAGGTAAGGGGATCGTGCGCATTCAAGTGAATGTGTGTTAGTTACCCTAATAGGAAATCCATAAGTGGGTCTCAAATTGATAAGTACAATCCGAATGTCGCTTCCACCAATATTGTTAAGCGAATGAAAAGAACATGAACAGCTGTCAGCCCCAAGGTGCATTGCATACCTAAGGAAGATCTAGCACCTAGTACCGCTGGATCGGACGAATCAAGCGGTACGCGGATATAATAACAAGGTACCTTGGCGTATACGGAAGCGTAATCCGACCGACCACAAGACCCGCCGGAAGGGTTCGCTCGGCAAAGCCGCATAGTCCAATCGCAACTTCTCTTTTGAGGCTCGGCCGCTGCGGGGCCACATGCCACCAACAATTAACTCCTCTCATTCCTGACATATGACGATGTATTTCTTTGTAAGCGTTCAGATTAATATCAAGAATATAACTAACAGTCGCATCTATTCCACAGCCCGGCGATGACTCCGCTCAAGAAATATTACACACTTAAATTAATAACCAGAACTCGAATATATTGCTTACTTGCATGTTAAAATGAACTTGGGATGAACAACCACTACATATAAAATTTATAACGTCGTCTATTACAACCGGGTAGCCTCTTCGATCTAGTTGTGAGTAGAAAAACCTGCATCTGGAACGGCTCGTCCTTTTTTCCGCGGCTGCTAATTGAAAAAAAGCGTTGTAATATTGATAGTCCTTGTTAGTTAGGTCTTAGCGCTGCGCCGATTCCACAACCCATTTAACGGCAGACTGCTTAGTAGGACTCGTGAACAGAGCGTAGTGTCCGCTTATATGTCATGCTAGAGCCGGTAAGTTATAACTATAGAGAAATTGCCGGACATCTGATTGTACCTAGTGACAGATTTAAAGTCGTTTCCATCACTTCTAAACCACGCCCATAAAGCGGATGCGCTTATGGTATTCATTCACGGAGCTGCTGCCTACCGAAGTGATTCAAAGCTTTTCTATGTCCAAAGACACAAATAACATGATTCATTAGCACGGTGGTGGGTAGGTGGAGCATTTTAGCCAATAGTGGGCGTTGAAGTATGCGGGAACGATGAATTGCGGCTCTGATATTGGGGGAATCTCGTATAGAAAGGAAAAAGGGAAGCTAAACCCGATAAATTGGACATAAACACAAAGACCTATGGGAAGGTCTTCATAGCTGCTCCCGCCATGATTCCTACCACTTTGTCGAATCAAGGACCATCGCGGGAGGCTCTTTAACCTGCTAAGCTTTGGGAAGTAGACGTATACGCAATCCAGATGTCGATCAATACCGGTATATCGGCTCCTGCTGCTTCGAAGGCGTGGCGTCATAGATATCACTACTCTCGTCGCCATCCCGGGATTCTCGGGCGCTCGACGAAGAATTTCCTGCGGCTCCATGCATCGTCTCCTTTCCGAGAGCACTCTCCTGCCTGCCCACGTAGCTCGGCGTGCTATCAAAACCTGGGTGGAATGGTTCGAACGCTAGCCGAGGCTCTTCAATATAGTTAGAAGATGCTCCGGTGCCGGATCCTGAGCCGCCGACCCCGTGAGTCCTCGATCCCGAGTGGTCGGGCTCAGGATCCCTGAACGGGTCATCTTCCGTAGCAGGCGTGTGCGTCCTTGAAGGACCCGCTATAGCGGGCTCGTATTCCCTTTCTTTACCCTTGCCATTCGCTTTTCGAGATGGAACGGGTGGGGCCTCCAAGCCTAGCCCGTTCTGTTCCGACTCCACGGGACTCACGGACTCTGGATGATCAGGCTGAGGGTCCATGACGGCAACAATCTTCCTTGCATTTAACATTGCTCTTTGGTGCAAGCTGAGTGAGGCTTGGAGTTGCTCGTTGGTGTCGATCAGGCTCTCCATCGTATCGTTGTCAGGAGCCGGATCCTCGGCGGTCATGTACATCTGTATACTTCGACTTGCGCTTGTGCAGCGATCAGCAAACTCCTTTATGAGGTCATTGCTGAGCACTTCGACGGGTGGCGTGTTGGTAACCACTTGTTGCAGTAATTTCGCAGATGTCCGTGCTTCCTCTAGCCTACTCGCCAACTCAACAGGGTTCGGGAGCTTGCGGTTCGAATGGCTTCGCGCGAAGTAGTTCTGCGAGTGCGAGTCAAACGGTGGCGCATTAAGAGTCCGCGGTACTGGGGGCTGCGGATTGCGTCCCTAGTTGGTATATATGTTAGTAACAGCGATGCTTCAACAGGAAACCGATATAGCATACACCATATTGTCGTTGCGCTTTATCCTTCTCCTTCTTCCACATTTCGATTAGAAGGGTTAGACCTTCATCGTATGCCTTAGTGTTCTCAAACGAGTCCAACGTTTCCATCATCATCTGGCGTACGCTTGGATCGCGAACTGATCTTAGTAGCTCCTTCGTCGTATCGGTGAACTTCTGGTCGAGATTTCTCGTGAATGTTTGGCCGGGGTTGTCGGCGAGGATGCGTATGAGCATGATGGCATTGTATTGGTACGAGGGCTTCGTCCAGTAGTCCCTTTTCAGATATTTCCGAATCAAGCGTGCGCATTCTGCTGCAGCGGCAGGGGATGACTCGGCAGCGTCAACGATGGGGGGCAAGTAGAGGACCTCGTCTCCGGCATTGCTAGAGTTAGATTCGCAGAAGGATTTCTAATCAATGGACCGTTAGATCTCTATAATTCACTTCAGACAAGAATAAGGTTGGGCAGATGTAGACGCACCACGCAGCGAGCAGCCGTAGCTTCAGGACCATCACCTTCAATAGTGACAGAGGGACCGGCACCTTAGGGAGGCATTAGCGAAAACTGTAAATTGCCCAACTTGCAAGTTGCGCATCTATGGATGCGAAATCCCATGCTAGAGCTTAAAGTTGCGGTTCAGACATACCATCGCTTGTATTCTTCTTTCTTATGGTGTCTAGCACCTTGCTCATCTTGAGCGACTTCATGGTCGCTTGAAATTATTAAAGTTCCTTTTCAGCTGCGCATATGGTTGTTATAATTGTTGTAGTTGAAACGCAGGACGAGACACGTCGAGGCTAGAGGGTCCAGGTTAAATTTGTCGACAAGTGTTATGCGCGTCGCACTTTGAAAACAGCGTATTCGGTAGCGAGCCGAGCTCTGAGCAAGACAATTGACCTTAGTTGGTCCTAGTTGGTCATAGAGATAAATGTTCGCCGTTTGGATATACGATGCAAGTTTGAACTAAGGCTTGTGTGAGTTGAGTTTGACAGTCTGAGGATCTGGGGGGTCTGGGGGCTGCAGGATGACGGAGGGACGGTTATATTGCTTGACGAATCGATGGAGAGGGTGGAACCGCACCTGATATGCCGCGTTTCAGCCTCGATGTAATTGGAAGAGGGCCAGAAAGAGAAAGTTGGTTGGTTCAATGTTGTTGAAAAGAGATACTTTTAGGAGTTAAGTCAATCTCCAAATTTTCCATCAATGTACACATGTATATGTAAACGCATATCAGACACATACATGAGGCGCCCCACCAATGCAGTATTCTCAGCCGTGACTGCCTAGGTACCTACATCCATAATAGTAGAAGACCCTGAGCAATTGCCACTGCCCTTTTTTTTCCCTTCTGACTTCTTTCCTTTCAAGCCCCGGATCTTCCAGGCTGCCAGGCTACATTCTCCGGGAATGGCCGGGCCTTCCTATTTTCAACGTCCATAGGACTGTCCATATCGGAATTACAATATTGACCAATTAGAACTTCCCTAGCGTATCAAGCGAGGACAGTCAGGATGACTGTGCAGCGCCAATCCGATGTGCCAGTGTGCACAGCCTCAGCACTATACGCAAACCGCCCCCCCTGGCGCCCCCTTCTCCTCCCTCTTTGTACTTGCAATGATATGCAGGTGTATTTGGTACGGGGATATTGGCCAAATTGCATTAGGTCCCCTATAACCTAGGCCGCTTTGTTGCTAGTAAGTCTACAACAGCATAGATATGAGCATAGATATGAATCAGCTGCCCTAGTCTAGTTGTGAAATCGAGTCATCAACACCGTCATCGCCTTGGCTGTGTATATCGTACGCGCGGCGCGTCAGCTATTAGGTATCCCACGTTCTATGGTATGCGCACATTATACTACGTATTCGCATTGTCGAGTGATCTCCATACTAAAGAATGTACATGGGGTCCAAAAGAATCGAGGTTTCGCTATCTAGTGCCATGAAAGTTGGTGTTAAAAATATATCCAACAATACGACAGTACACCTATCTAGGTATATACCTACCTATGTATTGTGTATATACTGACAAAGCATTGTGGCGTACTCCCTGCCCCCCTTTGGATATTATCTACATTGGACATTGTCAAACACAATCAATATTGTACCTCCCTCATCGTGTTTACATAAACTTTAGTTGTTGAATATATGGCTGCCTGGGTAGTTATATTATTCTCTCCTCACGCGCGATCCTCCTTGCTATGCATGAGACCCATTACATGCCCGAACTCATTATGGATTTGCAAGATAGCAATCTAAGTTAACTTGGAAATGGAACTGGCATACTAGCCAACCTATCGAATGTAAGGTCGATTACGTGGGTAGATGGTGTGTTCACTTCACTGCTATAAAGACACGTAGGGTATTAAACCACAACGAAATGGCATTTTAAAATTAAAAACAAGAAGTTTTTGAAAGCAACCTCAGATTAATGATCATCAAATCTTTAGGTAGTGCATGCAAAGCAAGATTGGCCACGCCAGTAAACACCTCTAATAGCACACCCCCCGTCGCTCGTGGCCTCAATAGCCTCTCATCTGTGAGAAGGAGGGAAAAGGCAAAGATCAGCTTTCTCTACTCCATACGCCTTGAAAATGCTTGTGCGATGTTCCTCGTAGTATACACAATGGCGAAAGTTTCCTTTCCCGCCATATCTTTCCGGGAATCTCAAAGATCGCTTTTCACCAAATAACGCAAGCCTCAGAAGCTCGCCGCTCTGAAATTCAGACCACGGAATGTTGAGAGGTCTTAGGTCCACTAGAATCATTGAATAACCGCTTGAATTTCAACCCGTCGGAGAGGTAGGTGCCATAGAGAATCACCGCACATCACCACAAGGGCCCAAACACCTCAAACAACGGTACCAGATTCGTCTGCACCCCCATGCAACAGATTACTAATCCAGGCGCGGTGTTTCTCGGGAAGGGGTTGCTCATAAATCTTTACGATTGAACAAGTCGAATCTTGCTCACAGATTGGGTTACCTCGACAGTTTTTCTAGGCGGTGCTGCACCACGAGGATCCTCTTCGTTATCTCCCCCATCAAACTCGAACGAAGTTATGGTTTTCTTGCTGAGGGAAGCAGACGTGGTGGCTTGCTGAGGACCCGCGGCGACAATGGTAGAGCTTGCCTTGTTGGAATACGGTACTCTAGGGCTCGTTCGGAGTCTAGCCGGTGCCTTCGACTGTACCTTACCCTTGCTGTAGGTTCTAACCACACTTTTCGACTTTCGGACAGGGGCCGTCCTGCTACCAGTAGTTGACTTGGAGCCGAGAACCGATCGGGTGCTGGCCGAAAGCGAAGACATGCCCCGCTTGAGAGCAGTAGCTGCTTCCTTAGCCGCTTTAAGGCCGGCGGTAGAGAGACCGCCTCGGGCACCCTGAGACCTAACTCCCGTTGAAGCCTTGATTTTACGCTTCTTCGCTGCGCTTCCCTCGTCGTCACCATTCCCGCCAAGAGCATCTTTCAACTTTCTCTTGCCTGCATTGACGCCTTTCTTGACAGTTTCCGTCAAACTCCCCTTGGCTACCTTTGGTTGCTTGGGTTCCTTTGGCTTTGGACCCAGAACTCCTCGGCAGTTGGCGCTACCACAAAGACACTTCTGTACGTTCTTAGCCGAAAAAGGGTCAAAGTTGTAGTCGTAAGTCAACTCTTCGCCCGTCATGATAGGGCGGTCCCCAGCAAAAAGGGCCATTCGTGGCTGTCCCGACACGATCCATTTAACCATCTTACAGTTCGGATCACATGAATGGTTGACGAAACGAGCGATGCTACCAGTCGTTGCGTCAATGATCATGTTCTGATCGAAGGACATCAAGTAATAACACTAAATCTCTTAGCAACCGGGCTAAACACTCATACCAAATTCGTTGTGCGTCTTACCTGATTGTGCTTGTACACCTCATTCATGCGACGATCACACTCTTCCTCGGTGATTATCTCGCCCGTGTACTCCATTATTATCTGATTCGGTTCAAAGCAACGGTTGGCGCGAATTCCGTAACCTCGATCTTCGGTCTTGAGAACCTCAACGCCTATATGGTATTTGCGCCCCTCCTTTGTGCGCTCCTGCAGCTGGGCAAAGGGACGGTTCTGGCAGAACTCCGGGCCCGCATTACAATTCGTCTCATCGCACTCATAAAGCATGATGCGATTTTGACATGATTCACCACATCCTTCCTGCGGCTTGCACACGCACTTCGAGGTATTGTCCTTGAAGTGAGGCGTCTTCTTCCAATAAGCACCAGCGTCACCAACGAATCGATCTGGATATATGTTAGTTGAGTGCACAGAAAAGAGGATGGAGAGTAGAATGGAACGCGGCGAAGTAAAGGCTTTGGGAAACAAAGAGCAGAAAAGTCAGTTAAGTCAGTCAGCGAACTCACTCTTCGTTATCTTGCGCCATTCGTCCGGCTTCGGTTGTCCAGGCGGGAGCGGATGGCAGATGTCGAAAGGTAGCTTGAAATCTCTGCCTTGAATCAACGTGCGCATGCCATTGTACATGGGCATAGGCATTGTCTTGTTCACTTTACCGTTAGGCATCAGCTCAGGGAGCTGGGCTAAGCTCTTCTTCTCCGATGTAGTGAGGCCCTGGTATATATCTACTGGTGTCTCCTGGCCGGCATATAGGCCTCGATCGAGGTACTTCTTAGCTCGTCTCTTTCTAAAAACAGGACCCTCTTCGACGAGAGGTTCCGGCTCGGGAGCGGAGACAGTGGTCGTCTCGTCGGCCACCTTAGCCTTCTTCTTCGGAGGTTGAGACTCATTGACGTACTTCCCGTTGGCCCACGTGGTATACAAAACGGGGTTTTTGTCGATACCAGCGAACTCGTCCGTGTCTTGTAGACGTCGTAACTCACGCGACATCTTGGTAAATCCCTTTTCAAAGGTCTTTCTACCCCGTTTGCCTGGAGTAGACAACTTGTCCGCCAGGGTTACTGCTTCAATGCCAGAGGAACGCGTAGAGATCCGTCGAGAGTTATCGACCTCTCTCGACTTGGACGCCTTAGCGGACTTCGGAGATTTTGCGACAACACGACTCTCCGCGTTATCTCCAATTGGAGTACCACCGGTAACTGTGTTTCGGCGTCTTCTATCGGATACATCGTCACCCTTAGATCGACGTTTACCATGGACAGCAGTGCCGGCTAATTCGGCGATGTTGTATACCGGGGCGCTCTGGCGTTCTCGTCGCGAACGCACGTTCACATGCGTGTTAATGCGAGCTTTAGGCGTAGAATCGGATGCATCGGGTAGCTGAGTAAGGCTGGGAAGCTCGGCAGACGCGACAATAGAGTCGGCCACCTCGGAGGGCGCGTCGGCTTCGATCTGGTCGGCGAGGTCGTCACCGCGACCAATTGCAGTAGGGGCGTCGATCTTGAAAGTCTCGGATGCGAGACTGATGGTATCGGCTATGGTGGTTGGGGGTGTTGAGCTCAGCGACGCGGCGTTAGAAAATGTGTCACCAGCCGCGCCAACGCTGGACTCAGATGAGAGTGCGCGCGTTGGCGACATGGTTACAAGCGAATCCATGACAGGATTACGCGACAATGGAACTGCCGGCGAGGACAAAACAATGTTAGCGGAAGATGACGCGTTGGGTATGTGTGTATGCGGTTGTTTTGGGTAGGTAAAGGAAGGAAAGTGGTGGAGGCAGGAAGTTATGTAAGTAAAGCAATAAGAGTAAGTTTAGGTAATACGTGAATGTGTACTAAGTATTTCGTATTGTATTGGCGTATTGCAGGTACCAGGCAGGGTAGAGGTGCATGTGGGTTCTGGGTTTTTAGTACACATCCAGGGATGTAGACTGTACTAAGATAGATGTAGATGGGCGGCGATGGTAGGAAGGAAAGGGTGGGTGGGTTGTATGCGAGTACTTAAAATGAATGTATCGTACTGCCATTGCGGTGTGTACTCCGGTACTCCCCAATGCAGCTAAGAGGAAAAAAGCTCCAAGGATCAAGTCCAAGGTCGACTGGTTGAATCGAATGTGTGCATGTATCGATGGCAATGTTGGGGTCGGGTGGGAATAGAAAAGGGCAAGTAAGAAATTCCGTCGGCCAATGGGCTGAGCCCGCCTGAGACTAGGTGGCTTTCCACTTTGTGCTATTATTGAAGTATGTACTTACCTATAGATGCGGTCGCGTTTGTTGTACCAGCGAAAATAACCGGCCAAATCTTTCAATATGCTTACGAGCAGTAGTGGGAGCCTGTGCAACAAACTGTATCGAATTAGATTAGTTACTCGTTCATGAATCGGCGCGTGTTTTGTGATGATGAGGAGGGTAGAGGAGGGAGGGAGGTGGGTGAAGATAGAAGGCCCCCTTGCAAGCATGTACACAATATGATATGAAGAAGATATGTATATGGTGAATTGTGAATGGCGGACGGTGAATGATGAATTGTTAGAATCAGGAGACTTGCCTGCTTCACTATTGGGTTGGGGGGAGGATTCGAAGTATGTTAGAGGTGAAGTTGTAGAAGTTGGTGAAATTGGTTCAAAAAAGAATTGGTAGTGGATGATGAAAAGTTGAAAAGGAGGGAAAAAAAAAGGTTTGGGATTATTTTGGTAGGAAGTTCGGGGGAGGAAAGACAGGGAGAGGGAGGGGGAAGGAAATATGGTTTTTGATGCACGCTAGTAAGGAGTCGTGGTTGTAGGTTACTTTACTACGGTCACTATGATCACTTTGATCACTGTGGTCGTGCTTACAACCCGTGTCTAGGGATTCGAACACCTCAAGTACCTACATACACGCGTATCCGGGTAGGCAAGGGGTGATAATTTGTTTCTTCAAGATGAAGATGTCGGCGTCGGTGACGATGCAGGATGCAATAATAAAGTATGTAGAAGAAAGTAATTCCGAATGGTGTGTGAAGATGTTGGAAGGAGAAGAGAAGAAATGGAGGTGATGTTGTTCGAGGATGTGTTCTGCTGTATGGTGTATGTTTTATGTTGTACGGTGTAGGTTGAATGTTGTTGGTTGTACGTTAGTTGTATGTGAGAGAGGGAGAGAGAGAGAGAGAGAGATGGTAAGAATGTGAGTGTGAAGTGTGTGAAAAGAAAAAGAAGGACGGATGAGAATTTAGATTTTAGATTTTGGTTGAGAATTGGAAAATCGGGGAGAGGAAGAATAGCGTGCCACTGACCTAATTACACGTTCAGTTAAATGTTATTTAACGGGAAAAAAGGCTGGGGGGTTCAGGTAATAGGTAACGTACTATGTATGTAGATAGTATTCAAGGTATTTATTTATTTGCCTTGCGCAGATAACACGCACCAATGCTAGCAAATATTCTACTGGACATACCAGACAGTCAGCTTCCTCGGATCACATAGTCCGACACCTCCGTGCTCATCCTCTCCCGACTTCAACATGCCGTCCGCCATCCATCATCCGCCATCTGCCATCGAGACACGCCGCAGCTGCGACTGACTGACTAACCCGCCGACCACCACCTCCTAGCCCCATGTCCTCATGTCCTCATGTCCTCATGTCCCCATGTTCCCCGTATCAGGATTCTAACTCCCTAGATGCGTATGCTCCTTCTCGAGTAAGGCGAGGTCCAGTTGGCAACACTACCTGCCTACTTGTCTTCAAACTCCCCCAACACATCGACACCTCCAAGTATCGGCATCGTCTATACGGGGACGGGCAATCCCCCGACTTTGCCGTATACACATCCAGGGAGAGACCATTCTGTATCTGTATATAGCTCGTCTTAGGGCCAGTGTTGGCACATGATTGCGTGAATTTGACATATCATGTTCTTCCTTCAGTATATTCGTTGCTCGGGCTACTTATGAGTGGGTAGGGAGGATAACGGCAAGGCCTAAATAGCGACCACGCCTTTCCGTTACGGTAGATTGTATCACGTATTTTCGGTCATCTCCATCAGCCATCATCCCAGACCGATCAGGAGCGGGGAGCGGAGGATTACGGAGTGACGAGCGACGAGCGACGCCTCTCGATAAGATGCAGACATGTCACTCGATGGCGGTGCTCAGCCTCGCGCAGGCAGGCATTCGGCAAACAGCCCAAATCAACCGTCGCGTGCCTTATTTTGATAGTCTGCATCGAACTCGAGGAATCACGGCAGTTGTGGTGAGTATTGGTGGAGTGTCATCCTAGGGAGACCCCTTGCGCTGATTTGGTTAGTCGAGGGTGTAGATCCCGGACGTGTCTAATGCCATTGCCGCTCCTCCGACGTGACCTCAACAAAGCCACCATCAGGGGAAGCAATCGTCTAGCAATCGTCTAGCACTCCGTCAACCATCATCCTCTAGTCTCATCGTGAATGCCAAAGAGTCCAATCTTTACTCCGCTACGGCTAGGGGCGTATTCTCATATCCCTATCCTGCCTATTTCGACTCCTTCTAGCGATAGAGTCCTTCCTATTCTCCGCGACCGCCGACTATACTCTTCAATTAGTCGGAATATACGCCTTTTATATTGAACGCCTTTGGATCCACGGGTGCTGAGCGATTGATTCTTCCCCTAGTCTCCCTCGTACCCTTCTCCGTGTCTACCTAGTTTGGTCTACGTGAAACCACCATCAGCAAGGCACCCGTCTCAAATATCACAACGTTAATCAAGACGAAGACGTCGACATAGCATCAAATTCTACATGAGGACGAGTACTCTTAGAAGGCCCTTCTAGTGCCGCAATTCCCTCGACCCTGAATCTGTTGAGCGGTTGTGTCCAGATAGACTGGCAAGTCATATGTTCCGTCCAGGCTCGCGGGTAGACAAGGTCACTAAGACGAGATAGTCGCGTATACGCACGCTATACTTGACTCTCCGAATTCTTGTTGTTGCCGTCGATCTTATTCCAAAGCATCCAGGAATCTCGCGGTTGAGGAGTCTATCCATGCGTCAGCTTTGCATCAAACAGATAATCCCATAGATAGCGGGGTAGGCAAATATATCGATTGAGTTGGCCGATATCTGAAATTAAAACATTTGCTAAACTTGCTAGAGTTCACCTCTCGGACATGTTGGAGGGCGCAAGTGGTTTGGCCTCCCATCTCTGCGCTGCATGAAGATGTCAAGAAACCACCGGCGGCAGTGGTTTCGAACATCAAGATCCTAGAGCTGACCAATGGAAAAACCAGTGCTTTCTAAAGACGATACAAGTTTCGCTACGGTGAGAAATGCATGATTCTGCGCGAGTTCGACGGAAAATTAATCGCGGCTAACGATGTACAGATAGCGAAGAATGTCGAACAAGATCGGTTGACCCGGAATATTCACCGCGTGCTAGCAAGTACGACCAAAGCGATTGGCGACGAGTATCATTAGAATTCTCAGCAATCCCATCCTGCTAATCTCTGTCGCATCTCATGTAGAATTCTGGATCCTAATTCAATCCCGGACACACTGACCTCCTGAGTCGCGGATGGTAGTACTACGCTATCTACTCCCAACACTTCGACAGAAGCTGAGAATCATCTCAATACTTCGACTTTTACCCACCTAAAATTCTCCTCTGAATGACCAGTATCCAACTTCTATCTGGCTGTAGGTAGCCAACCGCTTTCCTATACTAGGTACACATTTAACTTAACGGCATTTATTCCGAATTCGTTCGACATCGCCCAACTCGGTCAACCCAGTCTCTCATGGCCAGCATGTCTATATGGCCTTACCATACCATCGTCGCATCCATCGTTGATAGGTCAAAGGTATCAGCCAATGAATACGACGAGGTTAACTGCGCCCTGTAGGGATAGAATGTGAGGGTTCGTCCCCCAACTTATCCCACTTGACACCATCCTTCTTCTCTCATGTCCGATAGTGCCCTGAGATTCTACGCAAAAATATACCAGATGATACAGGTTATCACTCTACCCGTTGACAGACCACAATATGAGCTAACTAGGCGTATTTCACACGAAGGCACGAGACAAGCGGCCAATAGCTCTTGATACTTGACTTAACCCCGTAAGATACGGCGTCGAAGTAAATATCTTAGCGTATTACAACTTTTGAAAGATCTTCGTATCAAAGGATCTGTCTCCTGTGGTCTACGACCATCGCTTTTACCTGTACTCGAGACATCGGCGCTATTGGCTAGTGATCGAATCGCTCCTCCAGATCCCGATGGGGTTTTATTTTCGTCCACTAGATAAGCAAGTATGAACTTTGGGATAGCCAGGTCAAAGAACAACTTGCGTTGACAAGTGATCGACGATATCGCACCGCCAAAAGTTATTAAATGTTCATTGATATATATGAAATAACTAGGTATATAGGGAACCTACGGTTTACGGGAACTATATGATACACATCTACCGACTCAATAACCTCTGCGCGAACAGTGGGTGTGATTATCTAGGTATCCTCTAGAAGAAGGAATATCACCGCTTTTTAGGCCGATCGCCTAGAGTACGGTATTCTGTGCCGTAAATGGCGATCCCTCTAGGGCGATACGACGCAGCCGGCATCGGTAAGGGAAAAGGGAACAGGCCGTCCGCCAAAGATATATAGAATCTACGTGGTCTGTCGGTTTTGCCTTCTAAACTCGTTGTCGCTATCGTGTAATCAGACACTATCGCCTTGCCAAGGTAGACCAGCGAGACGGTTGTTTTTCTTTTTTTTTTCCGGATCAACCAGGGCTAGCCAATCCTAGTCATTTGAATCTCCTCGTCCCTTACTCTAATGATACCATAGACATAGGGATTACAATGAATGAGGACCTGTATCGACGTATGAGCATTCTGCTTACTTAAACTTGTTATACTGCGTTATTCATGGCGGATACATGCCGTGCTTCAGCCTTGCTTGCGCCAAGATAATGGATCTCGCGGGGCTCAAAAACGAGAGAAGTAATCAGTCTTCGTGAGATAATAGGGGTTCAATGATCTACCTTAAATTTTTTCCCTCCCGAAATCGCCAATGAGGGGGATGGGGTGATCTCAAAAGATATCCATAAACGTGCCGGTAAGCATCTAGTTACACCTTTCGCAGATCAATCAGCCGGAGTGGTGCGACCAATGTCGCCTGTAATCCGGGTTAAGCTGATGCACAGTGTTATACAGTGCAACCTGAGACATCTTGCTGTAGGTAGCGTATGGCGGTGCACGATAACGCTATTATATCCCGTAGAAACCCCTAGGGCTTTAAATCGACAGTATTTCGTTAGAAGGGATATAGGAGCATGGTAGAGGACTCCGCTTGAAGGCTTTAGCATGGACCACTACCTTTTGCACGGCCGATCCATTCCCTAGCACGTAGTAATTCCACCATCCCTGATAGATTTCTATTATGATGCCTTTCGCCTACACTGACATATGCGTGTGCATAAGCGGGTGGCTCATACAATACTAGATCAGCCAATTGTATCTTGGTCGTCGTTTATAAGGGCTCAACGTGATAAAAAGAAGTTACACGATGATATAGCAGAAGAAGAAGAAAAGAAAACTGGAAACTTCGCCAGGTAGTTGTCTTGAATCGTGGAAAACTATGATGAGCTCTGATGGGCGAATTATTAGGCATCAAAATATCTAATGCCTAGAAGCAAGCGATTGTCATTAGCCATGCATTCATTATCTGGGCTAACTGAAGGCTTTCGGCTAAGGACGGTAGCGAGATTATGGCATAGACACTGTGCTAGATTGGAAGAACAAGGGACTGGGACACGTCTACTATTGGCTTACGATCAATAGCACAATCTATTTTTTTAGCAGTAAACAAAAATAAGACTGTAATGAATGATGCATTTGTACATCACTGCGAGGCGGGGTTTTATTAGCGAGGAAAATCGACGCGGCTATCTGTGAAGAATGAGCAGGTCGGAACGTCTAGCTATAAGGTAACACTCATACGGAGGCAAGGCTAATCAACGGCCTCAACCCCCCCTTTTTGCTGACCTCGAAATCTTGGTATTGGCCATGAGATCCTTGGTCAAAAAAAGAATAACCTGGTATCAACAATGTGGCCCTGGGTCAAGAAAAGAAGGCAAAGAACCGAAGACGCCGGGGAAAAGAGCCCCTTCCATCGCAATGCATGAGAATCAGCTCTATCCTCATAATAGTACAGGGTATGTGAATCGTGATCATAAGGGTCGTAAGCAATATTTGGATGTGGAAACTCTTGGTTCATGCTTCCATAGGACTGTATGCGGCCTCGATGTTTTCTTCTCCACCGAACAGGTCCTCTTGGGCTTCGGGATCCTCCTCGAGATCCTCCTCGGGATCCACGGCGGCATCCGAGCCATCGGAGGCAGTGTCTCCATTCTTGCCCTGGTTCTCCATAGCGTACAGGCGAGCAGCTCTACCATCCTTCTTGCGAGGTTGCGGAGCTGAAAATGAGTATTAGTCGATGATACTGAGCGGTTTACTATGATAAGAGAAGACTTACCTCGGCCATTCTCCTGTACGTAAAATCGTCGAAGCAGGGAAACCGCATCATCACGTAGATAGCCGCCCTCGACCGGGTAACCACGCTCTATGTTACCACCATCTCCATCGTCCTCGTCACGCGGAGCAAGACTGGCTCTGCCCTTGGCGATGCGGCTGGCGTCTTGCGGACCATATCCATTTTGATAGGGTCGGTCCACCGGCTTCGGCACGGGTTTAGAGTTCATGTGGATCTTGAAAACCCCACCAGTTCCGCCAAACTTGTCGTTGACAGCACCGAAGTAAACCTTCTTGATTGCTAATTGGCGAAGGAAGGAGGCGCACATGACACAGGGCTCAACCGTCACGTAAAGGATGCATTCAGATAGAATCTCGCGACTCACCACGGGGGCAGGGTGAAGCTTCTGGCCATAAGGATAGAGATGGCCGTCCGAAGGGTCTACATCTCCCCAGCGAGCATCGTCGAGAGTTGGGTCGCCATCGACATCCTCGATGTCGCCCGGCTTCTTGCGAGAAAGCAAGGCGGATACGGCCATAAGCTCAGCATGGCGAGTACCGTTGCGAGTGTTATTTGTTGCGTTCATGCCTCGGGCAATGATCCTTCCGTGGTAGACTATGACACAACCAACTGGAGTCTCGTTGGTGCTAAGAGCTAGATTTCCCTATAAGATCGTTAGTGATTTAATCGATATATATGCATAATCAAATAACTGAGAATCGAAAATAGAAATATATGTGGCAAAGAGGTATTGAGCCTTCACAGTCACGGTGGTTCTATTTTGGAGAAAGTAGAATGTTCGAATATAAAGGGGAAGTCCCAGGAAGGGTAGGAACCCGAAAAGGAGAGGGAGAAGGAGAGGAGACCTACCATATCAAGCGCCGCTCGCATGTACTTGAGGTGATACGCTCTCTCGATTCGCTCCTCTTCCGTCTTGGGTTCGATCAAACCAGGTAGATGATTGGGGATAGGAGCAGGCAATGCGGGAGGTGCGGGCCTGGGAGCGCTCCTGTCCGTAAGAGGTAGCGCAACAGTAGGCGGCGGAATAACGACAGCCTTGGCAGGGGCCGTAGTAGTAGCCTGGCTAGGTTGAGGGGGCTGCACTGCATTCGAGAAGTAATCGGTGCCATGAGAGTTGGTCTCAGAGCTGAGACCTTCGGCAGGTCTACTAGGCGGGATATTCTCCGCCATTCCAGGTCTGTTCGGAGTGGGGTTACGTGCCGTAGTGGCGTTCTGACTGCGGCTACCCGATCTCTGAATCTGTGCCTGATTCTGAGTCACGAGGGGCTCCAACGCGGATGGCTGAAGTTGAGAGACATTGGTGTTTCTGGGTACCGCAACATCATCTCTTCGGCTGGAGGGGGGTCTTTGTGGTGAAGAATATCGATTGCGGCCGCCTCTTCCAGCTCCGGCAGGCTGTTGACCGGCGGACTGGTAAGAGTTGGTCCTGGTGTTACCTTGATCGTTAGGAGAGGTGACACGGGCCGGACCAGGACCCTGTGAGGCCGGAGGCGGTACATTCCATTGGTTGGCGGTAGATTGATTAGTGATGGCGTTTGACGGGCCGTTAGAGGGAGCGCTAGGCGCGTCGGGTCTGGAATTGCCATTGCCAATACCGTTACCATTGCCGTTATTGTTCGAACTACGTCGCCTTCGGTCTCCGCGTCTCCTGTTGGGTGCCATTGTATCCCCGTCCTGAGATGGAGAAATCGAAGAAATCGAAGGTGAAGATTTAATGCCTTGTTCAAGGTCTATGAAAGAATGTCCAGAGTCGTGATGAAGTTCATGTGAAGAACGAAGGTAAGGTGTCGAAGGAGATAAAAGAGGTGAGTCAGTGTTTTTATTTTTGGCGGTAGAAGTTGTTTTTGAAGGGTTTGATGGTTGTTGCTGTGCTGGTTTAGGCGGTGCCTTTTCTGCCGTCGAGGAAAATGGAAAGATACGGTTGAAGAGTTGGATGAAAGATGCAAACAGCGCCTGCCGGAGGCTCGCGACGTAACCTGACATTTTGTGTCCCGCCATTGTTTCCTCACTGTACTTTCTTCTTTTTTTTTACTCTTCTACTTCCTATCGTTCTTTCCTCACTGTGAACGTACGCTTTTCCTATTTGGAAAATTATGACTCCCTCTCTTTCTTAACGAGGAAAACTCATGTAATTTTCGCACTTTCCAGTCACCCAGATAAAAAAATGGGGTGGAGTTGTCACCTCTCACACCGATTAGACAGAATAAGCTGCCAGTTATTTGAGGAAGTAACGCTAGTCCTGACTCACAAGGAATAGCAAGGCGAGACCTGCATATTCCTTCTCCTCGTCAGTCCAGGTTCTATGGAGAGGACGACCTCGAAGAGGGGGGCGTGGATGATAGATTCTACCGAGATCTTTAACGAAGGCGCATCTACGAAATTGCTGTGTTTCGTTCATCAGACCATTTCAAGGTCACTAGTAAATACCGAGGGGCAGCAAATCCATAGGACGATACTAAGTTATGGCACGGGCAAATAAGCATGATTAAAAATTAGATGAAAAGATAAAAGGTGTGATTTTTATATATCGAGATGAGATGAAAGACAGCGGCACGCGGCTGAGAATTTTCTGCGGCCACTTGGACTAAGAGAGCTAATTACCTAATTCACGCTAGTCTATTACTTGCTTAGGTACCTACTATGTAAAGGAGTACCTGCCCTGCTGCCCTGAGGCTAGATACAACCTTGACAATCTAGACCACCCCCACCTTCCCCCCATTTCAGCTTGGGAATGCGGGAGCGTCCGTGGTTTGTTGCTAATTACGTCAGGGCGCACGTACCTTACCATATGTATTTATGTACCCGATGTATTCAAGTATCAAATGATATCCTTCAAAACAAAACAACCACGAAGAAAGATTAGCGTATGAATTCATTTCACAAGGTCAACACTAGGAGACGACGGCATTAATAAAAGCAGGTGAGGGTCGTATTGGTCTAAGTAGGCGCAAGATAGGTATCAAAATGTCCAAATACCCAAATAGCACCCCCCAGAGATCGTCAGCTGGACCGGCCCCCAACCACCATCTTTCCTCTGCTACGAGCCAGAAGCTCACATTGAATCAACTATCATCAGTTCCATCCTCTGTTCAACCAAGGGTATCCGTCCTTTCGGGGGTGATGCATTTCCACCCCCAACCATATTAATACATACATACATACATATCATCCATCCCAAATAGTGATATCATTGTTGTCGTCTAGCAACAAATATCATCACCATGCAATGCTCGTCATTCGCTGCAAGCGTCGCATCCCTCGGACGTCGTTGAATGCCTGGAAGTTATATTTCTTTTCGAAGTTGCAATAATTTCTGGGAAACCCCCCTGATAATTGGGAATACCTCGACTTAATGCCGTTGGTGACAGCGAAAGGAAGTCGCCTCAGAAAGGAAAGAGGTTGCGCGGGCAGATCTAGCGTGCCCGCAGGTTCGATGGTACGTTGCCGTTGCTTGATAGAAGCGGGGGCAACCGGTTGAGATCCCGTTAATACGGGGGTAAGTCCGAACTTTTCGGCACTGTTGCTGACAAGTCGCCATTGGCAAACCGTGCCTATAGCGAATAAGAAGGGCAAGACATGGAGGGTTGTCAGGGCAAGAACAGAAACTAGTACGCCCGAAAGGAGTACACTATTGCTGGCTCCCAACAGGGATACAGATAGGACGCTTTCACCGAGGAGTTCGCCCTGCCTATTAGTGCTGGGGACTATGACACCCCGGGCAGCTAAGTCAACAGTACTGCTGTTGTTGGCAGAGTCGTTGCCTTCATGGGCGTCGTCGATGCCTATTTCTACCATACATGTCGATGTCGTCTTCTTGGCCGTACCCCTTACGAATCGCGTAGGTTGTGTAGGCCGTGATGAAGAGGCTAAGGACGGCAATGTTTCGTCTGTTCCGTCATTTTTGACTGCAGGGGAGCGTAGTGCCAACGTCTCATTGTACACGGTCTTCTGCGAGTGTCTTAGTTTATTATTGTTCTTGAAAAAATGAAGTAAACTTACGCTTTGAGCTTGCCAATTGCGCTTCTGATGTAATTGGCTCACTAGGAATGGTTCCGTTGTCGCAGTTGTGGGCGTCACTAGAACACCAGACGTTGTACTCCAATACCCGGCGTCGCTTGCTAGCATGGCAACCGATCTCTCCTGGCTCTGCTGATCTATCGTGATCGACCTAGTCATCCTAGAGTGACCGTAAAACGAGGGTGGTGCAGGTTGGAACTCCTGTTGTTCAAGAGACGTAGGTGCAGCGGTTGGTCGTGTCAGGGACGTGTTCACTACGGTCGTCCGTACATCCGCTTCAGTCGGCGATGACACAGTGCGTGGTTTTGGTCGTGATTCATCTGAATACACCGGCGGTACTGAGTCTAGGTCCCGTGGGGAAACGGGAACATGCCACTTGGGATACCCATTGTTGTCAGAAGCTGTGTGAGATACATTCTCGTAGTATGGCGACGTGTCTAGGTTGGCTGGCGACAGTCCTGGTTCGGGGCCGGAGAGGGAACTATAGTATTGAATATTCGGAGATACAGCTAATTGCGTATCAACATTCCGGTCTTCGCCTGTACGAATCTCCTGGCCGCGACATGCTGGTCGTTGGTGGTCGGAGTATTGGAAGTAGTCAGGAAGAGGCATCGCTGCGACCTCCTTGCTCAGGCTTGGGTCGTCTTCAAGGCCAGTTGAAGAACCTGGAGAGTATAAGCTGAAGTCGGCGTAGTTGCTGCCAGCTTCGCCGCCCGGGTTTAGATATGGCGGTAGCGGTACTTGCGCCTCTCTCTCGATGGTACCAGTCGCCATGTTCTCAACGCCAAGTGTCTGCGTAGGTGTGATTGGTTGCGATGGTGAGAACGAGTTGTATGATGTGGGTGATAGGAGGCCCTGGGGATCGTGGAAGAAGTCGTAGTCGGATGGGATAGCGTCGATTGGTTCCTCATCGAACTGGATGAATTGGTTCCAATCCATAGTTAGGTCGACCAATGATTCGGACATAGCTGAGTCAACCGAAAACGATGGAGCCTCGTCTGAAATGCTGAATGAAGGAGTATGTAGGAAATTTTCCAAAGGTTCTAATGTTTGTTGAGGTGGTGGTGCTGATGACGGTATTGTTGAAGCGGCTGTCTTCTTCGTCTTCCTGGATATCTTGGCCGTAGAAGAACCCGCTGACCTCTTATGGCTTGGGTCACAACGCACCTTCTTTCTCCTGCACGAGTCGCATGCCTTGATGATCCGCATCAGGTGGGCGTGGTCACGCTGTTCCTTAGTTTTGCATCCACGAGAGGTCATATTAGTTACGTCTTTACCATCTTTAGTGATGATCTTCATGCCTGGGAGATGAGAGAAATCATTGGATAGAGCCGCTCTCTTGGTGGATGATTTGCCAGCCTTGGATTCGCTGGGCAGCAGTGAAGCGCTGCCGGTTTGCGTCCACTGGCTCTCGGACATGACGGGAGATGTGAAGCTAGAGCCGTAGCCGGAGTCGAGCATGGAGCCGGACGGCGACTCAGTGGCCGAGCCCAGAGAAGGATAGACCATGAAGAACTTGAAGAGTTCACCGGTGGCCATGCTGTGCTCAAAGAACTCCATGGAGACGGTAGCACGCTTGTTAGCGATAGGAACGTCGCCGGGAACGTATGCGTCAATCATCTCGTCCAATTGCTTGGAACCCATAGCAGGGAAGAACTGCAAGGGGGACCCAATCGAAGGCTGGTGGACGGAGAAGCCCATCAGAGAAGTGGAAGAACTGTTTCGGGAAGTGTTCGACATGGTGACAACGTTGTTGCTAGTAATGTCAGGGTAATGCTTATAATCCACTTTGGAAGTATTGATGGCCTGACGGGTTTGAATAGGCACAAGTGTGGGTGTGGGTGTGGATGAGGGTTCACCAGTGAGCCCCCACGTTCTCTCGCAAGATAACTCCGCTAGATATAACCAAGTCCAAAATAGACAACTCGGATTGGCTCTGGGTAGTCTATTCTACTATGATTGTGTATTATGTATGGCGAATCTGCGTTTAGCAACTAAGCCAAACGATGTCGACTAGCTGGCGGGGGACTGTCAGCTGTTAGTCGGTGGGTTAGGATAGAAACCTGCTCCGAGTCAAGAACACCTAAGACAGGAGTGGTGCCTGGCTCAGAAGTCAGGATTAGTGAACGAGGGTCTTCAAGGTGAAGTTGTGAGATGTTAGTAGTGGTGGTAGTATAGGGAATCTACCGTATAAGGATAGAAGTGAGAAGAAAGAGAAAAAGGGAATTCGAAGCCCGGGAGGGAGTCAGAGGATGATATTTCACTTCTGACTTCCCAGTCTTTGGTTATACAATAGTGCGAGCAAAGCCTCAATTCATCGACAACGAGAATGGCGGAGCAGGGTTATGAGACCCACCACGGCGAAGAAGTAGTCCGAGGCTTTAGCCAATCAGACACCGTATTATGTGGGTACATGTCCGGCGAATGGCACTAACCCTTAAGTACCTCGTCATAAGAAATGTTAGCGATTTGCAGCATGTTGCTTGGATACAATAACAGATCCTAATCTTAGTCCCGTCGAGACTGGAGAAGGATGCACGGAAGCCTGAGGCATCCACCGGCGAACCAAATAAGTCTTTCTTTGACTCATCCGAACACCATAAGCTCCAGCGAATCGAATGGGCCCGGGAAAGTAAGCATGAAAAACATAGGTCGGTATTTTACAATTACGATTCAATTGGACCCAAATTTACAAAATGAATTGTTGCATGTAAATAAGGTATATATATATATGTACTAGATAAGGGGTAGGCATGTTGGTATGTACAAATACACTAGATCATCTTTTCTTAACCCCACTAGATCTAGGAGATCTAACCATGCTGGCGGAAATCTAGTAGTACGTATGTACAGAGTTCATGGCTGCGGGGTTGAGTTGATGCCAAAATCAAGAAGTACGTATGTACCGACCTATGCTTGTATGCAAATAGTACATACCTTATATGTATTCACCATCTCTACATACGTAATACTTGTATTTACTCTTTATCCCCAGACTCGACCAAGCGCTGTATGTAATACATACTAACTAGTCTAAGAGCCCTGTACCCGGGTGGGCGAAGCTGGCAATGGAACACCTATGCTCGTCTAAGATCTTGCTGAACCTATTGATTACAGATATCAGGGGATGCTCAGGGATAAATCTATGTCCATGTATCCACGCTTCTGATTTCAAAAGCTATACTTAAATTAGGTACTGTAACCCCTATATCTATGGATAGATATATTAATATGAACGAGAAAGACGTTCACACGTATCTCATGACTCTGGCTCTAATATTACCCATCATGAATGCCAAGAAATGTTTCTTGAAAATAGGGTAAAATAAAAATCTGCAACTCTTAAGAATGTTCGTCCCAATTTCTTAAGAGACGAAAGGGGTATCAATGCCAAATATGCAAAAAGCCGCTTGCTAACTCGTACATCAACAAGGCGAAATAAGAGAACACGAATATATGTTCTCGTACTAAGTCCAGTCGATTACGCTGTTATTAGAGTTCCGAAACGACGCCATAGCGAGGTTTCGGTAAAGGAATGTCGATTTTTAGGACGGTGGTTAATGCGAGCTCGGTATTCAGACTTTGACTTGTTAATATTCGGTGCTAGCAGTCTGGGGATGTTCTTCACTAACCTCGTCTATAACCCAATATTTTGCCCGGTCTTTAATATTCCATGTCGTCGCAAATCCAACTAGGAGCGATAACAAGGACCACCAACTTATTACATCCGCATCAACAACGCGAACAGTTGACGGGGCTGACTCGGTGAAGTAGCCACTTTCTCGAATAATTGTAGTGACTAATGGTAACATGATTGAGAGTAAGTAGCCAATAGGTAATTTAGCAAAGGGCAATAGACGTATGGAACATTGGAGGGGTGAACGGCTCGGCTGGCAGTTGCAGTGAGATATTTTCATCCCCATATCCGATGGATGCCACCGAGTGCAGCTTTTCCGATCTCGAATGCGGAAATCATCCAGCGGGCAATGACTGCAGTCAGAGGAGGAATCGGACGAATCGATACTCGTACCCCATCTGCCTTTGTAAGAATGCGGACGTTCGTATGAGCTACTGGCTCCGAAATATGCCATCGTCCCGCGAATTGAGCCTTCGCCACCTAGCCACGGCTGGTTTCCTTCCAACTGAAGGTTGCAAGAGAACCCAGCCTCCGACTCGTCAGAATGAGTTAGGGCTACTGCCGACCCCAGCGTAGATTCTTCCCTGGTTGATCCGTAGTACCATCTCTGGTAAGGGCCAGAACAACGATATCGGCTACAAGACGACGACAGTGGCGAGTTAAGATCATCTGTGGCCTGTGATTTAGCATGGCAGCGCATACAGACAATCCAGAAGCGTGGGGAGGCGTCGTGGAAAGGGTGGTGCGCTGTTTTAAAGTGGCAGGATAGGTCTTGGAGAGGTCCTGACCAAGGACAAGACTCCGACGAGATCTCGGACGCGGTGTCTGGCGAACCTTTATATTCGCACTGCCAGCGATTCGGAAACGCCGACATCTGGCTACCAATCTCAAGAAGATCTTCTTGCGCATGATCCCTCGGTGATTGTGAACCAATATCGTTGCCTGGGTAGTACGGTAGCCCCGGGGCTTGGAGCATTGTGCTGTCGAGATAAACCGAATCGGTGTTAAATCCGGTCACTATTTGTCGCACATCCGAGCGGATGACGCTTTCATGCTCTCCAAACGGCGATTGCAAGTCAATAATATCGTTGGAGATACCGTCATGATCCGATGTAGCTAGAGCAGCGCCGCCAGTGCCGAACGTTTCACGGTTTAGGGCTTGCTCTACAGGCGTGAGTGGCAGAGTGCCATTATGATCATGCGACATGCCGAGGCTAGGAGACGGTAGAAGAGTAGAGCTGGTATAGCCTTCCTCCAACTTGCTGAAATCATGGCAATCGCACTAGCGACACGCATTTAGCAATCGCGACGATGACAACGATACGATATGGTGCAGGGTCTTACTGTTGTCTTCTTTGCGCGGTGGTGCGGGCAAGCAAGTTTAAGCTTACGCTTCAATGCGGTGTGCAATCTTGTAACATTTTTGAGCGGTCCTCTCCTCTTACCTCGTGGCCGTCTCGGCCGATCCGTGTCCTGCGCGGTAATATCTTGAGTTGAGGGCGTCTCGGGGTCATCGATTGGTGAATGCACAGTACTATTAGACGGAACAGACGGGGGAGGTACTAAATTTTGCTGAGATGCGACGTGGGTTTGTAGGCGCGTGCGCTCATGCGTCTGGCGGATTTCATTATAGATCCTCTGGTTCTCCTGCGTCGGCTCGACAATAATTCTAGGGCCGTTTCGTGGCTCGCAGTTCCTGGGAAGTTGTTGGTGGAGGGGAGCGAATAGAGTTTGCGACGGCATGCGGTTTTTGGTAGGCGAAGCCATGGTCGAGGCCGAGGATAACGTGACGACTCCCTCACGAGAGTCGCTAGTGCCGCAATGGCAGACAGCCTCGTGGTATACAAGCTCGTTGATAGAACCGGCGGCTAGACCCGACTGGCAAGGTGGAAAATGGTGCAGGGCAAGGGGCGAAATATTATCATCAAGGAAAGGGGTAGGCAGGTTTGAACGGGACGAAGTTAAGATCGTTGGTAGCCCGGCTGTGTATAATTTCGCAGTGGTAATTAGGATAGAAATCTCAACTCGAGATAGGGCGAGACGAATTACGGCCTATTTGAGGGACTGGCTTCAGAGGTACCTAACAACGTACATGTAGGTACTCTCTGTACCAGTAGCATGAGCATAACTGCGCCCAGTTGAGGCTGACGAGGAGGCAGAATTTTCCTTACCAAGCAACCTCCACACTCTCTGAATTTGGGACGGCTTACCGACCATTGGATGTCGCTTAGCTGGAAGATAGTGCGTCACCTGCTCCGACCACCATCAATACCTTATAACAGCTAAGTTCTATACCGGGACCAAGCGAATATCACTAGTTCCTGTATGTGCTGTGTATGTGCTGCGGATGATGCGAGTTAACAAGTTCCATCTTAGAACTCTTGATACTAAACATCAACTTTGCCCAACTTTTGGCAACTTAAGAAATAACAATTAATAATAAATAAACAAACAAACAAACGAATAAATAAATAAGTAAATGAAAATAGAATATCTTTCTAATGGCGAGAAGCAGTGGAATTGGAGGATGGGTTGAGGAGAACTATTCAATATTCAAGTAGGGCGGCAGGGTGTGACACCCCACCTACATACGTAGATGGCCCATGTACTACTGTACGTAGTAGCCTTGTAGCCATGCAACTACGTACATATATATATGTACCTCATAAAGGAAGTGGAAACTAAGTATTCGAGTATTGTAAGTAATAAATACCAAAATGGCTAGATCCCGCTTGACACGTAGCAAATCGTTCATCTGATTTTTAGATTGACTCAACCATGGTGCTTGATAGGTGGTATATTGCGCGTCTTAATATATAACATCATCGGCGGGCTATTTCAGCGGTCAAGTCGAAATGGGGGGTTTTCTCTCGACGCTACCTTGCTACCTTGCTAATTGCCCTGAACGACGAGGTGGAACTCCTAACAACCCCAGATCCGTGGAGGGGTCTTTTCCCTTTAGAATTGATATACCAGGAAGTGTTGTCATCCGCGACGGTCATTCTCACTAGTTAGGCGTTGGGAGGTACAAATTGCCAAGTTGCTCTTATGCTTGCTACAAGCAATTGCCTTGCGTAATGTGAGTTTGTGCAGTCCTAGTTGGCACTCGTCGGCCACACTCCCCGTCACAACTCCTCGAGCTTGTAAACGCCCAGATTAAGGTAACTCGTACACCCGTCATGGCGGCCGAGTGAATTCAAATAGATCATGGGCTTCTCTACTCCATGGCCCTCCATTTGCTCTAGCAAACCCGGGCATCGGGGTAATGGTAGCTTCTTTGACCCGGTTCTCCACTCTAGACCGCCGTCTATCATCTTCGTGCTTCCCAGAAATCGAGGGATTTCCCGCCACCGCTTCTGAAGGTAAAGGACACTGCGGAACTTGACCGGCAGCATCCGAAGGCTTGGCAGCCTTCTTACCTCGAGTGGCGGGGTTGACCACTATTCTCGAAGATGGTTGTGAGACCGCTGCCGCGTTCTCAAGCACAGGAGCCTGCATGTCTAAAGACGCATCTGTTTGAGCCACCCCAGACTTGGCCTTTTCCCGCAAAAACTTCGATGTTGCTTCCACATCGGCTGTGTCTGTGTTTCGGCGATCGGTAGACCGAGGAATAGTACAATCCTCGGCAACTTTTATTTCTTTGATGGGGGAGTAATCTTGACAATGATCGTTTGCATTGATGCGGTTACCATCTGTCGTTATCATATTCGTGCGATTCGCCTCGAATTTGGTAGCCTGTTCTCCCAAATGGTCCGCGGACAAGTGATGAGCGAGACTCTCTTTGCCACATTTACCTCCATCCCCGCTCTGTGGAAGTCCTCCGCAGTCAATTATGTCTTCATCGTCGAAAATAAACCCAATAACCTCCCTACTACGTATGCTCTTACGACCCAGATGAGCAAGGCGAGGAGCAGGTACGTTCCCGAATAAGAAGTCTTCCTCGTCCTTCTTGTCGTCGCATCTCTTCGTCATTGAAGGATCTATATCGTCCTCTGTTGGAGCTTTCTTCTTCTTTCTAGATGATTGTCTTCTACGCTTGGGGGATCCAGCTGTGCTAGTTAGATCAGCGTCCTCATGTGCGGACTCAAGCATTGTCGTACGTCTATCGCTTATTTTGTCGTGATGAGAATGAGACACCTTCTCAAGACGTCCACATTCGTCTTGGATAACAGGACTTGAAATATCCGGAACGTCTTCGCTCTCTTCATCGGTCGGACTATATTGCTTATCCCTCCTCATCTCCCTATTTTGTCTTTCCCTTGATTTCGGTTTTGTTGATGATACACTATGTGTCGAAAATGGTTCTTCATCACTTGATCCTGCCCTCCGCAGAAAATGGCTAGTATCCAGTTGTTTTGCCAGATGACCTTCATGATTAGCAGTGTTTTGGCGGTCGTGTAGGTCGGTCTTAGCTGGACCGGAAGACCTCTTGTTGATGCCCTTAGTTGAGTTAATAGTATTCTCTTTCTTTCGCCGAGAATGATTATCTTCGCTGCTTTCGATGCCTAAGGATCCGTTTCTATCAGACACATTATTATTTAAATGTCTCGTCGCTTTGTCGACTAGGAGGGTAGATGGATCCTGGCGGTCGATTCGGTTCTTGGCTACTCTTAATGAAGACGAATTGCAAGTCTCCAAGTTTTCGGAGATCATCAACAAACCTCGTTTCTTTCTCGGCTTAATGCGCAGCTCAGTCCTTGGTTCGCTTATGGTTTGTTTGTGATCCGACCCCCAGGACTCTTGGTTGGGGCCTGTCGGGTTTGGCATATTTCTAAGACTGGATACCGCAGACAGACCTTGGCTCCGAACGGATGTCTTAGATTTTGGTACCAAGGATGGATGCTTGGGCTTTTTGCTTCCTGAAGATGTTGCTGAGGGCACATCATCAAGCACGTCGCACTTACCCTTTAGTCGCGTAGGATTTGATTTATCGGGATTTAAGTCTGTTGCATTTGAATTCACTGATGTCGGGTGCAGTGAGTCGTCCTCTACGACTCGTCTCCTGGCCTTCCCATTTCGTTCCAATCCCAGTCGTCTAGTGCTACCAGTGAGATTATGTTGCTCATCGGGGACCGTACCACTCTCAATAGGAAGCGATGGAAATTGGATCTCATTCATATCCTGCACCAGAGCTTCTGGTACTCGTGATATTTTGTTTAAGAGAATGGTTCTGGGCGCACGGTCCAGCATTTCTTTCGAAATGGTTGTAGCCATGGCTATTGGACGTGTTAGAATAGGCGCAGAATCCTCATCCTCATCATGATGATCGGGATCAGGCGAAGCCTTCGGAGGTCTACTCCGTATTGATGGAGTGCTTGTCGGCGTGCCGGAAAGTGTAAGCGCGGCGCCGAACAAGCTCTGTGCGTAACCGCCCTTGCTTGGGGGCGACACTTCTCGCTTCCTTCGTTTCGCAGGGCGCGTGGTGCTATCTTGTGGCGGCACACTCATTTTCTGCCTTTCTTCGTACGGAGATTCGGTGGGCATGAGCGCACGCCCATGGTGTCCAGTAGGCGTGCCGATCAAATGATGGAGAGGTTTATGCCGTAGCTGAAAGTGAGGGGCGACAGCTTGAAATGTAGGGGCAGAGTCAAGCGCGGGGGGTCGACGCGCAAGGGCAGCGGCATGTCGTTCGGCCTTTTCCTGGGCCCTCTTGTCCACCAGTTCAGATAGATCTTGATCCCGACTGCCAGTACATTCAGAAACTTGGACAATCACACCTCCCCTCTCGAGCTCGACCTCGTCGCCGTCATTCAAGTCGTAGTCCTCACGCCAATGTGCATCTCCTACAAAGTTGCCGTGATCATCGTATACCATAATACGTTTGTTGAACGTATGATACTTCAATCTTCCATCTTGCCAGCGTTTCTGTTTCCTTCGAAGGTCGCGTGTGAAGAGGCATGCGAATTCGAGGACCGGGGCGGTGGAAGGCGCTTGCTGGCGACTTAAAGATGCAGAGCTCTGCATAACCTGCACAGCCGCAGCCATTGCCATTGATGGACGCGAAGGTACATGAAGTGGCGCTATTGGAGATATGCGTGAAGGCTCGTCACCAAGGCGAAGGGAAGATTCGAAGTGCCCGTGTGTGGTCAAAGGTCAAAGGTTATCTATCGAGGTGTCTATCTAGGTAAGTAGGTACCGGGACTTTACGCGTTTAGATTTATTAAAGCGTGTTTTGGCTAGCCAGGTCATTAAGAAACCACATCCCGCATGACTTCCCACAACGCGCTAGCACGTGCTACAGCCTACAAAAGCTAAAGTACTAATTACTGCTACTTAAAGCAGTAAGTGTATATTGTACATGGACTATTATTTAAGAAACTACCTAGGTACCTACTATTATTTACCTACCTAAGTAAACAAATTCATTACCTGCGTAGAGTTCATAAACGAAATCATATCATTTGTCGCACCTTGACTAGAAATTAACCTAGACTTTTAGAAATGTAACCGTTGTCTCACTACCACCTCGACTATTACCTCGGATTGGTTCTGTAGGTGTGCAGTGACGTATTTCCGCTTATCGTTATCGCCAACGTTATTGGACTACGGTACCTAGGCAGCTAAGTACATAAACTCTCCAGTTTGTTTGGAAGACAAGAAAAGGCGGGAATTATCTAGTAGTCGGTCATCCTGCAGACAATCATACTGCCTCCTCCACTAAGGTTTCGTGTCCTAGAGCCACTCCTCGTAACAAAACTTTGTCCATACCGGGCAGATAGTGCTAAGCACAACATATCTGGCCGCAGCAGCCATAGGAGTGAATTAGGCCAAGTATAATGAAGTGGTACATCCTAAATCTCTTGTTTGCCTACTAGGTAGGTAGGTATACTTACCCGTAAGTTTCAATGTTCCTTCCTTTCACGGTTTCCAAATACCTTATAATATTCGTCAATTGGAAGTTATGATCCTGGTAGCTCGGTAAACCGGCAGCTACCTAATACCGTACCCATTCGCTGAGCTCCTCTCCTAGGTACGGTCTCCGACTTTTTACAACCTCTTCAGCTCACCCTACTACGGATTGGTTTGTCTCCGACCTCATTTCTGCCTACGTCGTTTTCGCCCCCTACTTCAATCTTCCAACTCGAGGAGAGGCGCAGTTTAGCTGTTTTTATTTCCCACTTCAGCCCATCAGCCCATTAGCGATTAGCATTTTTGTTTTTTTTTTACCCTCTCTTTTCCATTGCTCCCCTGCTTATACCTACCTACCTAATCACCGTCCGTTTAAAGATACAAAACCCAAGGACGAAGCCTCCTCGTCATGCCATATCTTAAAAGCTATCAACCCCACATATAATATAAATAATTGATCCTCCAAACCCCGCCAAGTACCTCACCTGGAAGTTCAACAAGTGGACGACAGATTGGTTCCGGGACGAGGCTCGTCGCCAACTTACCCAACATGCAATCCATGCAAAGACAATTTGGGAAATTGCTCCACAAGAGTCCTGGAGATAATGCTAAGGTCGCTGTCTTATTGAACGACTACGAAGATGCTGATAGGGTTCTGGTTAAGGTATGGACTAAAAAGACCAATTATCGTGCCGTGCCATTTAGTTGCGCAATTCAAGTATCTAGTCAAGCTAACTCACTGATACTTCTGAGTCTTTAGATCATTGACCATACCAAATCATGGCGCGAGTCCTGGATCAATCTGGCTATAGCGCAACTGGGCATAGTGACGGAATACGATGGCCTCTGGGACCCTATAGTTGGTGCCTCCGACGGTCACGGAAGACCGACCGCGTCTACTCCGGAACTTCAACTCGAGCGGACCTTGAAACTGAAAGAAGTTTATGCCGATCTGAAAGCAGAACTGCTTGACGAAGTCAACCTCATCGACACGAGCATTATCAGACCCGCTACAGATGCTCGGGATTTCATTGCTCCTTTAAGGAAGACGATCAAGAAAAGAGAAAACAAGAGATTAGATTACGAGAAGTGTCAAGATAAAGTCAACAAATTGCAAAGAAAGGCTGGTCGAAGTCCTAAGGAAGATGCAGCTTTAGCAAAGGCCGAGGGCGAAGTTGCACGGGCAGCTGAGGTATAGAATACAGACCAATTGGATAGAGCGGTTGAACACAAACTAATAAGCCGAACAGGAATTCCAGATTGCAGATTCGCATCTGAAAGAGACATTGCCGCCCCTCGTGTCTGCGACATTTAACTTAATACCACCGCTCATAGCAGGTGTGGTCATGATTCAGAACAGACTACTCGGCTTATACTATACCACTCTTCACAACTATTGCCAGGATTATGACTTTCCATCGCCACCACCTCCCATGGACAGCGTAATATCCATGTGGTCAGCCGATTATGAACCCATCAAGCGCGAAGTCGAATCAATAACGTGCATCGCAACAGGAAAGGCCGTCAAACAGCCCATGAAACTACCAGACGATCCAACCAACAGTGACGATCGGAAACCATCCACTTCTTCCATCGCTTCCGCTGGGGAGAATGGCTTTCGCCGTTCATCGTCTGGGCTCATCGGCAGCAGTGGTGCTGGACCTCCTGCACCTGGTCCGCGACCAAACCGCATTCCTTCATCAACATCACTCGCATCTCAAGCAAGTACCGGAGCCGCAAGGCCGTCTTTTGCTAACCATCTTACTCCTACCGATTTCACCACTGCTTCCCGACTTGGGCAGACACTGTCACCTGCTATATCACCTGGGTCAGCTCAGCCAAGAGCGGACTACTTCGGTCGGCCCTCGACTGCGTCAACATCGGCATCTACCACCTCGCTCAACACGGCTTCTAACATGGCCTCCATCGCAGTCAAAAAGAAGCCTCCGCCCCCGCCTCCAAAGAAAATTGGTTCGAACCGGCTAGAAGAATTCGTAGTCGCTCAGTACGACTTTACCGGGCAGAATTCAGGTGATCTATCTTTCCGTGAGGGCGACAGGATAAAAATCGTCAAGAAAACTGGCACGGACCAGGACTGGTGGGTTGGCGAATTAGACGGGATCAGGGGCAACTTCCCGGCAAACTACTGCAAAATAGCTTAAGAGGCGACGACATTTCTAAGCAGATCCTATTTCAGCAATATGGACTGACGGCCAAAAGTAGGTACGTCGTGTGCGAAATCTTTTGACGTAAATAGTCCAAGTCGATTAGTGTTATCTTTTGCGATATGGGCCAGGCCAAAAAGAGCTTTCTGCTCATAACCAGGGGCAAAAAAAGGGAAGGACACTAGACGGCTAGGTGGATGATGGAATGAAATGGAATGGAATGTGACGAATTAGAGCGACGTCGCCGTTAGTAGGATATTGATGTACACAACACCCAACATGGGACGATACGAAAAACGTAGTTTATAACAGCATGAGCACTCGGGTCGTCACGCAGTAAGAAATTGATGCAAGTCACGACATGATGGCTAGTTGATACGGAATCTGATTTTACTCATGTCTCAAAAAGAAAGGGGGGTTTGCATCCATTCTGCTAAGGTGAGGTAATCACATTCAACCGCACCAGATTGATATGCTAGGAGCAAGTGTAAGTCCTCCTATTCTCGCCATGCCGTCTGTTTCCCGTCTTCCCGATTCTCCTAATCCCCATGGCTCTTGTCCCCCGCCTCCAATAGTAAATGTTAACGAATGCCTACTCGGGAGCTGCCCCTTAGCGAGTAAAGCAAGAATAAAAGTCTATATCAGGAGCCCAAATTCAAATAAGTAATATGTCGAAGTCAGACTACCGTACAATTTCCAACCTATTTGCCCTTTCCCTGCGCCTGCTGAATCCATGCATGCAAATGTGATCGTATCGTCCAGTCTTTAGGGTATCATAACGAAGACAAAGGAGATAAGGTGACTCGGAGGCCCGATACGTGTACCAGTCAGTGGCCAGGTGACGGCCAACCGAACAGAAATGCAATAAATAGGTCCGGAGTGCGTAATAAAGCTATTTGAATAGGAAAAGAACGGCGTCGTCAATACACAAGACGGGAAGTCTCACCCCGTTCTCGTAGCACTGCTAGGATTCAGGCGATCGGAAAAGGTCGTCAGGGTTGAGTGTTCCCCGAGGAGTAGCCAAATGTCCGTGATAGAACATGTAGCGACGGTGAATATGATCGAAGTAATGGTATGGCACACGGAGTCGATTCTAAGCAAAGATGATACACTCAGAATGTGCTAGGGCCCAGTTCAACGGCTGGTGGTGTCGCGCCCTCCCGTCGTTTACGTTCCTCCTCGGCCCTGATAGCACGAGTTATCTCTTCGACTTGAAGGTCCGCCGGGCCTCGCGCTCCCAGATAACCGTCTTCCGAGCCTTCTAATTCCATAGGTGTCACAGGCCCCGGAGATCCCAAGGGCGCCAGTCTCGGTTTACTTGGCTTAGACATACTAGTAAATCCGATTGACCTTAAAGAACTCATCGTTGCCGCATTGACATTACCACCATTAAGAGCTATTGTCGCTTGAGCAATCATGTCGCGTTGGTACTGCTGTAGTCTGCGTTTTGCGTCGGACTCATTGCGCGAATGTCCCATCGTAGAAGCGTCTCTGGCAGTGGGCACCTGGGTTTCCGACTTAGTCCCCGTCGGAGCGGAAGGGGTAAGATTCGACGTCGGCGGCCTGCCTTGTTGCCTGCTTCTTTTCTCTTCCTTCCTTTTCACGTAATTAGAAGGATAATATTTACCCATCGGTAGAGGGTTATCCTGCGCTCCGGTGGGATTGTAACTAGCAACGGGAGTATTGGACCCGGAGTCGATACTAGGTTGCGGCCGGCCTGAAGCATTATGCTGCGCAAGTCGCGTGGATCGTTCGGCCATAGTTACGGGGAGGGTTGTGGAAGGGTTGGCTCCCATCGCTACCGCAGTACTAATGGATGTTCTGGTATCAAGAGAGCCTGAGTGGCCGGCACGTTCTATAGATTTCATGCGAGCTTTGGAAGCATCAAGCTGAAATGGGTGAGGACAATAGACTCGGGCTTGGTCCTCGTGTAAAGGGAAATAGCCACTACACCAGAGACGGAGGATTAACCAGGATATCCATGTTTTCAACTTGACGAACTTACCCAGGAAGATCGCCGCGAGCGGAGAGAGGTGCGGGTGGAGTATAAACAGGTGCGCTGTTGACTTTCTTGGCGGTCGGTAACTCAATAGCGATTGGCCTAGTCCTAGCAGGTGTTGATCTAGGAGAGTCGAACAGCGTCGGGTCTTTTTGTCCTGAATCAGTTGCAAGATTGGTTAGCACGTATTCATCTGTCTTATGACGCAGTTAACAAAGCCAACATGTAAAAGAGGCACACTAGAAGATGCAGTAAAGAGGGGTACATGGGTCATTTTAGAGGGCTCTTGGACGGGGGCTTCGTTAGCGGCCACAAGATTCCCCTCGACCTCCTTCAGCCCCCTAAGAGAGGGCACCTAAACAAACGGGTAACCATCCTGGGTATCGTTGAAATGCACCCCGCCTTAGTGGAGGGCATTAGTGGCTTACTAGGCGCCATCCAACCAGAGTCTTCCACCGCCGGTTACAAGTCGGAAATGGCAATCTTCACCGTATAACATAGTACGGCAACCCCGGCAACTCGCCAGTAGGAGGACAATAAAGCAAGCAAGCAAGCCAACAAACAAACGAAAAAGAGTAGAAAAAGGACACCGGTTACTAATCCGACCCATGTGGACGGACGTCTGTTTTCTTTGCATTGCGTCGCGCAGCAAAGATCCGCCAACCGATTTCCAACATTGTTCTCATGGCAGAAGCCACCATGGTTACAGAATAACCCATTCTGTACAGTTACAGTGGCGAAGGGCTTTCAAGCAGGAAATAAAACTTACCACCACTGGGTTTTAGCTTCGGAGAAGCTCCGGATTGTGTAAACTGTGGGTTATCCATCGTCACATTCGGCGAGGGTTTCGTAGAGAATATGATATCGTCCTGCCGAATGTCGGGCGAGGAGAGTGGCGACGCTTCGGATGAGCTAGACATGGTTCTCGAGGGCGGCGGCGGTCGTCTTTTCATAGAAGACAGGTACGAAGAAGGCTTGAACGAACGGCTGAAGCTTGCCATGTTATCGTCAGTCCTTCCAAGCCGAATTCTACCAGCCAGCCTCCAGATCTAGCCCTGTGGATCTAGTTGACAAGAATATACTGGTTAGTATAATTCTTAAGATCTTGGTTGTGTGTTTAGCAGTAGGCGATGGTCATAATCAGTCACAAATGGGCAAGCAGGTAGACGAATTTATGTGAAGCCAGAGATAGAGAGTCGAACTTTTCGTTATTGCGAGCCTTTTGTTCGGTCGGCTTTTGGTGTCAGACGGCTCCGCTGAGGTGCCCACCTGTTGGATGTACCGATGGATTCGCCTAGGAATTTATCCTGTTTTTTTGGCTTCCTCTTCCAAGATAAGAGCGCGTTGCGTGCTTTATAAAGGCAGAAGCGGTGTTATGCATAAAAGTAGTATTTCGCCGTGGTGATTGTCGATATTTCAAGCAAACAATAATAATGCAATGAGTCGAAGGGGATATGATGTGATCCGGTGTCTTACCTGTGGCTGAAGGTGCCAGTGAATTGTGCTAGACGTGAGGATATCAATCCTCACACTACCATACAGTACATAAATGGAGCGTGCTATTACCAAGTAAAAGTGATTCGGGTCAAGAAGGATCGTCGTTTCTGACCCGTCTCGGGGGGCGTAGTGTGCAGCACAGTAGGTGGTGCCTGGTGTGTGTAGGCGGTAGGTTGTTCGGCGTATCCACAGGTAATTTGACCATTCACTGGTGAATGGGTGGATGGATGGGTAGAATAGAGACGGATGGATATGTGCAAATATGTAGACCCGCTTGCTCCCACTTGTTTTTTCTTACATTTGACCCGGCGAAGAGATACCTAGTAGCCCTTGGCATTTGCTGTGGGATTATTGCTATCCGAGAGGAAGAGGAGCGAGAGCAGATGTTTCTTTTTTATTTCCAAACGCAGTGGAGGCGATGGGTGGTAAACGTGATAGTTGAATGACTGTGGTGTGTGGTAGATGGTAAGCTCGCAAATGCTAACACTGCTACCCAGACTGACCAGCAAGAACCATTCAATAGCCAACCAGATGTCTCCGAGACGGAACGTTGGGACCCCTGAAATGTATTTCCATATGAGGAGTGATTGCAGTGTTGTAATCTGGGAAAGGAAAAAGGAAAAGAGGGAACAGTTGAAGTCAACCAGCTTAGGACTAATCCGATCCAACAAGACCACGGGCCCTGGCTTGTGTGTGGTAAGGCCACTCGAAAGAAGTAGTATGATATTTACAGGAAGTAAGTACTATGTGTATTCGTATGCACTTGCGACTTCTCTTTTCTCCATACTACCTATTCTATAGAATTATAGATGGTAGGTACCCTACTTAATCTTTAATCTTAAGCTAAAGATCATGAAATTTTGTTAGATATGATTGGTATGAAACAAACGGCAAGCACATGAGAGACGCAGCATGTGCATGTGTAAATGAGCTACCTCCTTTTATATTTTTTACTTTTTATTATTTTCCATATATAATATTCAATGTGCTCAAGTGCTGTTTTGTTAAACCTAAACGAGATATGAAAGACCCTTAAACTTGTTGGGCTTGGAAGAGAAAAACCCGGGAAGGCTCCACTTTATTTTACGTATGTACCTTCTTCGTTGTTTCTGTACTAATGTTAGCTATGCGATACTTATCTCTAATTGGGTAGCCCTATCAATGTATCACATTTTGTTGACAGCAGCAGATTAGCGAGCAGGGAAAAAAGAAAATAAAAAATATAAAAGATAAAAGATAAAAGATTCGTTATGTATGTTACGGCATGGCCTACGATCGGCTGCTCTGCGCCTGGATGGGAATAACCTAGAACAAAACCTAGGTATGCATGTATATGCCGATACGCCGAACTGGGCATCGATGTATCATTGTACGTAATAAGTAAACTTCTACGACCATCATCCAACCTCGAAAGTATGGAATCGTACGAGCACTATCAATGACACCCTTCCAAATGGATATCTGCATACATATAGGATATCCTCTAGAGTCGCATTCGCATGCTCGGCCGATTCCATCTTTTGATTACCCGTTACCGGCCGGGAGAGATCGTCTCGTAGACCATGCTGGCAAGTGTCTATGGGGTAGGGATGCAAGAGAAAAGCCAGCTTCTCTACATATTGTATTGACAAGTACCTCTCCATCACATTTATGTCATGCCCTGCCCAGGACGAAACACATTCTACCGCGGATGGCTGACAGCGGTTGGCAGGGTACGTTGCTACCCAGCCTGCAGAGATCAGCGTATCGCGCTGAACATCAAATCGCCGCCGATGTCGTGCGTAAGCGATTGAAGATGGGAAAACACAGCCTCGAAACAGATGTAGTAGACTCCAACACTAATAGGTTATTATTTGAAAAAAAGAGGACTCTAGTCCCGAAGACTAGGTTATGAATTGGAGATCCAATGACATAACGTCTTCTGGGCCATACCGCCGATACTTACCTGCGTATGTCTCAGATTATTGCCACGAGCTAATGTTTGAATGAGCAACTTTGAGCTGATGTAGGTCACCTTGTGAGGTCACCCAGCATCTGTGCTGGATTGGAATTTTATGCCTGTTAGGGTGTATGTGCGGTTCCCTGTTTCCTTGCCGCTGTGCGCTTGTCAGAGATGAGACCTAAAGCACACACCATTCATGGGGTCTGGAATCGCCTCCGACTTGCCCTTTGACCTTGAGCTGAACATGAGATCTCGACAAAAGTTACTTTTACTACCAGGCTAAGGAGCAAGAAGTATGGAGTATGAACATGGAACGCCGTCGGATAAAAGATAGGCTTTCGTCGATTTGGTAGATCAATACTTGGAAATGAGCCAGTGTTTCTCGTTCCCGCCCGTCGTCTGTAGGCGGAGATTTGGCTCCCTGTCTGTCTTCTCCTTAACTAGGTACCTATGTACGTCGCAACTCTGCACGTTCTTACGACCATGGCAGCACCTTCGTGAAGCTATCGATAGCGTTCTTATATGTACTTATATATGTATTATTCCAATGTTTAGCTCGTGATATTAATTCTTTCTATAAAAACCCTATTCAAAAATTGGGTTAGGAGTAATAAAGATGCGCAAGGTACTCCAAATTTAAAATATATTAATGAATGTTAAAGCCAGAAAAGAACACTACTCTTCGAAATCCTTACATAGTAGATAAAATGACGGAGAAAAACGGAGACCCCATAGGTCCGATAAGATATGACGTATGCAGCCAACCCTTGGCGCATAGCTCGGGACGTTCTCCTATAAACCAATGTACCCGCTTTTACCGCCCAACTGAAAAAGGACAAGGGAAAAAGATAAATCAATAGAAGACTTGAATCTTATATCGATAATTTGACAAGTCTCTGTGATCGTAAATGCATACGGGGACCGCACAATGTCCCGTTGTTGGTCAATAAACTTTGAGGTGTCATAGCGAGAGATTCAGCTACATACCTATCCATGTATGTAACCCGTGGAGAACACATGTGGATGCGTCCATACCTGGGTATGTACCTACCTACTAGGGACGTACATATACGTAGGTACGTACGTACTAAAGGCTAAAGCTACGTGAGAGAGCCATACTACAAGGTTTACTGGTGCCCCCAGCAGCATGGGAATACACGTAACGAAGCCTGGAAGTTCACTGAGATACCTGGTCTTCACGCCGGCCAAGTAAAATTTAGCATCCCATCTATATTATAGCTCCACATGAATACGGCTAGAGCTATGAATCAAGAACGTGATGTGGTGCAGCCTTTATAAAGTTTGTATGTAAATCATATTAATATTCCTTCACGCCTTATGTATATTTCTCATTTCACCTCATCCCTTATCGACATCATTACTATTCCAAAATAAAAGCTGTGCTTAGAGAGTATTATGTATGTAGGTACACCTCTAACGCCAATCCAAAAGTCTCTCGTCGCTTTCATCTCCACGATCCCCGGCCCCAGCAAACTCCTTCCTAAGGCCGGTCTCCAACGCAACAGGCCCCTCATACACCAATGTTAGATCAAGGCGACTATGCTGTCCAACCAGTAAAGCGATTTGAGCGAGTTGAAGCATTGCGGCCTAGCCTTGCACGGCCGGTAAATCGACTACGCCGATCACGGTGAGTCCACCAGTAGGCAGCGCTCGCAACGAACCCGATCAACCAGAGGAGTGCGTTCGCTAAATCGACCCAGACAGCGTTTTTCATCCGTTGAATATCGCTACTCCCTTCCGGATCCTCGTGGATATACATATTACCAAATAGGCCGAAGAGTGCGATCCAGAGGACAAAAATGACGAGGCTCCATATCGTGACTACGGCGAATCGCAAGATGAATGGGATAAGATAGAGAATTGCCGTCAATGCCGCAAGACCCCCAACAACTTCCGCATAAACCTATACGTCGAAAGCTCATTCGTTAGCGTCGTTCATTTCTAAGTGGAGCCTTGATAGACGTGTATCAGCTTGTGGTAGACAATAGAATCAGCCATCCTACCCATTTTCCATCTATATATTTGCCTTGAGAACGCGCACGCTGCAGGTCAATACCATACAGGCCGCAGACGGTAATCGCTAGGACGAATTGAGCGAAATGGAGAGCGGAAAAGAGCAGATAGCCCACTGTCATGCCTAGGATACCCATAGTCGCAAAGTGTAATGGGTAAAGCAGAGAGCGGGAAATGCGACGATGGTAGGTAGATAGGCGGATAAATAATTCTCTCCGCAGGATACAGCAACGAGATCTCTAGCAAAATAGCTAGCACAGACTGCGGAACGTAGAAGAACCATTCGTTTTATAGAAGATTAGATAAGTAAGAGAGAATCGATGTTGGCGACATCCCTTTGGGTATGCGGCCATAGTGTCTCTGACGTAATTGTCTTGGGAGTGGGTTAGGCACGATAAGGTTTGGGGAATTACAGATTCATACTATTGCCGGTAACTTTTTTAAACCCCTGTATTTACTGGGATGATGCTTTCTGCTGGTTAATGGAGACAGCCCTGGCTTCGATATTTGTCTGTGCTTCTCGAGGGACCCTGCCTTGGGCTACGACGTATATGGACAAGCGCAATCTATCCTCAGCCAAATACCTATGGATGTGCCAAGAAGCCAAGAAGCAAGATCCAAGACAAGTTCGAACCAAAACAGGGGTAAGATCCATCAGCTCAACTTACTATTTTTTTTCTACTTTTCTTCTATCCCTCTTACGAAGCATATCTCGGATTAGTGCTTATGCATATACCATCTCGTCGTTCTCGGAACGAAAAACGTATCTCTACCCTAAACCTAGAGACAGTGGACATGTTAGAGAAGACACCGACAGATGGATCAAGATTGCTCGATGATACCACTTATACTTGTACTTGTAAGACGGTGCCCAGACTCTATGATAAGAAACCCAAGTTCTTGGGGCAGAAATCTAGAATCGGGTCAGTCGTATGATCATATGCTCAAAGCATGCACATCTACCAAGCATCATGAAGTAATGATATCTGTTACGTTAGCATCGGCATGTCTCTATAATGAGACTACTGATGGGAAGAAGCCGCTTATCCCGACAACATTGACGGCTCTCTTCGATCATTAGAACTTTTCTTTCTGTTATACCCGAAGAATTGGTATCATACGCTCTTCCAACATGCCGGGCAACATGGGAACATCTCGCCCAACTAAATAACGGGCCCAATGAGAACGAACCCCAACCATCCCTATCTCCAACTTTGTTGCATATTCTCTAGTCTCACGACATGCTTTGGGAGCCGCAGAGGAAGAAACCAACGTCTTTTTTACTATAACTCGTAGGACATGGACGGGTCTATATAAACTGAGGCTCTCGACCAGTAGTCAGTCAGGCTGTCGGCAACGCTTACCGTCTCTCACTATATCGCAGCTGCGAAGTTACACATTAATTAGTTACCTTTTGCTTACGCCATATGATTTATATATATTTTTAATATGACGTTTCATCATAGAACTGAGAAGTATATGCTCCATCCCGCTTTGCCCTGCCTTGTCTATACGGACATTCCCTCGGCTTTCGTAGCACTGACAATAATCTCAGGTCAATTGAAGTGCGTATGCTGCTCGAATCGTTCCAATTTCGGTAAACATCGCGAGTGGGCCTGTCCTTTAATCGTGAGAGCCGAAACTTTGGTTATGGTGGCGGCTTTCCAGGTACCAAGTCTATCCAACCAGGATCGAAGGCGGAAGAATCAGCCCTATGAGTACCATGGGACCTTATGGCCTCATGGCTATGCAATGCTACTCACATAAGTGGCGTCACATGAATGAATGGCTACCGAGACAACGGAACCAATACTAATTGCAGTGCAAGGATTGGATCATTACCGAAACCCATATAATGAGTGGGCTAAGAGATGTCCGTGAGAGTATTGCAGACCCCCTGGATTCCTTGACTATGGTCGGTATCGCGAGATGAATGGGTCAATCAGCTTCCTATATTCCACCGAAATTAGCTGTTCAGGTGGACTCCGTGCCCTACCGAACTTGCTCAGGTCTTCATGGTGGAAAAATCATCACATGTCAAGCTTCGAGCCGCACACTGAGCTGGCTATACTGCCTTCACTTTAAGCTTGCCAGCTACAATGTTTCACGTTGAACCGCTTGGGTACCTGGCGATGCCAATGGGCGTACTAATTGTCCTTACCGAATCCTACAGCCATACGACGCTGTCTACAACGCTGACACCGCAACTTAGCCACTATATGTTTATGAACGTGACGGTCAAAGTGTTTTGGGCGGTTTTGGGAGAATACGGACATGTTAGGATGGAAATATACCTTTGCCCAGTACCGGGCTGTGATTATCCAAGATTCAAGATATAAGATCCTCTCTATCTCTCGAGGACATCCTCAATGCTATCTCTCGTGCTCTCTTCTGCAAAGCATCCTCTCATCACATTTGAACCTATCTGACCAACTTTTATCTGTTCTCTATTCCGGACTATTTCATTTTTTTTTATATCTCCAATGGCGATCCACGACACCAAGATGGAATATCCTAACGACACAGAACATACCCACTGCGGGTCTCACACTTTCCATGCTGGTACATACTCCATCAACGGTGAATTCTCTCACGGAATAATCGGAGCCGAGGATGGGCCAGAGAAACCGGACCCGACCTGGCGATGGAACTGCGTAAGTAATTACCCCTTCTACCTCCCAAATTCAACACTAACATGTTTGAAGTGTTCGTGCGCCAATGGTGGGAACCAGTCATACATCTACAATCCCGAATGCACTGAATGCGGACATACGAGGTCCAAGGATTGCTGTGAAATATACAGATTATAATAATGCTTCAACCAAGACCACGAGGCCTGAAAATCTTTACACGAGCGTTCTTTGAGAAGGTTTATACGACAGTACTACTTAGCAACTCCTCTGCGATTTCCCTAAAAGCACGACCTCTTCTATCGACACTCCTTTAAGATCTAGCTTGAAGATGAATCATCTATTCGGTGTCTCCGCATCCTTAACTATTGGGATTGATGTTTATCTCTTGGCGTCCAAACAGCTTTTTTTTCTTTTTTTTTTCTTTTTGCTTCGAGTCTCAGAAGTAAAGGATGGCTCAGGCCTGGATTCGGAGTACTCTCAAGTCAATCCTTACACTAAAAGAGAAGAAAGAACGGAGGCATAGATTAGATTAGATGTACTATCGTTAGATCTCGTTCATATAGACTGATATAGACTGATAGAATATTTCTCTGACTATTGCTGCCCCCGGCCTATACAATTGGTGATGTTTCATTGATTGTCTACACTGCCGCTGCGAGAAAGATTGCTACTCGTAGTCCATTTTGTCGACAGTTGCATTTTAGCATTCCGCTGGGTATTTGTTATCACCAATGCCAGAAGCATGCGCCACGGGACCTAATGCCGTACATCACTTTGGGGATCTAAGCCTAGGGCTGCCTCTAGCAGATTCGGGAACACGAGTGCTGTCATAATGTGACCGTATCCCGGTAGGTGGCCCCTTTTTGGTAGGCAAAGCCAATTCCCGGGCTCCATAACCAGCCTTGCCATGGCTAACTCACCTGGACAAACACACCTGTACTCCACTTTTCACATTGGAACGTCCCACCAAATATATACCGAAAAGGCTAGGCACCCTGTCCATCTATTAACATATCAACACAAGGACCCTCGGGTCGGGACTGAGGCAGGGGCAAACCAACAGTACCGGCAGTTGCGAGACTTGATACGATGGTCGAGCCAAGGCAGTCGACGCTAAGGGCTAGGCAACTAGATACCCTTTTCAGGTAGCAGTTGTAAGGCCTTCACGAGAAACAAGAGGGAAGAGCCTACCTAGGGCGAACCCGTCAGCCGGACTGGTCTGCGGAAATAGCGGTGGGAAATAGGAGGCTACGGTACTATTCAACTTTCGCCCCCTCGGAGGAAGGTAACTTCGAATAGGGGGCCAGGGGCCAGGGGCCATGGGGCTGATATAGGTAGGTAGATTATCAAATAAATGGCTATAATTGTACTTGCAGCTGAGTAAGGTTAGCGGAGCGGTTACATAAGGTATACTGTCACGTTACCAAGCCCAACTGAGTCGAGAATGCATCGTTGCCTCTGTAGACTTCTCAATTAGGTTGCTATTGGAACAATATCCATTGTATGACTTGATAGGTAAGGCCCGTGGTCATCCGTCGGGCTGCTTCGGACATGGGGTACATGTAAAAGGGGGAGCGAGGGAGGGAGGTGGTACAATTGGATTGCGGCTCCACATGAGGCTCTGCTAGAGAGGGAGGGGAGGGGAGGGGAGAAGAGACAAAGCAACAAGAAAACGGGAGTGCGATTTTCGGTACGTGTAGCGCGTGCGTAGTACATACATGTATCAATGAATGTCTCAAAAATGAAGCACGTGATGATAGGTCTAGTCTACCTACATGTACGAAGTAGGTAGGCTTTGTAAGATGATGAGTAAGAAAGTCTTATGTACCAGCTAACTTGCTTGGCGCATATTTCATTTAAACATGGTATGTAATACCTACATAGTATGTATCTAGGTAGTCAGGTACACTCATATAGCTGGGCTTAGAGACTCGTGTTCCCATTCTCCTATCGGATATTCGAAACTTCGAAATACGCTTCTATTCACCGAACATGGGTACTAAGTAGTAATTAGGTTGCTTCTTTGTTGGTTTTCACCCCTCGTCTCCGATCAATTGACAACTCATAAAACTCGAATGTGCCACCATCTTGCGGTGAAAGTGTACCCTCCTTCAACCAATGAGAAATATCGATTCTACCAATCGGTTATTCTCATTGGTTTCCACTTTATTATTGATGCTGCACATATTGCCAGCTATTCCGTACATATCCACTTTGTAATATTTGTTCCGGACCGTCTCCGAACGCTTACGTGCTCACTCTATTTACGTACTGCGAGCCCAAGCCACCTGCCTAGCCTTGTACGAAGAGTCAGCTAAGTTTCTAATCCGTCCTCGGTCAAACTTCGTCGAAGGGAAGTCAGGTATCATGACGGAAGAACTTCCTAGCCCGCCCTTTCTTGTCATTCCGGGTTTACCGAACTTCCGCGACATCGGAGGCTATCCAGTCGGTAGTTCAGGCTTGACTTCGGACTCTAGCCTGCCTCGAGACAGCTCAAATACGAAGGCTGTCCGCCGTGGACTGGTGTACCGTTCGTCGGAACCATCTAAGGTCACCGAAGACGGTGTGTTGAAGCTGCAAAGCCTGGGCATCGGTAAGGTCTTTGACTTGCGCTCAGCCGTCGAGATCGAGCATGGGCTCCACGGCAACGGCAACGGTGATGGGTGGAAGGTGAAGGAGTGGGATGGCGCTCGCCGCGAATTTGTTCCCGTCTTCCTCGATCAGGACTACTCGCCTGAGGCACTGGCTCTAAGATACAAGAATTACTCCTCTGAGAGTGCACAGGTATGTGTCACATCACACGCGCCGCGCCGCAAGGAATGGCGGGAGAAGGTCAAGCGTACGCTTCCACCAGTGAAGAAACTACGTCGGTCTCTCTGGCTCGGCCCGCGGACCAGCTTCGGCCAAGCGGCTGTCTAAAGATTGGGGCTGGGGACATCAATGTTGCATTTGGGGGCCGAGGCCTAGCCTCCTTTATGGCCAAGGTTGAACTGCTCAAGAATACTGGTGAATGGGGTCCATTGGGGTGCTGGGATGCTGGTATTTTATTTCATTCACCGCTAGCCCAAAACCCAATACTCGATACGAGCTGCCTCTTGTTCGTGTTTCATTTACTCATAACTCATCCTGAGAGGCAGACAGTTCAACCAGCATATTCACCTAGCCTGATAAGCCCATGGCTAACAGTTTGTCCTTAACTAGGGTTTCGTGGTAGCGTATGGTGACATCCTTGCTGCCGCGGCTTCTCCGAGCAACGACTACCGGCCGTTCAGGACGATCTTGGAACACCTGGCCTCGCCTTCACCCTCGTTGCCGGCACCCTGTCTTATCCATTGTACCGCTGGCAAAGACAGGACCGGAGTGATCTGCGCGCTGATCCTAAGCTTATGTGGCGTGGACGACGAGGTCGTTGCACACGAATATAGCTTGACGGACTTGGGGCTGAAGGAACGCCACGCTGAGCTTATCGCGCACATGATGAACAATCCGTCGTTACGAGACAACCCCGGATCTGCCCAAAGGATGCTTTCGTCCCGGTATGCCTCTCTTTATACTTGTTTCACATATTCCTCATCTCCCTCTTGCTGATCTGCTGTTGGCGTTTTTCTTTTTCCCTTCGATTTCAGTTCTTGGTACGATAGTATGTTGAAAGGCTGACGTATGATTCCATATTTTCTTTCGATTAGAAAGGAGGCTATGTTGGGCACGCTAGCCAAAATCCGGGAGACACACGGATCTGTCGAGAAGTGCGTTGTCGATTTAGAATTACTCTCACCCGAGGGCATTAAGCAGCTGCGAAGTAATCTCGTCAATGATGCGAGCGAGGAGGGGATTGTTCCATGGCAGAATCATGCCAAACTATTGCTATAGTCGTTGGGTATATGTAAATATTCAGCAATGTGTACATAGAAGCCGGCCCCTTTTCTTGGCCCGCTATCCATAGACGAATGCGCAGCAGCTTAGACTCCTCGAGGGTCGTCTAACCCCATGCTTGTCTATAATATGTTCGTAAAGGTTTTGTACAGAGATCGTACAGAGATCCTCACACAATCGACCCGCCTAGGATTAAGGTACTGAAGTGGGAATCTTGACTTCACCCTTGGACCGGTCATAGTGCGGCGCACCATACCTCCAGCCAACCGCGTTTCGAGCCCTACCCGTGGGACCGACATTTTCCGAATTGATTTGTTTGAAACGGTATTCAAAGCGCTTCGTGGGAATTCGGGTGGTGTATTTCTCTTCTATACCTGCCTTTTCGATTTCTTTCTCGGCTGCCTTCCTTTCCGACTCCATCACAGCCTGCTTAAACCTCTCTGAAGCGTCATATAATGGACGACCTTGCAACACCTCCCTCTCCATCTGAATCAGTTCTGGATGAGGGACTCGCTCATCCGCGGATAACATCTTAGGGTGAAAGGCTTTGGCGGCATCGGCACGAGTAAAATGTCGCGACTCAGACGTCGGCCAGAAGATCTGCTTCATCGTGTACGGATGTACATGTAGCTCATTAATGGACTCGAAGGGTTCGTTTCGCTGACCAGCCTTGAATGTATGGGTAGGAAGCATGGACAATACAGCTTTCGCATACGGTTTCGCCAGCTTCTGCCCCTAAGGTTGCGATACATTAGCAATAATCTCTGTCAAAGATTGCCCGACTTCAAAATTTGTAGAGAGCGCTAGGATCAGAGAGGCTCGCAACAATGTTTGTAACCATGTGTATGTCTTCAAGACTTATCGAATTGGGTATGTTACAGTCATCATAAAAGCGCGGCATAGGGTTAAGGGTAAATGAGATGTACGATGCGCGACGCACAATGGGAGACAACTCACTTTGGCTTCCCAGTCCTTCTCGACTTCTTTTAACCTCACAACCGCCGCTACTCTCCTAATATCAACACCTAGTTCGGCAGACACTGCCTTGATAGTCTCGCCATTTCGCATCACCTTCTCCCAGATCAATTCCCTAGCACGATCGTCTAGGACAGGCTCACTTATGAACTGGGGATTGAGGGGAAATGGTTTGTCGGGATTGGGAATACCCCTCCAAAGATAATTGGTATTTCCGGGATTATGTTTACGGTAAACCGACCCGGGACCGTTGATCCAATGTCTAAAACTGCGGCGTGCTCTACTGAAGTGAGTACGACTCGAGGTTGTCGAGAAGTTAGCCTTTGTCTGCGAACGTGGCAGAGAGACACATTGGTTCACATTCGGTAGAGCTGATCTAGTCAAGGCAGAGGTTGCCGCTGACGCAGTTGGTAGGCGTGGTGGCATCGTAGCGACATAGGACGCCTCAAACTGGAGGGTGTGTAGATGGAAGCTTTGATAAGAATTTGTGGAAGAAAAAAAAAAGCTTGGTAAAGAAAATTGGACATCGGGTTCGGAAAAACCGTACTGTGGTTCTGGACCCGGTTAGGTACTGGGTGGTAATGAGATCTCCATATGCGGATGGAAGTGCCTTATTCGGGTCCGTGCTCATATTTAGAGTTCTTTACTGTATGTAAGATCTCAATCCTATGCAAATTGATACGAAGTTACTGCCGTACCTTCTTCTACAAGGTAGATAGGTACATACCTAAGGGAGGGGTCCCCATTTTTGGACACTGTTATACCATAATGTAGACACACTTGCCAAATGCCAACAAATGATTTTCCGAAAAGATTAGTTTTAATCTTATAAAATTAATAATATTTTAATAAGATATTATAATAAAAAATAATTATAATATTAAATTAATTATTTTATTAATATTAAATATTTTAATTAAGGTTAAAATTATATTAAAGTAAAAATTATAATTAAAAAAAATTATATTATTAATATTATATTAAAATTTAAAAAAATTATATAAAAAAACAAGCTTTTTTAAAAAAGTAATTATTAATTATTTTTTTAAAAAAATTCCTTTTAATTAAAATATTTATTTTTTAAAATTTTTTTTTTTATTCTTATTAAAAGTTAAATTAATTATTTTAATAAATTTATTTAAATTTTATTTAAAATATTAATTACTTAACTATTAATTATAAAAAAAAAATATTAAAGTTTTTTATTTATTTAATTTTATTAACTTATTAAAACTTAATTATTATATTAATATTTTAAAATAATATTAAAATATAACTTAATATTAATAAAATTATATATATAAAAAAAAAATAAAATTTTTAAAATTTTATTTAAATAAATATTATTAATTAAATAATTATATCGTTATTTTAATAATTTAATTAATAAAAACTATTTTTTTATAATTTAATTATTAAAATTAAATTAAAATAACGGTTTTATATAATTATTTTATTAAATTAATTATTATAATTATAATTAATAATAAAAATTAATATAAATATATAATAAAAAAACCATTATTTTAAACATTTAACATTATTTTTATTAAAAATATTAACACAATATTAAAAATAAAATGCTAAATTTTTATAACTATATATACTTTAATTATAATAAAATAACAATATCCAAAAAAAGGGACCCTTCCAATAAGTAGGTATCCTACTTCGCTTCAACTTTAAGTAGTGGTCCACCGGTTCCATTGCAGCGGCTCTGTATTAGGTATCTACCATTCAAAAGCAGTGACTTTTTCTGTTTCTCTTTTCTCTTATTCTATTATGCAACAGTACCCAAACCACCGCATGCTGCCTACATGTAGTCAAATCCAATTCGACTACCAGCAATTCCATGTCATTACCGACTCGACTCGGGACTGGCTGTTGACTGCTAAACTTGATAGTAAATGCTTGGCAAAGTAGGCATGTCGTGTATACATAGGTACATGGTAGATACCCAGGTACCTACTATGTAGGTATGAATATTCAAATGTTCTTGAGTTGTGTGTCTCGGCCAGCTCTAATTATAACGTCCAACAAACATCAACTATTACATATTCTCGGCCGAGGTTAAGAACCAAGATGGTATGGACGATGCCACATGGCAGTGATAAGAAAGCCCGAGTGAGATCTTTGATTGAAACGCGTCGACACAGACACAGACGATGCGGGAACCCCTGCTCCGGCTCATCATGATCGCGATCCTCCTGCGCGAGAGCTCCCATAATTCCCTACATACATGATACTGTAGTCTGCCAGTTCTGTCCACTGCAAAACGGTTGGTTTCGGCAGGGAAGGCGACCGCCTGTCATATCTTGACTGGGTCGTACATGCTAGGATACCCAAACTGAGGTACCTACCTAGGTAGCATTCTAACGACGTCCAGCTTTGCCAGATTGCCAGATTGCCAGATTACTTGAGCTTACCTATCTAGGCTAGGAGGTACCTACATGCATAAGAGCCCAGCTATGTAGTTTCCCTCGGGCCTCTTAGACGGGAGCAACGACAGCACGATACTATTTGGTAGAAGGTAAGGTTAAAGGTTAATTATTGTCGGGGGACGGGATCCACGAACAGTCGCACCTGTATTATACATAGGTAGATAGATACATCTACATAATGGATACGTTCTAGGTTCTTTCCCCTTCTAATCTCCCTGTTAAATACATAAGATAGCTCCGATACATTGATATTGGTAGGCGTAGGTACCTAACCTTCGATGTTGCAGGCAATTCCTTATTTTTACATTCAACGTTTCTACCAGTCGGAAGTATGTACTTGCGGGATGTGTGATACACACGCATATAGTTATATTGGCTATCAGTCCGACATGTACATATGTAAACGAGCGCAATTCGACGGCTCCTTTTGGCTTTTTGGCTTTTTTGGCCTTTTGACTTTTTGACTTTCTGACTTCTTGTATCTTCCTTCATCGTCTATTCTCTCTTCTCAAGGATTTCCGCTCGCTTGTCTCCCTTAATATCATTGCTATCTTACTCCCGGTTCCAACTACTTTTGCGAAGACAGCGAGTTTTGATTCTAATTATACCCCTTATGAGTTCGCGCGACAGGGGATCCAGATGGGTGATTTCAAAGCCCGGATCAAGGCCAAGCTCCTGCGAAGGCACAGCGGTGCTCCTTCGTTGGGCTCCAGCAAGCATAGCATCGGCGGGGGTAGAGCTTCCAGCAGCACGCGTACTAACGCATCTACCACCGGCTACGCGGCCTCGTTAAGTACCGGTGCCGGCGAGGAGAAGGGGAGTAGCGAAAAAGGCCGGGACGCTAATGGTAGGTCCAGCCATGGCTCTGATCACTCTTCTCACGACAGTTCACCGAGCAACGGTGGCATTGTTGTTGTCGTAGCTCCGAATCAAGATGGGGAGTATAGAAGAAATGGTCAAAATGGCCAAAGTGGTCAAAGAGATGAAAGAGGTCGAGGCCAAGCTGACACGGTTCCACCGGAGCTAGAAGAGGAAGAGCTAGAGCAGCTAGACCATCTAGAGAAGCTAAATCAGCCAAACCTAGACCTAGTCAGCAACTCTACCAACCGAAGTATTGTTCACGGTACTCGCGCTCTTCACGGTCTTCACGGTCTTCACGGTACTGTGGAGGTGGAGGCGAACAACTTTGGCCGATCTTACACAGCTTCCACTGCTACCGCTACTGCTGCCGCTGCTGCTGCTGCTGCTGCTGCTACCGCTGCTGCTGCTGCCGCTAACGCTCCCACTTACGCTCCCACTTCCCCTTCTCCCGCTGCTCCCACCACCGCCAAGTCGGGAAAGGATCTACGAGCTTTTTCAATCAATTCAACATCCGTTCCCGTGCCCGTACCCGTGCCTATACCCATACCCGCCATCCCCGATCCAAATTTAAATTCATACACAAACGCAAACGCAAACACAACTACAACCTCAACCTCAACCTCAACCGCGAATCTAAATCCAACCGTCGCCACCACTGCCGCCGCCGCCGCAGCCACCGCAGCCGCAGTCACCACTGCCGTCTCTCCGTTGCCGAGCATTCACGAACATCGCCCTGCTGCCTCCACTCTACAGCTGAAGCCGCCCACCGTCGATCATCATTACCATCACCACCGTGACGAAGACGATAACAGACCCGCATCCGCCGGCCGCGCGCTATCTCCCTTGTCATCTCCCTCCCGACCCGCAGCCCCGCCGAGACGACAGAGCATTCTTCCGCATCGCCAGACTACCTTGATTAAGACCCTTCTAAACACGGGCTATGCTAGTGAAATAGGTTCGCCTGAACCAGATCAGCTTCTGCCGATAAGTGGAAATATGGTTACGAGAAAGGTCTGGGTCAAAAGACCTCTCGCATCTCCCACCTTGATTACGATAAACGAGGAAGACTTGGTTGACGATGTCCGCGAATTAATTCTACGGAAGTATGCAAACTCGCTCGGTCGCCAGTTCGACGCTCCAGATTTGACCCTTCGCATATGCGACAGAGAACAGCAGACGACCAGAACATTACAGCCCGATGAGCCTATGGGTAGAACTCTTGATGCTTATTATCCAGGTGGCCAATCTGTCGACGACGCCCTATTGATTGATATACCTAGCCGTCGAACTCCCAAGGCCTCCCCGAATCCCAGGTATTATGGCGGCGACGACCGGCCCCACGAATCGGGAACCGATTACTTCCCACCATATCCCCCCGCTTCTCAACATCCCAGCGCCTCTTCAGCCGCCGTGAATGCCGCTCACCAGCTCCATCTCCCTCCCTCTTTAACCATCCTCGGTGGGGGTCAGCTACCGCCACTGCCGTCCCCGGGCGGGACGAGGCGGCTCGGAGCAAGGCCCAAGATCCAGAGGATGCACACTGCGTCGCCAGTGTCCACCATTGCCAACGGCCACGCTTCGCAATCCGCTGCGCCGCCTACCGGTATGCACAACTACCCAAGACAACCGCGCTCAAGGACTCATTCAGGTGCATCTTCAGAACACTCCAACCATCCGCCTACCGCCCCGTCGATCCCGACTCCCCCCGTCCCAGAACGAACCGCTACCCCACCTCCGCGTGTATCTTCCCCCCGACCCATCAACCGGCCGAAGAAGACCAAGAAGGCGATCGAGCACCCGTCCTTACCGCCGGGCATGTTGAACGGCGGCGTCCCACCTATTAATGTCCTGATCGTCGAAGACAATATCATCAATCTCAAGCTTTTGGAAGCGTTCGTCAAGCGATTAAAAGTTCGGTGGCAGACGGCCATGAACGGTAGGGAAGCCGTGAATAAGTGGCGCGCTGGTGGATTTCACTTGGTTTTGATGGATATCCAGTTGCCCGTCATGAGTGGCCTTGAAGCTACCCGCGAGATCAGGAGGATAGAGAAGGTTAATTCGATCGGCGTCTTCTCTTCCTCTGCTAGTAGTCCCCCGGACGACGTCAAGGCCGAGCCCGCAGAGGAAGATAAGCTTGTCAACACGGAAATGTTCAAGAGCCCGGTCATCATCGTCGCCCTGACAGCAAGCTCGTTGCAAAGTGACAGGCACGAGGCCCTCGCGGCTGGTTGCAACGACTTTTTAACCAAGGTGAGATCCAAGCTATATCGTGTCGCCCCTTGCACTCCACTAACGTGAAGTATATAGCCTGTCAACTTCGTATGGCTCGAGCGGAAGGTGATGGAGTGGGGTTGCATGCAAGCCCTGATCGACTTTGATGGGTGGAGGAAATGGAAGGACTTCTCTCAGAAAGCGGAGGAAGATGACTCCAAGAAGGCCGCCGCGGCCAAGGGGGCGAAAATGCCGAAGAAGAACAGGCTGTCTATGACGGCCGCCGCTTGACATCCCGCTTCTCGCGCAGTAAACTTGAATTGATAGTCTCTAGGAGTGGGATATGTTCATCTAGCCTCTTTCTGCTTCCTTGTATTATTGTCAAGCGCGAACATCCTATTATCTAATATCAAAGAATAAGCGTCTCAGCGCTGCATGGAGCCAACCTGTTTCTAGACGGGAATTGCTTAGAGAGAGAAGCGCTGTGTTGGAACGTTCGAGTTGGGAACATTTTTACCATTTATTATTTGGCACCGGCGCGAAATCAGGGAAGGCAGGCAGGTAACAAAAAAGATACAATGGCGAAATTAGGGCCGGCAATTTGCCCAGAATGATACCACATTGCACATATCCATAAGCTCGGGGTCACTTGTGCGATTCCTTCAGTGATTAGCCTCGCTCGATGACTCTTTCAAAGACGAGATAAATCCTACGTGCTTTTGGTTTCTCTATATTTGGTGTTTACATCCTGCCACTATCTCTAGCGTGTTTGTTCTCTTATTTTGATACCACATCCGTATAGCTCGCTGTTTACGAAAATATAATAAGAGTATACAGTAAAGTTAAGTGGGGCGTGGTAATCTATATGGGAGACGCCATCCATTACTAAAAAAGTTCCATCGTTGTCTGTATTTTCTTTGTTGCAACCGAAGTTTCGCAGCTTGGCTAAGTGAGTAACTCGATCATCGATACCTAATGTTCTATACGCGCTCCCCAGGGTGATAGATCGAAGCGACGTATCCCACACAGAGTCTTGGCTCTCGTCTTAGAAAACCAAAGGTAAACCCACCGATAACGTACCTTATAACTACAGACGTCTGTAGTTAAAAGAGAGTGTATTGGGGCTTTAATGTCACTGTACCATTGACTACTATACTCGGATGTTATCCAAAGGCCCCCCAGGCCTACAATTTCTACCTATTCCGCTCACCATGCCATATAACCTAACGGCTTGAAAACCTAACATTATAAAAACGCGATACGCCCAACACCTCATGAATATGCTAAACAACCCATACGCCATTCAATGCTCCAGCCCACCACCATGGATGCTTCTTAAACAAGTGATAGGTTGCGGAAGGGGTATAATGACCAATGGTCTAGTGAATTATAGCACAAACCATGGAGGTGAAGGTGGATGAGTCACGGGTATCTAATCATTATTTGATTAGTGCCACCCTCGAGTTGTCTGAGGAATCCCATGACTACTGAGAATCTTCTAAACACTCATTCTCCGTGTCCTTTTCGAGTTCCTTGACCTCGCCCAGACTCGACTGTGCTTCGGGGACTTCTTTCGTAGGAGTCATCGGTCGACTACCAGGGACTGACGTTCCTGTTCGGAGACTGCTAACAGATGGTTGTCCTTGTAAAACGGCAGCAATGTTTGGAGAGTTGGTCCGAATATGACCTAGTCCACCACTTCTTTGTCGTACGAGAGCGGTGGGCCGATCGTGGTCTAGTTGTCCCTGAGAGAAGTCTCTAGAACTCCACGAAGCACGGTGAACTCTAGCTCCACGAGGTAAACTACTCACGGAGTGCCGTGAACTGACACTAGCAGAGCGGCTTGCTCTCCTCATAGGACTAGGAACGGATGTTGCACCACCAGCAATAGGAGATAGGTTGATCTCGGCTAAATAGTCATCATCTTCGTCTTCGATCTTGGGGGCTCGCCGGACCGAAGTGACAGTAAAATAAGGCTCCTTCGAGAGCTCTGGGACTTCACCCGAAGAATTAGGTTTTGGGTCTGTCTTCGACTTCGACCGAGGCTTCGGCGGGGGAGGTTTGTCGGTAGCCCTCTGGGCTATATGTTCGAAGTATCGAATGCGGACCCCTTCGAGCATTTCCGAACTAAAATATTCGCGATTTCGAGACAGAGACATCCAAGAAGAGATACATCCAATAATTACCAGAATCATCACCGCAATGGTAAGGAGGCCTTGGATCACGATGATGATGACTCCGATAACGGTAAGTATGATACGATTGAGGTTGAAATCAGGGAGGAACGCAATAGAAAGGCCGGTAGTGGCCACCCGGGTAAGGCCTAGGAGCCAAACAGCTAGGGCTGTGTTTCGCTGCCCTTCATACGGATTGAGTGCTGCAATGACGACAAGCGCAAGAATGTCGACAATGAATAGTCCAAAAACTTGGGCGAGCGGATTGCCCGCACCACCTCCGAGGAAACAGGCTCGTACGAACTGATACGTCAGCCAACAGGCAAAAAACCACCATCTGGAGAGCCGATAGCGTGCATACAGCCAGCCAAATCGTTTAATATACTCCTCATCTTGGTGAACGTTCGTTCGATTGGGGTCGTTGTCGATGAAATGCCAACGAACAAATGGCAAGGATCCAACCGGCTTCTCGCCCAGTTCCTCCTCCTTTAGTTGGCTAAGACGGATAGGCAAAACACAGGGAAGGCAACCAAAGATCTTGCCCCTGCGCAACAAGATGCGGTCTGGATCGATGGAGAATGTGCCGAATCGCAGCCTGGAATGGAGGGCGTATAAGACTAATCCTCCCATACCGACAATGAAGATGACGAAGACAATTGCCGCTATCGTGGTAGGACCGGCTGAGCCGTGTATGGCAAACTGAAACATTGCAAGAGTTGTGATGGAGAAGAACGCAACGAAGAGCGTTCTTAGGATAGCGAGACTTAGGTAACCAGTCCAGTGGGATCGGAAATACTCTAGGCGGTCTTGTTTAATCCACCTCATCTTTGCTAGTCCTTCCAGGGAACATTTGAAGGCCACTAGGAAGACGACCACGAGCCCTAGAGCAACGAGTAACCAGACTAATCCAACCATGAATGCATTTGAGCCGGGAATGCTCAGCTCTGACAGTTCGCCCGTGAAACCAGTCCAATCCCCAGGCAAGGGCATCCCTGGCTGTACCGGACTGCCATTCCAATTATAGTCGTAGGAATTGTTTGGGTCGTAGGGCTCCCTCTTCGTCATAGCACTGATAGTACCTTGAACGATTTCCGGAACCCTCTTACTTGTTATTTGGGTTGCAAGGTTCGATAGGAACGAACGTCCGTATATTTGTTGAGTAAGTCCTCCTTGATTGTTGATGACGGTAGAACCGGCCCCTCCAACCTGACTTGCATTGCCGCTGACACCAACGAAGGGGTTGATGGAACGCGCCACGTTCGAACTTGGTACTAATCCGGCCGCCCACGCAAAGTTGCTCCACCAGGCCGGGAGTACGCTCGGCCAAGGTAGCGATAAAGCCCCGGAAAAGAATATAGACTGAAAAGTCTCGAATATGACAAGGACTGATAACGAATGGGCGTAGTGACTTCTCATATGAGGAATGCTTACACCATATGCTGCTGTTGCAAACGACGCGATCACGGCCACGGCGGTAAATATCCCTAAGACGGTGCTGATCGACTCTGGTTGCGCGAACGAATTTCCATTCCGCATAACAGCTTGAAAACATCCAATCTCGGTTTGACTTGAGTTGGCAAAAATCTGGATTCTAGCGTAACCCTCAATGTCGGGAACCTCGTATGCGATTTGCGGGATGCCAGACACCTGTTGAGGGCCGATCGGAAATAAAGCGAAAGCTTCAACAGGCTGTTCGGCACTCAGGGGGCACATGCTGATTGAACCATGAGCATGAAGAGACACCGATACGACCTAGATAGTATATCGCCTTACCTGTATATATTTACATTGCACGGATTTACCGTCATCGAGAACCTGCTTTCGCCATAGGCTTCGACGGATATGTATACTAGCAGCGCAATTAGTTTGGAACCCGATATACAAGTATAGGGACTTCCATACACATAATACTTTCATTCCTGATATTTGTAGTGCCGTCGAGATGGAAGAGAATGGTGGAGTTATCGTAGTAGAGGGCGGCATCGAATTTGGTCACATTCAACAAGCTCTGTCCTCCAAGACAATCACCAAAATCACCCGTATATAAGGCAGGTGTTCTGTCGAGCGCTAGCCTCGTCGTGACTCCATCTAGACTCGTGCCGCTGATATATTGCGTGTCTTTGGCGCATGCCGTGGATAGTAGAGCTAACGCACCAAGGACGAGAGGTATCAATGAATCCAACCGACGATGGAGCATCATCTTGGCTGTGGAAAACGGCTTAGGACGGCCATCAACGAGATACCATAGGGAGGTGTGGGACTAGTTAATCCTATTGACTGTTGCTACTACTCGTCACCCAAGGTTATCCCAGGAGGAATATAAGAGACTGTCCACGAGAACTCCTAGCGGTGCTACACCTAACGTTATAGGTGATAAACAACCGCTGGGGGCGTGTAAGTAGAGGTCGTAGAAATTTATATCAATTACCCAGGTAGGTACAGTAAGTACATATAAAAGCGATTGACGAGCGGTGGATTTTGCGAGTCTATTGAACACGGACGCTGTCACTGCTCACTGCAGGATGATTTACACCGATAGAGGACGAAGATGAGGGAATTGTGTGAGAGGAAAGTCGAAAAAGACGAAGTTGACAAATGAGGTGATGTAGAAGTTTGGAAGAAACGACGGTGGCATCGGACGATATCATCTATTCATTCCTCTAAATTCTAATACATAGGTATGTACCGTACTTACATAATTATAGTGCCAAGTAAAGACGTCGGACGATGGAAACTGCATATGAGTTTGCTTTCATCTTTATCTCGTAACTTCCGTGCTCCGGATACCAATCGCCAATTCCATTGGATCATTAATGGAGAGGCCAGTGCCGCCTAAGTTTGCTTTGGCAGGGGCTAGTTCCCGCAAGCCAAGATCGTGTATGACCGCGTGCAACCATTTCATTGGTCCACCCTATCCCGTAACGGGAAGTCAGACCCCAATTCCTTTTGCTGGTCAGGTACTCCCCGGTAAGCGTCAACCTTCATCACCTAACTACCTACACCGGCTGCACGGTCTATATAGGGAGGTAATCAGGGTAGGTAGAAGCTGACGCCAGAAAGAATCCCCCTCTCTCCCGCATAGGCATTCGGCAATGACATCGCGAGCTTGTAGTCACGACCCGATTGGCTGTTCCGCTTATTCAGATGCCTTAGCATAAGAGACTTAGGTAGCCATACGAGAGTAATCTTGTAGGTAGTATCCTAAATCGTCATCCTCAAAACAAATTACGACCAATTGTTTTCTTAGAGAGGGAAAAAAAAAAAGGAGTAAATGGCCTGGAGAAGCGTTAACACGACCGGCCTTCTACAATTGCTAGATCAATGTACCGTTGGCATACGAGACTTGAAAACGAAATGCATGTGTCTAAAGTACGTAGGCATGCTCTGAGGGTGACAATGTTACTACTACTAACTTTTTAAATGGAGTATATCTCAATGATGTCAATGATGGTATCAAATAAACGAATTTCCTCCCCTAGCAGATAGTGTATTGCTACATCCCCATCCTTCCTGACAATGCAAATGGAGGATGAAAAAGGAGGCAATGCCCATTTCAAAGGCGAAAGACCATATAAACCATATAAACTCCAGACTTATGTGGGCACGGATGTATAGCTAAATGGCGAGAGATAAGAGACAGGGAGTAGAATACTTCGATCAGACCGAGCTCCTTCACCTAGCCCGTTAAGGATTATCTATCCCCTTCTACTTCTGCTTACCCCATCCTAGCCCGCCAAAGTAATCAGATATGCAAACCTCCAACTCATTTGTTTCAACTGTGATGCAAAACGAGAAATCCCAGATAATTGTTCGAAATGGTATCGACGAATTTTTTTTGAGGTCGTGGCGGTCGTAAAGTAAAGAAAAGCCATGATTTGATACGCACAGGACGCTAGAAAGTTAACCGATCAGACGTAACTTTCCTCGTCGTCTTCCTCGATAGGAGCAGGGGTCCTCCTCTCGTTTCTTCGCTTGGGTCGCCTATGTCTCGAACTTGAAATGTTGCTCGCCGAATCCTCGGGTGCTAAGTCGAAATCGTCGCCTCCCCAATCGCTCTCGCTTGCGGCGCCGTCATCATCTCCAGCGGCCCAAGGCGGTCTCTCGGAGCCTTGCGAGTTGCCTGACAATTGCGGCAATACGTCGATTCTTCCGGCGCGACGGTGCTGTTGGCTCATCAACAGACCGTTATTCCTTTGGCGAAGAGCGTTCCGTACCATTTCGGCGCGGAGGTGGAGCTTCTCAAATGCGTCTTCCAGAGCTTCCATGCCCTGGTATATTTCTCGCTCTACCTCGGCTAGCACAGCCATCTCAACCTCTTCGTCATGGGATACAGGCTGACGACTGTGGCCGGGTGCGGTCGAAGATGAAAGGGAGATAAAAGAAGCGGGGGTTGCGCCGCGGGAGTACACTCCAGAGAAAGGGGTCGTGCTGCGAGAAGCGCCGAAACCCGGCGTATGCCGCACACTGGGACCCCGGGAAGGAGGCGGAGATGAGAAGCCGTTTGCAGGTGTAGCGCCTCGGGATAGTGGGTTGTCCGCAATGGGCGTCATTAAATCGTCGGCATCAGCTCCAGACCAGAGAAACCCGTCGAAGCGGCCCGAGACGAGGATCTCCCACTCCTGAGGGTTTATATCGGTGATGGTCGTAAGAAGATCATGGTGAAGAGGATATTTGACAAGAAACACGGCCGTCTCTGCGTCGCGGGGTGTCTGAGGTAAACGGTAGATACGCTGGAGAGCAAGACCCGCTTTGATCATGAAATCTGACCTTGGTCTACGCAGTGGTGTAGGTGCTCTCAGAGCAGGCTGGAGTTCCCGGGCGCCGGAAAGTAGTGCATTGAAGTACGGACGTTCTTCCTGGTCGAGATTGGTCAAGATGGCAAATGTTAGAGTCTCGTCGTCGATCTCGGAGGGTGCTGGAGCAGGCGCTTCGGCGCAGTTGTTCATCCATCGATCGACTACAGACCTAACCTTCTTAGATTGTCGCAGGTAGTGCTCCCGAAACTCTTCTGCGATATCAGGATCCAGTTTAACTGGGGACGCCGGCCTGGGAGGCATATCTGCTACACTCTCGATAGCATTTGAACTTAGAGAAGCAAGATCAAAAGGGGGCCACGCAGGCATTTCAACCCTGCCCCCTACTCGTTCCAGGACCTCTCCCCATCCTAGCCCGCGATGCTCTTCCGGTGCCCTCTCGCACATGATACAACTGCAGCCCTCGGCAGGAAGATCTCGTGAAAACACATCTTCTAGCCGGTCGAGTAATCGCCGGGCGACAGATTTATGGCCTGTTGCCACTGCGACCGAGCCCTGCCTTTGAATGACTGACTGGTATTGGTCTAGGAGGTTGAAAAAAGGAGCGAACAAAGTTTCCGGCCCTGCTAGAGGCGGATTGGACGGCCGTGTGCCATTTTGACGTGGTATCACGGAAAGAAAATTCCTTGGAATGGGATGGATTAGACCGCCGTTCTGAAGGAGATAGTCGATTCTCGGCACTTCTTGTATATTCAACGGAGGAGGGGGCGGAGGCGGCGGCGGAGGACCAAAATCGGTCGCAGGTGTTGCCGAGGGCGTGGGACGTTCTCTTCTCTCAAACCTGATGCTCGAGTTGGGCTTCTCGTCCGGAAAGGTTTGTGGCGGCGGAAACTGTGGTGTGGCTGTAGGGGTCTTTGGCGACGAGTCCTGTATAGAGTCCGGAGAGTCTTCGATCTCAATTGGGCTGGGAACCCGCGAGGTTCTCGACGAGGCTGTCCGCTTTGGTGCGACAGGAGTGGCGGTAGATTGGGCTCCCACGGTTCTATTATCGCTCAAGTTAGAACTGCCGTCGTTGACAATGCGCAAGCCCAGTGGTGGAGGCGGCGGAGGCGGAGGCGGCGGCGGTGGGTAGGTTGGGGGAGATTGTATGGTGGTAGCCTGACTCGAGGCTCTAGACTTGGTAGATAGTTTCGACTTGTCATCGCGCTTTGAAGTAGCTCGAGACACACCGGAAGTTCTTGATGTTGGCCTGTCCGATCCCGATTCATGCTCATCTCTTAGCTTCGAGGCGGAAGATTTGCTCCGTCTTTTCTTCTCTTCGGATAGATCAGTCTCTGGAGGACTGGGTGGCCGGTCACCCTTCTGCGGACTCTGCCTATTCGTAGAACCGCCTGTAGATTTAGATCTTTTCAGGCTATCAGAGCCAAGATCTGTGGCCTCGGGGGTGAGGGGTTCGTGATGGTAAGCAGAGGCGTCTACATCTTCATGGCCGAGTACGCTTTCCTTACTATGGGCCTTGCTGAAGGTAGGATATGGCAAGCTGACCCGGCTGCCAGAAATGGAAGTTCTCGTGAGTTCGGGTACTAGGTCGTTCATGGATGATGTCCTCCTGTCACGGTCTTTTTCCTTTTCCTCTCTGGTTCGGTGTCGGCGGTGTGAAGAGGTATGCGAATCACCGTCAGCAGAACTTTTATGCTTGGAACGGTGGGATTTATGGTGGTGGTGGTGGTTGTCCCTTTCCCTGTCCCTGTCTCTGTCTCTATCTCTGTCTCTGTCCCCTTTGGCACGTTCCTTATCCTTTTCCCTATCCCTCTCTCGCTCACTTTTGCTACGCCGCCGATCTTTGGGGCGACCATCAGTGGCTGAATTAACATCGGGGTCTTTGGAACCCATTGTGGTGGTGGACTATGCGAGCCCGACCGGGCCCAACTGCTAGTTCCGAGTTTGGGCGAGGGATGACGGTCAAATGGCCAAATGGTCAAATTTGTGTGGATGTGTGGATGTGTGGAGGATGGCAAAAGGTGCTCAATCGCATTGGCGCAATGTCGGATGAATGCAATGCCTACTGCCTCGGAAAGCCGTGGTCGGAGATTATTATGAAGTTAGGAGGTTGATCAAGTAGCGAGGTGGTGGAAAAGAAATGGATGGAAAAGTGGTGAAGAGCGTACTTGCATGTTGAGATGTGCAAAAGAGGTGACGGCGGTTGCTTGAACTTTCGACGCGCTACGCAGCTGCTTTTGATTCGACGAGGAGGACATACGAAGGGCGGGAAGGGCATCTGTGAAATCGGGTACCACGTACCTCATACAAGCTCTTGGCACTGATCTCTGCGGCCAGGTGAAGTATAGGATACTTGACTCTAAAAGCGGGGTTTCCCACAGTTACCTAAACTACGATATACATCTCATCCATATCTAAAATAGGAGTGCAGACCCCAGGCATGTACATTTACATATTTACATATCTCGTTTTTTTGTCTCAGACATCTGCACATCTGTACATCTAATAATAGTTATGTAGATGCATTTGTGGATCCAACTCGATTCAACTCTTAAGCTCATGTATTTCCTCAGTGCTATTTCAAAATCATGCGCTATTCCTACGATGGGCAAATTCGGTCATAAAGTTGCGTTATAAAACTGATCAGAAGTGCCTAGCTTTCGTCTACAATACAGACGATAGAATGTTGCCACACTAATTCACACGTTCATGCCAAATATAAATATATATATATATATATATATATATTACTTGGCTACTTTACTCTACCCACAATAATATATCTATAACGTTGAGTTATCTTGACTTAGGCGCCGTTTATGTCCTCGCTGCGTTTCCCGTACTTGAATCGCAACTATATCCGAGTTTTCCTTTATTTATAAATGAAATATTCATTCCTACCAAAATCCCATTACGAGCCTCAGAGAAAATCGTACAAATCCAGCCGGACTCACAAGCGATCCAGCAATCCACGACTTTCCAACATTAGCACAATTTGATGTACGATGGATCGCACCGTCTGCGTCTCGCAGTCGACTACTAAGTCTGGCTTGGAAGGAGGCTCGTAAGGATCGTCGACGCCCGTGAAGCCCTTGATCTCACCAGCGCGGGCCTTGGCGTAGATTCCTCGTTTGTCAGTCTTCTCACAATACTCGAGGGGGGTAGCGACATGCACAAGGTAGAAATCTCCGTATTTTTCAACGGTCTCCTTGGCAGCAGCCCGGTCTTGGTCGAACGGCGCGATGGGAGCGGCAATAACGGCAGCGCCGGACCTTGTTAACTCGCCAGCGACGAAGGCGATACGAGCAATGTTCTTGCTGCGATCTTCTCTGCTGAAACCTAGTTCAGATGATAACTCGTGCCGGACGGTCTCGCCAAGTAACATGGACACAGACCGACCACCCTGCTGGTTCAGGGTCACCTGGAGAGCTCTGGCAATCTGGTCTTTGCCGCTGTTTGTGTAGCCCGTTAAAAAGATGGTGAAACCTTGGGCTGCTCGTGGGGGATGTGACTCGCGCAATACCTTGACGACTTCGGGGTAGGAGAACCACTCGGGAATATCTCGGCCGCTCCTCAGCCTCGATCGCAATTCCGTACCAGAGATGTTCAGAGTACGGGTATCCTTCGGGATTTGATCAACCGGAGCATATTCATCCTTGTCTGGCAAGTAAGTCATCATCTGGAAGGGCACAACCTCAATGCCAAGCTCGTCGCGGTACTTCTCAACCGCATACTGAGCATCGTAAGGCCCGTAAAAGTCGACGCCCTGGCTATTCTTTCCGGGACCAGCGTGGTCACGGCCCACGATGAAGTGGGTTGCTCCGTGGTTCTTGCGGATGATGGCGTGCCAGATGGCTTCGCGGGGGCCACCCATTCGCATGGCCAACGGGAGTAGACCTAAAACCGCCATGCCGTTAGGGTATCTTGGCAAGAGGGCCTTATAGACTCGCACTCGGGTGAAGTGGTCAATGTCTCCTGGTTTTGTCAAGCCCACTACCGGGTGGATGAGCACGTTTGCGTGATGCGAACGAGCAGCCCGAACGGTCAGCTCTCGGTGTGCGCGGTGCATGGGGTTCCTGGTCTGGAAAGCAACTACTCGGCTCCAGCCAAGCTTGTCGAAGTGTAGTCGGAGCTCAGCCGGCGTATCTACGTGAGAACTCAAATTAGTCCTGGAAGCAGAATAGTTTGAAATTTGGGCTCGGCTTACATCGGAGATCTACGAAATCATAGTGCTGCAGGCGGTTGACTGCCTCTACCTTGCCACCCACGTAGAAGTCGGCTGCTGTCCTGAACAGATACTTAACAGCCGGGTGTGCCTCGTCGTCACTTCCGAATACCTCCTTAGCCTCGAGAACCCTATTATACCCACATGTGTTAGTAGCGCATGTCATGTAGGTAGGATGCGGCGGATAGGAATCAGCCCGTACTTGTCTGGCTTGTAAATATCGTCCACGGTAAGGATAGCCAGATTCCTATCGTCACGAAGGTCACGAAGCGTCACCTTGACTCCTGGCTTGAGGCCAACCTCATTGATCGTATCCTCGGACACATCAAGAGTAATGGGCATGCTGAACAGAACGCCATCAGCTAGCCTATTGTCCCTTACGACGCTATGTGTGGCAATTAGCAAAATACAGCCCTTCATATAGCTCTATGGTTACACACCCATTGTAATCAGACTCGTTCATGAAACCTAGGTATCCATCTATGTGAGCTTGGCTTCATATCAAGAGCATGGCTAGAATGAGTGTTGCACCACATGGGGCATAAGTAGAAGCAAATATCATGATAGGATCATGCGGCAACCTCTTTTGTGAGAAACGCAAGCGCCACCGAGATTAGACTAGGAGAGCAAACACACCTTCAAGAGGTGAGAAGCCGCCATTGAGGATCAACTCGAGGTCACAGAGCTGCCTCTCAGTTAAAATAATAGCGGGAAGCTTTTCGGCTTCGGCCGCGAGCTGAGCCTGTCTAGGGAAGTCTCGCGCAATAAGGTCCTTGAGGACGCCGCCATGAGGAGGGTTTGCCATTGCGTCGAGAAAAGGCTTTGGCGAATAATATAGCGTAAGGAGCGTCGAACGTGGTATGTCTCAGGTGTGCCAGTAAATAAAGATCGATACAGAGAAAGGAGGGAACTATGTGAGAGACTTAACTCTGTTTCTCAATTAATGATGAAGGTCAATGAAGGAGGAGTATCGACAACACCTTCCGACGTACGGATATGTTGATATACATATGTAGTTAAATAAAATAAAAGGGAAAAAAGAGTAAAACACTAGTTATCCACCAGATATGATCCCGATACGGTTCCACGCTACACAATACGTAATCGGTAATAAGGCAATAGCAGGTTCTGTAAGTAGAGCATACGCACACCTTTGCCCTACGAAACGGAGGCACGGAGGCTAGAACATGGGTTAAGAAAAAACCAAACGAATAATATTTAGCCGATGACGTGCTCAGGGACTAGCGACAGCCGCCCCCAGATATGTGGCTCTGTCGGTTCTCGACCCTCGCTGGACCGTGTCAACCTTTTTATTTCTCTTTTCTCCCATTAAGTCGAGTAGTCGAGAAACCGACACGCTTTACCAACGCGGCTCTCGGGATGCAGGGTCCCAATGATGCCTTAATTCGTGCAGAGTTGCCAATATTGAAGGGTGTCTTCTATCATGTATGTATAAATAGAATATCTAAAATTTGAACGGTGTCGATCCCGCAGTATTTGATAAAAGCATTACGAGTACAGCGCTGTATTTATAAGGGATAAAGACAAGGTACGCCTCATTTTCCCTACCCGCTTACGTATCGGTACCTAGATACATACCTATGCACCGGGGTGCTATCTTCCCCTATTAGTACCAGCCCTGTCGCTTTACTTGTAGGTGCCCAGTCAACATTAACAGCCGCAACATCAGCATCGATATTAGTAAGATACGATGGATTGAGGAAGCAATATGGATGTCGTTAGGTACAGTATCGCCTAGGCCCTGTATTTTCTGCCATTACTCTTTTACTTCCTTCCTGCGCATATTCGTTACTCTTTTCAAGCAAATAGTTTGTGGCTTGCCACTTTCCCATACAACTCGCAAGATTAAGCAAATCATTCCAAATCTGCCTGGCAAATCATATTCGAACATCTCAATACACAGGAAATGGAAAGGTACATTGTGCAAATCACGTTTAAACATTTATATGTCTTCATCGCCGCCTTTCCTAACCATTTTCTCTCCGTCGTTGCCATTCCGGAAGAAGTTGTGGACATATCGTCGCCAAGCAGGCGTGACACCGCGATGTCTTGTGCTCCGTGCCCCTGATTCAATGGGTATAGAACCGGCTGGGGAAGTGCGCTGGTGGTCGTTATTTGGCATCGGTGGGGGAATCTCCGTCATTGAGGATGAACTAGTCACCGAGGCAGTGCCAACGATAGGCCCGGCGGCGGGGACGCTTGTGATATTCAAGATTTGTCCAGATATGGATGTTGTGGTTGACGTCTGAAATGTAGTCGGGAAGCTGTCACTACCTCTGAACAACTTCCCTTTTACTGTTATACCCGTTAGCACTCGTCGATTTACTGCATTTTCACCTCCCCGTCTCTTACCTAAAGCGTTATCCGTGTCAGACGCCATTGAGAAACCCAAGCTTTCGTTACATGACACAGTGGGGTATGTCAATGAAGTAGCAGTTGCGGTAGCAGTCTCGCTTCTCGACGAAAAGGTTGATGTAGTTATAGTACCTGGCTGAGTAATTGCACTCTCGCTGCAGGTGGTATCAATTGTGACAACTGAAGTCTCGCTCTCAGAACAAGTTGTGTCTGGCTCTTGACTGGTGGTAGGCACCTCGGTGCATGTATCTAAAGAGGACGATGCTGCAGAAGAACCTGGAGCCGAAGACGACGTATTTTGAGGGGATGCACTTTCACCGCCCGAGGTGTTTGACGAAATTGTTTCTGTACTGGACGTACTCGATGCAAATGGAACGGATCCTGACGGTACCGGTAGAGAAGAGGTGATTCCAGTCTCGCTCAAACTTGACAGTGAGCTTGGAGCCGGTACACGGGAGGATGTACTGTTAGATAGCGGGTACGACGCAGAACCTAATGTAGACTTTGCCGTTGAACCAGGAGCGCCAGTACCAAGGGAGGTGATTGCTTGGGATGTCCCCTGGGTGCTCGACATTGTTGATTGTCCAGAGGGTGATGAAGACAATGTTCGCGAAATTCCATTTGACAGACTAGACATGCTGGACATGCTGGACATACTAGACAGGCTACTGGTCCTGGTAGAACCCGACACGGGGTTAGAACCATTAATTATGGTACCGCTGGATTGTGTAGTTGGATTAGGTACTATTGTAGTATTTGTCAAGGGGAAAGGAGGAGTGGATGATGATTCTCCAGAAGATGGGAAAGATGACCGACTGGCTGACCCAGCACTCGACCCGGTAGTAAATGATATAGCAGTAGAAAATATAGTTGTATTAGAAGGTTCGACAGAAGTTGAGGCGGTGTTGCTAATCGAAGTTTCACGTTTTGTCGAAGTGAAACCGGATGCCACTACAGAAGTGATTGTCGAATTTGGCATGGGGAACGGAGCATATGTACCAGAAGTTTGGCCGTTAGAACTACTAGAAACCCCTGTGACGGAATTAGTAGCGCTTCCGGTAACCACGGTAGAGCTTGTCCTTGTTCCTGTTGGCATGAGTGTCGAATTCAAAGAGACCGGGCCGGGGCCAGTGGATACTCGACTCCCCGTTGATCCGACGATAGTAGGCCCCGTGATATTAGAGAAAGGAAATGGTGTCCAAGTACTACCGATGCTTGTAAGACTAGATGCTCCGGTTATTAGGACCGAAGAAGTAACTGTCGGACCGGGCGGTGGAAGTGTAGAATTGGTCATCGGGTAGGGAGCCAAAGTTGTATTAATCAGTGGACTACTCGTTAACCCTATAGATTGTCCTCGTGGGGAACTGAACGAAGATGTTGTCAAGCTAGGAGTAATAGAGAATGTAGCGATAGAAGAACTAGTCGGAGGGAGAACGGTAGTTGAGTTTGAGACGCCGGTTGGACCCAATGATGTCAAGGTTGAGTTACCCATTGGAAAAGGGACTGTCCGAGAACTATTAGGTGAAGATGAATTAAGAGTGAGGGTTTGCGTTATTTGACTACCACTCGGAACTACTGACGTCAAAGTGGACACCCTTGAACTTCGGAGCGAACTGGTGGTCGCGGCTGTCTGTCCGGTGGCTGATATGGTCGAGTTTGGTAAAGGGAATGGTGGCGATTGAGACGCCGCGGGACTAGAACCGCCACTACCCGTCACACTAGGAACGGTAGCCGATGGTGCACTTATTATAGTTGAAGGGGCAGTTTGGCCAGTTGGGGCGCCTGTCGAATTTGATAAGGGGAACGGGGGCTGAGAAGTCGAACTGGAACCTGGAAGTGGAGACGGTGCCGTGCCGCTATATCTGGTCCTGGTGGTCTGTGATACGCTACTCAATAGACTACTCTCTGGGGGGAATGTTGGTTGAGGTGATGAAGTACCGGTGACGGACTGGTTACTTGGTGGATAGGTTCCAAGCACAGAACTTGATGGGGGTATACCAGTGGACCCCGGAAAGGACGCCGTTGAGTTAGAGATGGGATAGGGAGGACTTGACGAAGAAACTCCAAGGCTTGACATCACACTGCTATTCCCACTCGGTGTTGACGAGGTGATTGAAACGGTTGGTCTAGATACAGAGGTACCGGTGGAAGGGAAGATGGAAGATAAACTAGACTTCACGGTACCCGGAAGTGAGACCGAACCCCCTGTAGAGCTGCCAGAAACTCCTGTCGAGTTCGTGAATGGGTATGAAGCTGACTCTGAAGTTATAGAACTAATGAGGGAAAGGATACCCGATGGCGCGGTGGTAGTAATCCCGGTAGAAATCAGCAATGTTGTCGAGTTTAACGGAGGGTGAGGTGTTGGGTAAGTACTAGAAGTAATTTCTGTTCCACTAATGATACTAATGCTGCTGTTAGAGAGAGGGTACGGCTTTGTTGAAAATGTCATAGTTTCGGTGAAAGTTCCCGATACAACAACGCTACTAATCTCCATGCTAGATAATAATGTAGGCGTAGAGAACGTAACGTTGCTTGTTGGAAACGGTGTGATGAGGAGGCTTGAGCTGGAATTGAAGACGCCCGAGCTCCCGCCTGTTGGTCCTGTGCCACTTGTCGAATTCAATACGGAGTAAGGGGTCATACTAGTTATCCCAGAGCTGATAATCGTGGTAGTCTGCGAAGGTGATGCGGTTCTAGTACTTGATATGCTTTGGTATGGCACACTAGAAACAGAACTAGTCGAACGGATACCTAGAGTGCTATTCGACATAGGGAATGGTTGGAAAGTAGCAGACTCTGATGTGAATATAGAACTCCCCGCGAACGGGGTTGACGATCCCGATGAATCAGGGATTGGCTGTGAACCGCTTCCAGACAGAGTGGGCCCTGTGGGATTTATACTTGACGTTAAATTGGTCACTGGGAAAGGGGGAGAACTTGCGCTAGTTGAAAGTGATTGGATACCAGACGAAATTCCGGGTAACGCGCTCGATGTTGGTAAGATGGAAGGGATAGTTTCGGACCCCGAAAGTACCGTGCTCTGCCATGACACAGGACTAGAGGCTGAAGCCGAAGAGGTGTTACTCAAGGCTTGCGTTGAAGTATTTGGTACGCTTGCAGTTACGGCGGCCGTACTAGAGCTCCTAAGTGTAGTCCCATTCTGAATAACAGTCACGGTTACCGAGATTCCCGAAGACAAAGTGACTATTGTGACGAGCTCGCTTGTGCTCGTTCCAGGTATAGTGGTTTGAGCCACCGTCGTTGTCCCAATGCTTACGCTAGAGGGGGTAGTTTGAGTTGCTGACGGAGGTACAGTTTGGTTCTCGGGTCCCCCTTGGATACTCGAAAGGCCACTCTGCATTGAGATTAGTTATGAACACTCTAAGTTTAGCTAGCTATTATCGTCTCTCCGAACTACTCATATCTATAATCTCTTGGGCCTACCAGGAATTGAACATGGCAACTTACAAAACCAGAGCTGGACGCAATGGAAAAGATTGAAGGTGACGATGCCGTAGCATAGGTCAGAGACTCGCTTCCCGAGCTTGATCCCGACGAAACTGGAACCATGTCATATTAGATACGATCAATCTGAAATACTTGGAGACGTACCGAAGCCGCTAAGGGAGCTTGTAGTAAGACTGCTTCCAAAGCCAGCAGACGAAGTCGTACTAAGACTAGATTGACCTAAGCTTGACGATGGAGTTTTCGAAGTTGATGGCGGCGGCGGAGGAGGACCATATCCTCCATATGATGGAGTAGGATAGTTATATGCACCACGGTCAGGCTGAGGGCCTCCAAAGAGCTCATAGTCAACTTGATTTGGACCTTCATCGGTAGATGAGGTACGCGGAATCAGAAGGCTTCCCCCATTGGTCGCTGCAAAAATTCCGGTGAGATTTGAAAGAAGGATGGTCACCGAGGCCAGGTCAACAGCGAGAGTTGAGGTTTTCATGATATAGGATGAATTGGGCGTAGGCGTCCGGCGACAACCCAGAACCCTACTAAGATGAACACTATAGATAATTCAAACGATGATGAGTAGGATGCACTAGTGCTCAAACGTGGACCAAAACGAATGTAGCCGACCCCGGTGAGAAGTGGTCAAGGTGAAAAAATGATGGAAAAAAGAGAAAAGGGGGAGGGGAAGAGAGAGAGAGAGAGAGACAGAGAGAGAGAGAGAGAGAGAGAGAGAGAGAGAGAGAGAGAGAGAGAGAGAGAGAGAGAGAGAGAGAGAGAGAGAGAGAGAGAGAGAGAGAGAGAATAGAATATGGTGAAGGAACAAAGAGAAAAGTACTATTTTTTTAAATCTACGTGGACGCGGTTTGGGGATGAACAGATGTAGGGCAGGCTGGAAAGAGCGGATGGACGTAGACTGCCGGGCCTGAATGATGGAAGGAATACTACCTACCTATGTAGGTAGACGAGTGGAGAGAAACACGTCGATTAAAGAAGGAGAGGACTGATTCGAAAGGAGAACAGAAAGAGGGAAAGAGCCCCTGGTGGGGGAATGGGTTGACGCGCGGAAGCCTGAATGTGGTAGATTTTCGGTGCTTCTTCAAGGGAAGGCGCGTCACCACCAGGAGAGATTAGGTCGAGACAGCTTCTGATTTTGGCCGAGCAATAGAGTAACACCCCCACTTTTGGGTATCAAGTAGACGAAGTACTCATGTATACTACCTCATCTCCCTTTTCTCTTTCCCCTTTTCCAATATCTCTCTGTCCAAGATAGAGATAGAAGCATTCTATCCTTTCCATCTTGCCGGCATGGCTGATGTCCTCTCCCACGTTGGCACTACTCGTTACCTGGCGTGCCCGGGATGGTACAGCATCGACCCCCTTTTTCTCTAGATTCTGATGCTGTCTGCCGTCCGTCCTATACAATATCCCTTGGAAATCGTTTCTAAAATGCCGTTTATGGACATGTATGTTACGTACGCATCTGCAAACCTACGATTTAGACTTTACGATTGTCAAATAACCGCTATTTGTCCTAGTTAATAAGCAGCTCGCGATCACTTGGAATACCGCACACAACATCGTCGTAGAAGGCTGAGGACAGCTCTCGGCAGGGTTGTCAAACCAGGAAGGCATACCTGCCTAGGTGTCTCGGAGTACTACTACTAACACTGGAGCACAATTACGTTGGATCGAAGAGCCGCTCATCTCGTAAGAGCACCTTATAAGTTACCTAGTAAGTTAGACATATACCCATATATGATTATTGGTGAACTGATCGCACAAGCTACGAGTCCTAGACATATGACATTGTCACGGAATCTCTTCTATATCTCCTCTCTCTTACTAGTTGTAAGGTATCGTGGACTGCAAAAGCATGAAATGGTGGACGTTATATAATTAAGTGGCGAGTACAGTGTTGCTCTTGTGGCACACCAATCCTTGAGTTGTAGTGACATCGTGTAATATTACCCCTACAACTCAGACCAATTTAGCACTCTATGAACGAGTATGTACCTGATTCATATGCTAAACTACTACGGTTTAGTCAAGTACGGATAATTTCGCTATAAGGGGACGTGTAATGAAGAGACGTCCCACAGCTGCTACACGGTACCTAACATTAGAACGAGGCTGTATATGCCCATCTGCAGCGAGCCTTGCCTGGTGATAGGTGTCAAACGCAGTTAACCGTTGGAAATATTGCCCATCTGAGACCACTTTGATGAAAATCTTCACATAATATATAAACCTAGATCCGTTTATAGGAACTAGAGAATTACTACCTACTAAAAGTGCGAGAAGAAGAACAAAAAGGGGAAGAGAGGAGGGGGCTGGAAATCACACGACGATGTGATTAACTCCTTAAATGTTAAATGTTTACTATTACCAGGTGAATTAACTTGTTTACCCTAAATGCCTGTATGACATTAGAAAGCCCTGCTGCATCACTTCCCAGGGTTTCTTTGCCTATCGGAGTGAGCATCTATGGAGCAAATGTACCACTTCTACTAGGAAATATTTTCTTTGGATATGCACCTACCACTGCTAGGATATCATTAGATTATTATAGAAATCTAGGTATAGGTGGTTCTTTTTTTTTTTTTTTTCTTTCTTCATGGAATTGGCGTGTTTCAACTTAATCAATCGAGATCGTACAATATTCCATGTACTAGATCCTAAGTCAGGCGACCGGAATTTGGGACAGCACGTGCGAAAGGCCTTCTGCACAAATCTAAGAAAATGCCCATATACTAATTCACGCATGTTCCTGGATCAGGAAAATGCTTCCAATAATGGATAGCATCTCGGAAAATGTCATCGTGGGTGAACGTTGTCTCGATATCTCGTGAGTTGTAGTGGCTAGGTAGCTATGTTTCGAACACCTAGAAACTCGGGTACAAGTAATAGCTAAATTGCAAATAATTCGGATTCTGTGAGCCTCTTGACCATTCACCGTAAAGTCCTCCAAAAAACCTCACGGGTCCATTGGCCCTTATGTGTACGACGCGGTGGCGAGCAACACAAGTTACCCCAAGGGTCAGCCAAGGTCTTACGGGTATGATGCGGTCCGTCTGCATTTCTGTGCAGGATCTTCGATCCATCTAATCTCGGAGACGTCGGTTTGGCGCATTTATTGTACAACCTTATTCGGCCTTCTTCGCAGTTTCTCGCAAACGGGGGGCCGTGCCTTGGGTCATCTGCGTGTTCCCTTGCTCTATGTCGGCAGCCCAGAGAGCAGCACCCGCTAATGTGACTCGTCAGCAAATCCATTTCTGCACAGGTAGAATATGGGCCCTACCGGCGTTAGTGAATGCAAAGAACATTGATAGGACAGGTATCATCTCGAGGAGAGTCGCTATCGTTCCAAAGCTAAAACCCTGAGTCAACTCAAGTTTTGATCGTAATAAGCATGTTTCGGAGCATGTAGCTGCAAATTTAACAGGCTGAGAAACATTGATAGGACATGTGCAGTATATTAGCAGAGGTGAAGCAGTCGCCCAATATTTCCGCCTGGGCAGTACTAGCAATAGTGGCTCCTTTCAAAAACAACTGAGCTGCACTTACGTTGTGTACGGGCCCGCGTGCCGTTTAATCCAATCCTGCTGTTGGGGTGAAGACCATCCTTTTAGTTGGAAATACTACCACCCTCCGGAGTCAGCCATAGTCTCATAAAATTTTCCTAGGAAACGAACCCGATCATGAATCGTGTTGCCTCGTGATCGACCTAATAGAGATATAAGCGGTAAATTGCGAGTAACTAGGCTTATACTAACCTTGAAGAAATATAAAGATAATCGTGCCAACAACTAACAGAGTAGCTCTTCGTTAATATGAATTAGAGCAACGAGGCGTGGCTACGTAACATACCAGGAATAAAATTTAAGGGGAGATACATGACATATCTTATGAAAGCTTTCGGAGTAAGTTTTGAAAAGGGACTCTTGAGGATTTTACCCAGTCTTGAAATAGGGTCATTGCCAGACTTCAACTGCCGTCCCTCTCTGACAATACCAGTTGCATTTCTTGAGACAAGTGTGCCATCGAAGGTATCAAGTAGGGCATCCTGCAAGAGGAAGTTGCGGGAAATGATACTGACAAGCGCAGAGCTCTCGTTGAGTATGAGAAGGGTGGTCGTGAAGACAGCCAGGGGGCCGTTAATGAAGACAAGAATTGAGAGCTGTGGTAGATAAGTGAAGAAGAGCATAGAGGCGAACACTCCCAAAGTAAGCCCTAGGGTTGGCAAAATGCGAGAGGAGAATGGCTTCCATAATGCCTTATGCGTTATAAAGTAGATTATACCCCTAAATAGGAAAGTTTAGTCCGAGATAGCGATTTGAAGATGGAATGTTAGCTTCATACTTGAAAGGATACAGGTAGGCTCGGCTTTTAGCCGCATCCGCAAGGAGCTCTTTAGCTTTATAGTAGTCTTCTTTCCTACGATGAATTAATAAGTATCATATAGGTAGGAGCCTTTCTTTAGGCCCGGCGTCTACGTACGCGACCTCTTCAGCCTTGGCTTGAACATTGCTGGCGAGGTCACCAGCCATTGTGAGGAGGTTTGTCGAGTTTGTAGGGAGTCTCAATAGGTTGAATGGAAATGTTGACAGAATTACCTTTCCATACAGTGCCTAGCCTACGATGGTGAATAAGTACCTATCTATCCGGTGCTGGATTAATCATGATTTGAGGGAGGTAGGTAGTACCCTGATGCAGAATGGGTGTTGTCGTCATAGACACAATAAGAGTATTATCCCCACTTGCCATTTTTATTGGAGCTTTGACCACTTTGCAACAAATTACGTAGGATTACGTAGGTAGCTAACTCTTAGGTTAGTGTTACATAATTAAGCTCTGGGGCTACTTACAGCCGACTTAAGCACCTCCATCGAGTCCTTAGTACTACCTAGGGAACTAGAAGTAGTACTGGACATCCATTCAAATTTTAGACGTCGTGTATGTGAGTAGGTACCTCAGGGTACGTAGTAATGTGAATCAAGCCAGTTTGCGGTCTATGGGTAAACTTGATGATTCTTCTTGTTCGAGCACGAGGCTGAGTTAAAGCGGTCGAATTTGTATTTGCCATAGCCCTACACAGTGGACTACACAGGGTATAATAATCCTCATTAATAATCTATAACCCTAGGGTCAATCCGTGAATGTTGGCATGTAAGGCATGCTTTCATACCTCTTTCTAGACAATAACCCTCTTTTTAAGAAGAAAAGAAGAAGAGTAAAGGTCTCGAAAGAGATATCAAACAGTCTCGTAAGCCTACCAGCTCGGTAGTCCTGTTCCTAATCCCCCAACCGTATTTCCTAATGCTCTCCCAGACCGTAACCAGTGTTTATAACAAAGCCATGTCGCTATAGTGCCCAAACGCCGAGGATGTCTTATAGAATACCATGCAATCGAGGGGAAAGAAAAAACACCTAAAAACTATCGCCTATCCCGATTATCAGGCTCTCCCGGTGTCTGCATAGACCGAGATAGAAATCTAGCCCGCAAACTATTCCGGAATGCACCGAACCAGCCCCCCTGGTGCGAGCGGTGTGGGGACAATAATGTGCCTTGTTCTACGTCGCGATCGTCCGATTGCTCTAAGGGAGCATCGGGAGACGAAGAACTCGTTGCCTGTACCTCAAGGTCGTCGTCGCTATCATCCTGGTAGGGTTCGTACCGTGGGCTGGATGGCATACCGCGGGCTAGAGACCGAACAACGTCGCCCTTGCAGATTGGGCAAGTTCGTCGCCGCGTTATCAGCCAAGGTGTTCTACCCTGTCAGTTAGTGACATGCATTCTCGAGACATACGGCAATTAACTTACATGCAGTCTACGTGGAACTCGTGGCCGCATGGTAGACTCATGACTTGGCTGACGCCATCGACATATTCCTCTAGACACACCACACACTCGACCTGCCGGCCCATATACTTCTTCCACTCACTCGAAGTGTGTGCATTGCGTTTCTCATGCTCCGGGCGTGACGGAGACCTAGGGAGGGACAGTGAGGACTCGATCTGCAAAAGGTCACCGGCTGACGGCACGCCAGTCGTGGTTCGCGACCGTGGCCTGGGCCTCGACGGGCCGTGCTGGCTCTGTAGCAATGGCGTCGTCGGAGACGAACTGGTCGGCGAGGGCACTCTGGAAGTACGACTTGGCGTAGATGCTACGGTATGATAAGTACGAACCGGGAGCTGTTCAACTACAGACTTGGGGGCTCGCCATCTCCTTCGTCGAATACGCGCTCGTAAGATGAGCAAAGCATATACTACCGTCAGCGTGATAAGAGGACTAATCACCAGAACCAAGAGAGTGTCGAAAAAAGGACTGGCACCACTTGAGGGGGTGATGACGACCCAAAGTCCCTCCCGTTCATCCAGGGGGGAAGAACCTCCCGAGCCAGGAGCAGGTTTTCCAACGTTGGATGTATCGATCGGCTTCGACTGGGCCTCGGCCTTGTTGAAGTCTACTTCTTCATCATCATCCCCGAATATCTTCGAGATCAGACCGCCGTTACTTGAGGCTGGTATCTTCCCTCTGGTTGACCCGATAGCGTCAGATCCCTTGGCAGGCATACGGCGTGCGGCATATTCTCCGCTGCCAGGGGTGACTCTGCCACCCTTCGACAAATTAGTATTCTGCTTTTTGCTTTCCGAGATCTCGGCATCGGATACTTGATCAGACCTTGCATTTGGTCTAGAGAGCTTCTCGTTACCCTCGATCGACTCCTGTAAGCCGTCGTCTTGATCGGAAGAGCCGAGTAGATCCGGATCTCGCCAGTCCTCCACACCTATCTGGAAATTATCGCCAGGAATGTTTTTAGTCTTTGGTTTCGAAACTCCATTTGACCTAGCTTTTGCAGCGCGCTCCAGACTACTTTTAATCACCTTATCCTTCTCATCTGAAAAGTCCTCGACAAGCACCCAGTCAAGCTGACCACTGCTGGGCGGGCGGCTTCCACTGGCAGCCGAGCTCGAGCTGGAAGTAGAGCCCCAGCCGAAAAGTTTGGGAAACCAGCTTGACGACGAACTTGAAGGCTCATCACTCGATGACGGATGCTTTTTGGGTATTTGAGACTTCACGCCTTTAGACTTCAGGGGAAGTTTCAGAGGTTGGGCCGGTACGACTGCGTTTCTCGCTTTCCTATTCTTTCGAGCTTTATCGGACTGCTGCACTTTCAACGAAGGTTTGCCGTTCTCATCAACGATGTCTTCGATAAAACTCCCGGGCTGCATCATGAGTGAGAGTAGATACGCGGTCGTACGGGAAGTGAAGATGGAAGGGATGGTAACATTAGAAGTGTCTCCGTGAGCGTACATCTGTATTAACGGGCCACCTCTTTGGTTATCGCCAACGATGAGAGCGATTGCACCTCGTCGCTGAGCCCACTTCACTTTCTCAAGAAAGCCACAACCGCCACGACTCAATAGAACTATCTTGCCGGCAATCTCAGCTCCCTCCTGTATGGACTGAATATCGGCATGACCGGAGCCGGAAGAAGCGATGGCGTCGACCTGAGATTTAGTCGACTGATCTAGGCTCTGGTGAAGGTAGTCATCGGTACCGTCGTCGACCGGCTTAGTCTTGGATTTAGGCTCGGACTCGGAGGCGGCGGCTCGGTCGACTAGGGGACCTTTGGAATCAGTCCGTTTCTGGCTCTTGGTCTTGCCTACAGCGGCAACGGATTTAAGTTTCCGTTGACTTTCTTTCGTAGATGGCTTCAAGACGGCATTTGAGGTGCCATCATCCCAGCCGGGAACGTCGCTGCAGCCCAATTCGCCTTCGCCCTCGCCATCTTGCATGGACTCCTCGGTAAAGCCACTACCAATCCACAATTGTCCATTCAAGCCCTTGCTCGGCAGCGGGGACCCAAAAGCGGCGGGCCGCGCCGCGAATGAGGTGCTGTTGTCATCGGCTATGGTTATGATGGCGTTGGGCGGGAAGAGGGTGAATGGTGTCGAAAAAGAGAATAAAGATCTGAGGCCTGACTTCTGTGCTGATTGCGGGGAAGATATCACAGACGCAGGGCGACCGACCGATGTCATCGCGCGACATAGGAGGAAGAGGCAAGCAGCGAAGAAGAGGGCGAGAATGGCGATTCTAGGTGGTCGCATGTTTGCGATGATGGTATGGGAAGGGGGCGAGGGGGGCGAGGGGTCGAGGACGAGAATGAGGAATCGAGAGCTCGTCAACGTAGCTGGTAATTCAGCTGGTCGACAGCGTAGACGACCATTCGTAGCAGAATTAAATTAGGCGTATTAGTAGAAGTAGAAAGTAGCGCGGTTGGATGAAAATATGACGTATTCAAGATGACCTCTTCTCAAGTCCCGGTTACGAATAGAATTAACAAGGCGGGGTGAAGACGGAATAATAAGCCGACAACAGTACAACAAAAGGGACGCTCGTTAGAGATAGGACAAGGATAGAAGAGGGTCTATAAGCTTTCTTTTAAAGAGACAAGACCTCGAAAGGCCCTCTGGACATAAGAGGTTGGACAGGGTCGGACGAGGCTGGGCTGGGCGGCAACGATGATGGCGATAATAATAGAGGAAAAAAAAGGATGAAATACAAGTAAACTGCGGAGAGTCGACGACATCCCATCAATGATCACCCAAGGTACCTAGGAGAAGGTAGTACCTAAGTTACATCCTAATTACCTAATTAGGACCGCTAAGTCGGTGGTGAGGTCAGGATTTGGTGTGGGTGGTTCTAGCAGGGGCTTGAGTGGGTGCAGGCGGTGCAAGATGCATTTTTAGCACGGGCCACCAGAGTTTACTAGTAGGTACAAGCTAGAAATTTCTGAGTTGGGCTACATTAAGTTATCAAGCGCGTGTTTGCGTCACGCTGGTCAATCGCGGTGGATCTTGCTTTCTCTTCCATTACACTACTAGTACCTATTTCGGTACCTGGATAGAGTACTATCAATATCATTGATTTATCATGATGTAAAGTTTTAAGAACCATATACGCGTATGGCCTGGCTGCAAAGATATGGTAAAATGTTTAATCGTTTCACCCCTGAATCTACTAAGTAGGTACTTAGGTGCGTAGTTAGGTACCTCCCACCACCTACTATATACTACGTAGTATGTAGGCAGTTGATGTTCGTCTGCTTCAATGTTGGTAGAGATGATCTCCTTGATCACACGAGTACATAAAACACCCAATAACGATTTGCGCTCTTTTCAATGCGTCGTCAATCACGGGAGAACCCGCCTTCATTTTCGGTAAACTGGCAGACTGGTTGGGATCAACTTAGAGCTAGAGATATGCAATAATGTCGACGCATCCTGCACAATCTGTGCGTCGGAACTTGGTGGCCGACTAAAATTGAAGCTTATACATTAGTAAATGTTGCCGATTGTAACTTGGAAGCTTTTGAAACATGCCGAAACCAAGCTTCGCCTGTCAATCATAAAATGCCTACCTACGTAGCGCATAGTAGGCAATTTAGAACGAGAGATCGTCAAGAATACGACCCTATAAAGACCCTATCACTTTTATCGTTAGGATAACCGCCGCGGCTCGAAATTTGTTTTATCTGGAACTTGATACTGTTTCATCCAAGGGGAAAAGGAGAGCTAATGAGCAATCCATTACAGAATAATAATCAGAATGCTTCCGCGTCAATAATCGAATATTGTTTCACGATAGGTTGAAACTCGAAACTTATCAAGTTCTTGAAAACATGTGCGCCGCGCTACCTGATTCGCCCAAGTCCGGAAAACGTTGCCGGTTTTGGCAATCGTGCGTACCGAGTAGCAGAGTCAAGCTAAGCCAGTCAACAGGTGCGTAAATTATACCCAGCAAGTAAACCGTCTGCTGTTGTCTGGTAGTATTATCTGATACCCATTTGGGTCGCTCCAACTCCAGAGGGTCGAAAAAGGCCTCGTCCAAAAGACGGCAAATATGAATAACGCTTATCTATCAAGCACTATAACTACCTAGGCAGTATTTTAACTGAATATCTGGCTAGCTGCATGGAAGCGAGTCCGCAACTCCATCCGACAAAAACGCCAGTCCTGCCATGCTACACCATGCTATGCCATGCTATGCCATGCTGTCAACTATCCTGCGGTGCAACTCCCAGACAAAACCTGTAGTGTTCCTCCCAATGCGAAAACATCGATGTAATTAAGGACTTGATCTCGTACTTCTTATGATGACCTTTTGCGAGACGACTCATCTCGCTACCATCCAGAATCCTTTTTAAGGCTCACGGTCCCGTCCTTATTAACCACCTTTCCGCGGTCCCATTCCCGTAAACCGCCGGCAGTAGTCCATTGCACGTCTGCTTCGTTCTTCTGGTCACCTTTCTTCCATTTATCAACCTGCTCTTCGGTAAAGCCCGCAGAGCGTAGTCTCTCCGCCCCTTGCTGGTTCCACTTCTGCCGGTCACGAAATGCTTCCACTGCATGATCCCATTCGTCATCCTCCTTGCGTTGATCTTCCGACTCAGGCGTGACATCTTCTCTTGGATCGTAGTCAGGCGCGAAGCGATCATCTATCCCGGACGTAGCGGCATTGGCACCACGTCCCCTGCGTCGAACAGTAGGTGCTTTAGCCGGTACGGGACCGATGGTCTCCTCTGATGAGTCGGAGTCGGATGAATCTCCAGACGAGGAAGATTGATGCTCAGAGCGTTTTGCGACAATAGAATTGCGATGACTCTGGCGCCGGGAAGAGAATCCTTGGTGCTTGCGCTTCGGGATAGTGGGTGAAGATGGTCCGTCTTCTTGACTCTCGTCCTGATGGTGACCACGGCGTGAAGCTCTGGGCCGTTCCGCTAAACGATCCCTTCGGCCCTTCTCCTTTTTGACGTCTACCCCATCCTTCATTACGAGGTTTTTATGTCGCCGATGAGAACTTCTAGTTCCGTCGCCGGACTCAACAGAGCCTGATGCATTGCTAGCCGATGTAGCAGACCTCCCAGCTTTCTCAGTCCTGCGCTTCTTAGGCGATCCACCAAGAATGGCCGCGATGTCTCCTAGCATACGCTTCCTGGTGTCGCCAGGTCCTGGCTTAGCCTTCCGTAGTTTGCGCTCCTCTTCATGGCGCTTCTTCTCTTCGGCGACTTCTAGGTCGCGCAATTTAGCCTGGGATTCGGCATTTTCTTTAGCTTGGAGCGCGCGGTTGTGATGATTGGTGCCGCGGATGATATTGTTGAGGAAGCGAGTGTTAGGCTTGGGTTGATTCGCAGGACGTCTGGCAAGAACAAGGGTTAGAATTACGAAATGCTATCATGAATAGGTAGACACTTACTTGGTAGACTTGAAGGCATCGAGGCCGAGCGCCGAGTACTTGAGAGAGCAATCATTTGCTTCCTTGACCAATAGGTCGGCGACTTGGTCATCTGTAGGTACGTCGTCGACAGGCATCTTCGAATTATTGGGAAGTAAAAAGGAGAGGTGCGGAGGGAATACGGAACATCGACCTGCGTATTAGATGAGAGCAATGTAGAGATGGTGGTTTAAAGATTAATCAATTCATCGATCATGTCGACGAAGACGGCGGGGTGTGAAATTGAGATTGGATCAAAATACTTAGGTACGCAAGTGGATTGAATGGTACGTCCCGAGAGGCTGTGGGGTCAAGGATCCCAGCACGGAAGGTATAGGATCATGTTATCTAAGCGCCTTATCGATTAGCGGGACCTTATTCTAAGTACGGAGTACCTAAGTACCTGCACAATGTACCCCTGCACCCCAGGTATTCGGCTGCAGGCCCCTTTCCTTTCTCGGACAAAAGTAAATAACATCAAATCGCCAAACCACCAAACCGCCAAATCCTAGAAAGCATTTCAAGGGTGGACTTCCGGTCATTTTGAACATTGAATGCCTATTACCAAAAAGTTCAAGGGTAGAGATCCCAAATAGTCTAGCATCCACCTCACATCTCCAGCCAGAAGAAGATTTCGGTCGTTTGATCAGGTGCAACACGCGACAACTTGATCGAGGATGGCGCCTCTCACACCACAAGGCGTGCTAGCTAAGTTACGGTCACTCACTGCTAGCCAGGAAATCACCATCCTGAAGCTCAGCGAACCTATCTCGGCCGCAGTCACACAACTACAAGATGCCCATCAGCGAACTTCAGACGTCTCTACCTCGTCACTTGACGCTACTACACCCTCTTCTCTCGAGGGCGACTTGACACACTACCGGGAGCTGTTTGCCAAACTCCGTTTCAGTTATGTAGAGCAAGTCAGCAAGGAGAAATTCATTCGTGCCATCGTAGGCGATCCACCTCTTATCGTCAGTTCCCAAGAGAATGTGGACCTCGAGAAGGAGAACCTAGAAGCAAAAGCCACACTTAAGGCATTGAAGACAGAGGTCGCAGAGATGGTCGCCGAGCTCGAGGAGAAAGCCAAAGATCTGAGTAGAAGGTACGAGAAAGTGCAAGTCGAGACCATCAAACTGGAAGAGCTTCCCGGCAAGATTGGAGAGCTTGGAAATGCAGTTGCAAAATTGCAGAAGAACCAAGCAGCAGGGTCGAATCCAAATCCGGAATTAAATTTACCCTTGGCCAGGACTTTGGACTTGGTCGAGTCAAAGAAGAAGAGAAAGTCCGAGTTGGATAGACAACTAGAGCAACTCCAGGGTCAAGTCCCGAGGAAAAAGAAGGAGTTGGATCGGCTACACGCCGAGCTACATCCCCTCGAGACGAAGAGACAGAACAGCGCGGCTGCCGCAAAAGAGGCCAGGAGGCGAAAAGAGGCGGCGCTCGGTGGTGTCGAGGATGATCTTGAGGAAAGAGGCCGCTGGTTCAGGGCAGCCGAGGCCGGTTTAAAGGGAGTATTGGAGATTCGGGGCTAAATGTCTTCATCATTCGAGAGCAGGTGTTAGGCGTTTCTGGGCGTGCTGTCTAGCTGATGAACTCATATTCTCCGTGGCCGGGATAATCTATGGAGGGAAGCTCGCCTCTAGGAAGTAAGACATCTCGAGCAACGACTCTAAAGGCAAGAAGCGAAAGAGAGAAAAAATCAGTCACGAATAGTGAAACCCTTCCGAATATCCTAGGCAGAACCTTCTACTGCAATGTTTTCACTACACCGAGTTCGGCTAAGACATGATTAATGTTTCCGTAAGCTATAAACATACCTTGCTAGCTAGCGGCTGGGTATGCTCGATGGTGTCAATAAAAAGACCATTTTACATGACCTCGAGTGTGTCTCCAAAATGATATACATTGCCAATGGATTCATATGAGTTTCGATACCTCGTATCAAGTTGAAGATTCCTATTTGATACGTGGCTCATATTTGCAACATGCATCGTGCAGGATTCAAGCTACCTAATTAGGTGCTTGGCCAAGTTGCAGGTCAGCTTTGATGAGATCGACCGCCTGTACCGAGTTAGTTTAGAATCTTCGAGTCGCCTGGATGCCGCTTACCTTTTCCGCGATGGCATACACAGTTTGGCAAGTGTTAGCCCCTGGTAAGGTGGGCATGATGCTGGCGTCGACGACCCTAAGATTCTTCACGCCATACACTTTCAGACTCTCGTCGACAACACCACCCAGTTCCCTGGGCATCATGGCGCACGTGCCCGAGGGATGGAACTCCGAGGGGCTGAGGTTCTCGGCCAGGAAGCCGGCCAGGTCTTCTGGCTCGTTGACGTAGTCGGGTGGCTGTACTTGCCGGGGGATCAGTTCCTTTAGTCGCGTCTCGAAGAAGTAACGCTTGGTGAACCGAAGGAACTCGACCATCACGTCAAGGTCGATGGGGTTACTGAGCGCCCGGTAATCGACGATTGGTTCTGTGTTAAAAGGATCGGTCGTGTTGATGTTCACCGTGCCTCTACTCAACGGGTGTAGGTCTATTAGGGAGCCCGATGATCCACCCCCTGATAAAACGTGGTTACTATAACATATCAAGTCAGCAACCGTCACAATCTCTAGAAGCTTTGCTCGGGCTCGCCTCATAAGCTTAGCGTGCTTCAACTTCCCTTCATCGGAGAAGGGCAAGGATAGCGACGGGTGTACTGAGTCGACCACTTACTAGAATGCCGTATTCGAAGAACGAATTGACGATGCCATGTTTTTCATCTGTGCGCTGTAGCCTAGACATTCAATGTTAAACATCCAGCTTTTTTATTTCTTAAATTCCTCTTTCGAAAGGGGTTATAAATTAGGTGACTATGTGACATACCAGCAATTACTGTCTCGTCGGTTTCTGGGGGTAGATGAGCGGCATGATCTTGGCTCTCCAGCTTGGACGCTATGCTTTCAAATCTCTCTGGCGAGATTACTGGCATGCCCAGCCACGCCGCAGCGTTCCCTATACCCATGGAGTACGGACCTTGGATGTCGGGTGTCAGTGGCCAGCTGAACTCCGGCGTTTCTCAAAACAAGGGCGAGCTTCTGGACTTACCCGTCTTGTTGGCCTTCCATAGCTCCTCCGCCCAATCTGTGAAGTTCGGATTGCCAAACATATCTGATGGACTTGGATGAGTCGTGAAATTTGCGACTGTGAGATCAGACCGTTAGATCTCTCGGTACCCTCGCTCCGTACGTATGTTGGTAGAAAGGTTACTTACGCACGATGCTCATAAACATCATCGGGTGATCTTGGAAGTTCTGGCCGACGCCAGGTAGGTCGACACTTGTGTTTATGCCCGCAGACTGAAGCAGCTTCTGGGGTCCGATACCACTAAGTTGCAATATTTGTGGAGAATGAATCGCTCCGGCGGATAGAATAACTTCACGATTGGCCTTGACGGTGATGTGAGTCGTAGCGTTCCCAATTTTCTGCCTGAAAACTACTCCAGTAGCCGTCCCATCCTCAAGGAGAATTTTTGTCACATGTGACTTTGTGACGACGTCATGGTTTGTTCTATTAATCCCGTCAAAATGCCCAGTCCTGGCATACGATCTCTGGACCAGTTTAGGGTCCATGAAAGTTGGGAACCAGTACACGCCTGCTTTGCCTGCGCCGCTATCAGGGGGGAATTCGACTCCGGGTATGTCCTTGAACGCCTCGATCTGCGTAGCTAATTCTGATATTAGCATGTTTTACCTGATCACGAAGAAGAAGACGCAAGGCACAGACTTAAACCAGGCCATTGGAAGTAAGGCCATCCCGCATATACTCCAGAACTATTGCCCCAATACGAGGTATCGTAAGTAATATTCACCAACTCCGCCACAGCCGGATCGGGAGGCACAAAATTCAGGGCCTTGATTGATTAGTGATAGTTCAACTAAAGAGGAGAGAAAAGAACGGTACCTTCTTTAAATATGGTAACAAACCATCCCAAGACCAAGAAGAGTTATCACCGAAAAAGCCACCCCATCGATCATAATCCTCCGATGTTCCTCGAACAGTCATCATAGCATTAATAGCTGAGCTACCACCGACCAAATTCCCGGCGAGAACCGCCGTGCTCCGGTTATTCAGATTTGCCTGAGGAACAGAGTTGATCTGATACGACCACGTTGGTCCCATGGCGGCAGCGCCAGAATACACCTGCCTAATCCTAGGCGAGTCGACTTCAGGTGGATATCAGCCATCTGCTCATGTCTTTCTGTTCTTTCTTTTCTGCTTAAAAAGTAGAAGTAGGGGAATATCTCACCTATATCCCCATTTTCTACCACAAGGACAGTAGCTTGGGACGAATCATCAGTGTTTATCCACTGTAAGGCGCTGAGATTTGTCGTGACTCACACTCCCCATCAGCTGTTAATCTATCAGCTATAGTCAAGCCTGCTGTTCCTGCGCCAACAATCACATAGTCGTATGATGACCGCACCTGTGAGGAGCCATTGAGAAACCTGAGCTGAAGCTCTGAGTGGTGATGTGCCTGGGTAAAAGGTCCATTTGCTGCGAATAGCAAAGTTACGAAGCCAAGCTTAGCAATATAAGCCGAACGCATTTTATCAATTTAAATTTGAATAGCTCCTAGAAGGTATGGTAGAGGAATAGCTAAGCCTTGACCGTGATGGCGGTGGACGCCATATAAACATTTTGCACTTCAGCGGATGACTGCAAGTCGGTTCTTCCAAGGAGTACCTACTAATTACCCATACTATTTGGAATATTGCATGCTACATATGAAAAAGTAATATAAGGCAATGTATCACTAATGAAATGGGTGAAGTACGAGGGGGTAGCTTGGAAGTAAACTCCTTGGGTCCGAGCACGGTGAAGGAAGCGAAGGGGATTGCTCAGCCCTAGCTCGTGGCGCGAAGGAACGTTTCCCTGCTGACAACCTACCTACATAGTTGGGATCTATAAGGTAATTGATCATTACTATATATTAGGGATAGCCGAGCCCGCAAGCCTCAATTCATCGGCAAATCTTGTGAAATTGGCAGATATACCCTAGGTAGCTAAGAACGTGGTATCAGTACCTATTCTTTTCCATCCAGTACCTATGTAGGGGGAAGAACACATTACGGGTATCAATTGAACATCGTTCTCTCGCACAGAAATAGATGTAGACAAATATGTACCAATTTCCCGGGGGAGTTATGCTGGATAGAATTAGCCGCCATATAGGAACGCGCCTCCTCAGTCCTTTTCCCCTTGCAATAATTCCTTACTAAGAGGCACAAATATCAACCTTATGAGAAAATTCTTTGTGTATTGCACCTCGCATGACTACTGCTGGATAATCTCGAGGGCCCTTATGTTGGGCCCTTACCACTCCACGATAGACCACGGAAAAAAGGGGAGAAGTTGTAATCAGCTTTATGAATATCAAAACCCTCAATCGAGACTTTAACTCTGATACAATGTCAAACAAGAGATTTGTCTCTTTCGTAATAGCAATCGAGTCTGAGGGGTGATACCTTTAGTCATTCCGTTAACCCTTCCCCTATTACTATCCTTAGTAGACAAATTTCATATATTGTCTTCCTTTCAGCCGAACTTCGTCGTACCCAATTTACCACGTCTCATATCACCTAATACATAGTAGTTAGCGAATTCATAATTGAGCATGCCATCTATCCCGATAGTATACCTATCTACCACTTTAAATTATGCCGACCTTGAAAATATAACAAAGTCGGTCATGAATAAAAGTGAGATTTGCTACTATATAATACCTATGCAGGTACGAATCTCCATATATCATTGAATCCTGGAAGGCTCCTTCCTGGGTAATGGAAACCGACTGCGGTGTTCATCGCTCCCCTTTTGGAGCATAATTACCTATCCATGGAACTCGTTCCAAAAGTAGGTCTTTAGTCAGCATAGCAATGACTCGACAAGCCAAGAGGCAACATGGTCCCAAACAACTATGGTAAATGTGGAATGCTCTTTCGAGAAATATTCAAATTAAATGCCTACATAGATTATAATGTTGATCAATTTTATAAGAAGAAACAGAGGGTATAATAATCCCATAAGAGATTTACTTTGATACGACAATATGTACTAGGAAAACATCAAAAAGGACTTACCCATATAAAGGAGGGCTAAACTTTTATAATTTCATCGAAGGCAGTACCAGCATATAGGACCACTTTACTTCAATTTGAACCTCGCATGCTAATGAACACGATTAAGGAAATACGGCCAACGTTGGTATGATCAAGCTTCTGTTGAAACATTTATTTATTTATATTTATAGGTTATATTAGTAAGAATTAATTAAAGTCTTTAGTATAATCCTTCCGTCATCATATTGTTTATTCCTATATCCCTGGACTATTCGCAATATGTTCAATCGTATTCTCCATAGTATACACATATCTTTATAGACTAATGTATGTACTCTTTTAGCATGCGGTATCTGCTTTCCTTTGAACGCTAATGATAAAAGACACGGAGCACTCGTATATATGGCAGGCAGAGATGATATACAACTGCCTTATGGGATCACCCTTAGTCTGGATTCCTCCTATATGGTTATCATGTCAGTAATTACTTACGTATCTAGTAAGAGTAGGGGGAGGGAAAGATATATGGATACATACGGTGACAAAGTTAACTGGAATTATCGTAAAAGCAAGTAACTAAGTATTGACATGATAAATTTATAACGTACCTTCCATCCACGACAATGCTGTACGCCCAGCACGTTCGTTGTATCCTCAGGAGAAAGAGAGGCAAAAACGGGAGCAACATCGTAACTTCCTCGTTCCGAAGAAACGTTGTTAGTCTCCCTATCAAGGTACCCAGGCAGGTAATTATACGTAGTAGGTAACTATCCTTAAGAATCCGACCATTACAGAACCAACCTAGTACGAACGTTAGAAGTGTCAACCTTCTCTTCAGTGGGCTCTATGTTATCATCAGGCTTTTCTGTCACTGTTAGTTAGAGTTTTGCAGTGTCACATTATTTTCAACAGAACCACCCACGAGACACTATCCATCAAATCTTCCCACCCCCAGAAATCCTCCTCCCATTCCAACTTCAACATCGAACAGAGTAACTTGAATTCAAGTGTGAGTTGATCGGGGAAGACAAAAACGAAGGGGAAAAAAAGGAAGAAAAGTTAACCAGAGGGTGCCTATGCGCCTGAGCACATCAAGATCAACCCAGGGAGAGTTCAACATTTTCAAGGAGTTATACCTTCTACTCAGGCGGTGACAGAACCCTAGGATTATTTCCTAGGTGCCTAGTAGTGTCTGGCCAAGACCTACAGAGCTCCATTCTGTTGAAGTAAGCCTCTCTTTATAAACAACCCGACCGCCACCACTAATACTTGACCTAGTCCCCCACGTCAGTGTCTAATCATCTTCAACCTTCCTGTCTCATGTCAACTCACCTCTTCGACTGAAGTCGACTGGACTTATTCTTTACTCCATCCATAACTTACACTCTATCAAAAAAAGAACAAGAAACCCCATCTAGATATTGGTAAGCTCATCTTGATCTCCCGTTTTTCTCACCGTTTACTCTCGCGTCATCTCCATGTTATCTTCTTGGCATATTCATGTATGCAAGGTGCTAGCCGCTTCATTTCTCTTCCAACTGTGGCATGCCTTAGCGGTCTTCACTCAGATTTCTTTTTCTTCTTCTCGATATTCCCAACATCTTGCGTTGTATCCGTCGCCTACTGTTCCTCTACCGACATTTTCCCCTATCGTTCTATTTTCAATCATATTCTGATTTCATCCGAGATACAATACTTTGTTGCCGAAGATTTCTCTCGTAAAAACATCTCCAAGTTCGGGTCGCCTTGTAGCAGTAGGTTCATCTTTCTCATTCTTCCAGATTTATATTTGTTTCCTTTCTTCACTCGACATTTGTACGTATCTTGGGATGGCCGATTCTATCTCCCCTTTCCATTTATGCATTTTCCCTTCATCTACTTTTCCCCCTTTCTTTTGGTCATTTCCATAACCCGACGCGGTTGGTTCAAATTAGTATCCAGCGTCCTAGATGTGACACTAATCGATGTCTTTTTTTTGCAGACCCAGCAAGACCATTGCCATGTCTTCCCTTAGAAAGAAGGGACCTGCAAGTCTTGGCGTCACGGACCATGTGGCTCCTAACTCTCCAGCAACCAAGTCAGACCAAGGTGAGTCCGTTTTATCGTGACTAGTCAAACTCGGCAAATGCTCCAGCAGAAAATGTTATTATACTGATACCTTTCTATAGGAGGAGTAGGAGGAGGCGTGCGCCTTGACGTGGGACTGGAGGGCCTTACCCTCGAAGACTCCCCTTCATCCACAATGTAGGTTCTATAAAGCAACGGAGGCTAGCCCGCTAGCCCCCATTAGTTTATGACCGCTGACTTTATGTCGATAGTTATGGAACTCCCCGACGTGCTCGCAATGGCCGCGGTCAATCTACCTCGTCGCAGAAGCTACGTGGTCTGGACGATCAGTAAGTTATTTGACATTACAGATATCATAAGAGTATACCTGTCTTCTCAAGCTAACACCACCTGAAGAGATGACGTACCTTTTCAGTTAGGTGATGTGCCCGGTGACGAGGACATCTTTGGTTCTCCCAAGGGAGCACAGACTTACTCGTCAGCTCCGGTACTCCCTTCATCATTCGGTTCAACTATGCAAGGTGCTATTCCTAGCATGCAGCCTATCGCTATGCTGCGCAATCGTACCACGAACTTCGGCACCAGATCTCAGGTGGGAGGTGTAGACGCCCAGGCCTTCTATCCCGCGACAGCTTGTGTCTTTGTCGCCAAGTACGTTCTTCGGATGTATACCGTTTCCTTGAAACCAGTGTCTAACTTCATGATTAGTCTTCCTGACCATGTCCGAGACTCGCGTCTCGAAGCCGAGTTGACTCGCGTCTTCAGTCAATATGGCATCGTCTTCGTAAAGATCCGCCGTGACTCACGCAACATGCCCTTTGCGTTTTGTCAATACACTGTAAGTCATCATAGAAACAGGGCTACCTTGGCTTTGACTAAACTAGGGGTCTAGAAAGACGAAGATGCCCGAAAGGCCGTGGTCCAAGGCCGTGGCGCGCTGGTCGAAGGACGTCCTTGCCGCACGGAGATGGTAAAGGCGAACCGTAAGTGAAGTCTCAGATGAACGAAATCAACAAGAAAACGCCTAATTCGATTATAGGAAGCTTCGTTATCTACCATGCCAATGGAGAAGAGGTCAATATCGAGGATGCTCGCACACAGATGAGCGGCTTCGGTGACATTGACAAGTGTGAGGCTCTTCCTGCAGAGATCCAGGAGGCGGTGCGTATCAAGGGAGGTGTTCTAGTCGAATATGCTTCCTTTGATCCAGCTAGAGACGTGATTTCAGTAAGTGATTTATTCTATCAGGTACGTCTAGATATTTGTAGTTCACTAACAAGACTTATTAGGCATACCGCCATCATCCGACGTACCGCGTCACAGCCTATGACCTCAAGAAATCGATGAAGGCAAAGATGGATCCAGATGAGCTCTGGCTCAAACAGTACGAGATAGACCGTCGATCTGTCTTTGTGGGCAATCTTCCAGTGAACGAGCCTAAGGTACAGGAGCTGCTTACCAAGTTAGCCGAGGAAATCGGCGAAGTGCTAAACGTCAAAGTCGTGTGCAAGGATCCCCAACCTGGTCAGTGTTGCCCCTTTCTAGGGACGAGATGGCGGAGCTAATATAATTTTAGGGCGACCATACCAAATCGCTTTTGGCTTCGTCGAATTTTCCCGTGTTGACGTGGCAGATGCTGCCGTAAATCGCATGGTAAGTTTATAATAATAATAAAAAAGATCCGAATCAAACCAAACCGGCTGACTGTCGTATTACAGGGAGGTCAGAATCTGGGCGGATCCTTACTCCGAGTAGAGCGCAAGAACAGCCGTGAGCCTCAAAGCACGCGTCGAGCAGGCCCAGAGCCGGCATTCTCCAGATACATCAACGTGCCGAACAGTCCTTTAGTGAGCAAGCGCCCCGAGGGTCAGAAGCAGCAGGTAACCGAGCCTACGACACCAACGCCCTCCCGCGTTTCGCGCCAGAGAGCGCCCTCGGGCAACTACCACGGACCTATGTCGCCCGAGAACGCCAGAATGGCCCGCCCTACGCCATATGGGTACATGCCTCCGGTAGGACAGAACTACTCCAGCCCTCCGTATGGTCAGTTTCATGGCACCCCTCAGGTCGGCACAGCCAACTATCCCGCAACACCTCAGGCAACTCCTGCGATGATGAGCCCGCTTGGATCGTACTATGCTACCCCCATCTCATGGATGACGCCGTATTTGCAGGACCCCAGTTTCGCAAGCATGCCGTATTACGAACAGTACTTACCCCCTCCCACCCAGAACAGCCCCCTTCCCAGAGGCGGTGTGGACACCCATCTACAGGCGAAGTACGATACCGGAACTTATGAACATCGCCGCAATGGCTCAGGACGGAGCCAGTAGACGTAGGGGCATCTCAAAAGGGCGGATGGTGGTACGCTAAGATAGTCTCGTTCTTTTTGCTCTTGCGGATTCTACGCAGATGAATTGTTAGCTGGATTTGATGAACAGACGGTATTTGATCAACCACCAATTGAGGGAAGTGGGCGGGTCTTTTCCTTTCGATTGACCAGGACGTGGACTAGGATAGATTGAGTCTACTAGCACCATGTGCTAGTTGGCCATGCTCATCCTTTTGTACCTAGACTTTCTGATCAGCATGATCAATTGAGATCCAATTATGGAGACTGACTCGTAAACCGGTACATGTATATTCCCGACTCAGTGTTAAGCCGGCACCTCATTGTGGGGTTAATACAGTATGTGGTCCAGTGATAGGTGCATGATATAAGAACGTAGGTATTCTCGGCCAGAATTTAGTCAGGAGTGAAACCGTTCCAACATATGTCGTAGCAGGGGGTCTTGTATTCAAGGCAAGTTAGGCTTCTACACGACATGAAGAGTTAAGCAGGTAACTTCAAGAAATAGTGGTGCTGGTTTATGTTAGCAGCTCCGAGTGAAGAATGGTATATCACCGTATGCCAACAGTAAGGACAACATTATTTTTAGTAATCTATAAATACGTAGACAAGGATAAATCGAATATACGGCGATAGGAAGGCGTAACAGAAACAAGTAAGCAATCAATATAGTAATGTTGATGACTGGGCTGTTGGTGATGGATATGAGAGGTGGAGGAGAGGAAGATAACTCGATGTAGGTGAAAGGGGGGAAAGATATTACACACAGTAGCAGTTGGAGAGTACGTAATACCAAGGTATCCAGCCGGAAGGAACACGACTATGGGTTACGACTTGCCAATATGAAATTAGACCAGGCAAGTATGTATGTCTTGTGTTAAACTATAATAAAAGGAGATGGCGACTAGAGAGAGCACCGGCTCTAGTGGCTTAAAGTTTAATAATGAAAAGAATTGAATAAGGGAACTGATGGGCAAAACTAGGTAAGTATCATATCGATGTGGGTAAGTACCTATTGATATGCGAAGGTTATGAAATTAAGGGTATTGTGAAGAGTATTGGCAAGAAAGAAAAGGGGGTAGAAAAGGGGTATGCATAATTAGTGTGGAAAGAAAGAACGCCGAGGATACAGAGCATAGATGGATAGAATAAGTTTAAATTTCATAAAGACGGGAAGGATGAATATGGGGTTAGATACTAGGTAATAGGTCCTGATAACTTCATGGAACGGGGCTTGCAAAACACTCGGCAGCCATTTCGTTCCCGTCTCCCCATTTATAGACAGTGTTGCCGAAGCGCTGCCAACCCAACCTGCGATACAGGCGAATAGCATCCTGGTCCTTGACCAATGCGAACATAACTGGCCGTCGCCCTCTCCTCCGCGCTTCCTCGACGGCAGTGTTGATGAGTTTACTAGCCGTGCCGCCTTTCCTATTATTCGGGTGAACAAATAGCCTTCCAAGGACTGATGTGTGAATGTCTTCGGGATGTTGCTGCTGCCAAAGGACCACGGCGACGTTATCGGGACTAGCTTTTGCTAGAGAGACATGACCCACGATAGTATTGTCGACCTCGGCAACCCAGGACGCCTCATCTTTTCCGAAGAATAGTGCAGGATCTTCAACCCCCTCTACAGGATATCCACTAGTGTCATAAACAGTCCTGAGCACTCGGAGGCATGCTTCTATATCTCCTTCGGTTCGAAGTCGAATCGCTGCCATTTACAATGTAATATGAAGATGGGGACAACGGCAAGAAGGATAAGGACGTCGAATTGGAAGTAGTAATGTTTTGATGACAATAATACAAAGGGCGCCCTATAGATCCTATAGATATTATCAACTATCTAAAAAACGAAACTTGCAGATAGCAGTCACCGGTATCGGCTGTCCCTTTTTTTCCCGGCTTGAGGCGAACTGAGTACCCGGGCACATATATAAATCGATACTGTAGCAGGTATGCACAGCATCTTAGAAGCTTGCGGCTCATTTTCGCACACCATTTTCGAATACCATTATCACTAAGTACTCTTGATGGCATTATTGACACTAGAGCGCAGCTACATCGGTACCAAGAATTGAGGAGAATGATAAGATGGTGGTATCATGTTGAACGGTGCTTAGTTTCTAGCCCAGAGCCCTCTCGTTGTACTCAAAACGAAGATTTTCTCGACTATAAGATGCTAACAGTGGTAACTAGAGTATCAGCACCCAGTAAGATGGCAGGGCGGGCAACCGGTGCCGGTTTCGGTTATGACAGGTAGTTGGGATTATCCAATGGTGCCGGTTTTGTAGCTGAGCGAAGGGACAAGAAAAGACGCTGTTCTGTATCATAAACCGTCTACGTCCCTAGTCACGCCAAGGACACGAAAAAGAATGTGGCACGCAATCTGGCACACCCGCTTAGTCAGAGCAACCAGAGGCACATTCTGATATCCGACCCTAATCGAATGCGAGTGGAACAATAAGGCAACCATGCTGATGAAACTAGCGATGGAGAAGACGCTAATGCTAGCAAAGGTCTCCTTCCGGATCTTGATCTTTCGTTGCGTGAAGTGGTAGCAGGTGGTCAGTATGGTGGCGATACCGATCCAGGCCGGCAGTAGTAGGCCAGGGTCCTGGGAACCACCCGTCAAATATACGACCCACGAGGTTAGGTAGGCGAAGGCGCAGCTAATAGTAAAGAGGCGCACGACCGTCGCTTGCGGAGTGTAGTTGATGAGCCATCGTGACATCAGGCAATCGGTGAAGAAGAAGGCGAGATATGCCGAGGCGCAACACTAACAATGGTCAGCATGATGAGAACAAAAGCAGGAGGATAGCAGCAGGGTGGATGACGTACCCATATGACGGCGAGGGCGGTCTCGGTCAACCTCAAGGAGAAGGCAGTGGCATCTCGGCCATGGTCCCGGTGGTCGGACAGGCGTAGCAGGTCGGCGAGGAGAAAGCGTAGTGTAAAACGGATGCCCCAGAATATAGGAGGCACGATAGACAGCAAGCGACAGGCTGAGAGGGTATGGTGCCAACGCTTGGGAATACCGAGTGCGACGGCAACGCGAGGTTGCAGGAGAGAGACGGCTACGACAGGGGGGTGAGGTTTGGCGTTGCCATTGCTGGAGCTAGGGGAGGTGGAAGAAGACGAGGCGGGCAGTGGTCTGGCCATTCAAGGAGCCTCCCGAAGATGGCTCGAGTGAATGGGCTGTGTCTGGTCAATCGGTCGTCCTCGTCTTCGTCGTCGGATCGAATTGGCCATAGGAAGTGGTTGCTGAAGATTAAATTGTAAAATACAAAATACCTAGGTATGAAAAGATAAAGAAATTTGAGTTAGTATTATCGGGTGTCGCACGTATATAGATATAGACGTCCATATGTATGTAGGTGTAGCAGGTGTAGCAGGTGTAGGTATAGAGGATGGAGGATTACAGTAATGAGAAATGTGGCCTGTGAGGTCATATTACTACGTAGCACCCCTTAAACTCTAGTTAACGTACCTACCCGGGTTCTTCCCTCTTTCCTCTCGGGCTTCCCTCTTAAATACATCCAATATCTTAGAATACGGAAGGCGGGAAATCCCCAGACCCAGTACGAACTTAACCTACATAGGTACTAGCCCAAAACAAGTTAGTACATACATTTGAATTGCCTCTATCCCATTGGCTAGCCTTGTGGGCAGCGAGCTTTACATAGTAATGATTTCTTAACTTTAGCCCACCTAATTTTTTAATTTTTTTTTTCTACATTGAATAATCTACAACATACGTTGTATATCGGATACATTGTATGCCACCGTCAACGCCTGCACCGACGCCATGGCCGACCTGTTGCGCCTATCACGGCCATGGCTACTTTCCTCGCTGCGGTCGCGAGCACCATCTCCCGTCCTCTCTCCTCTCTGCCGCAGCTTTAGCACAACGCCGTCCCTAAGCAGAACGATCGGGAAAGGCCACAAGCAGCATGAGCCCGCCGTTACCCCATTACTTCCCAGTTAGTTCCCAATCGGTTCTTTTAGACGCTCATTCGTGTATATACATCCAATTCCACAGATGCTAATTGAAACTCGTCTTTTCCTCCCCGCGTTTACAGAATCCTTAGTGGTCCCACCCATTTGGCGGTTTCCGCGAAGTCCGACGAAGTTCGTCCACATGCTATGGCTAATTCTCAAGACTCGTTTCTATGACCTACGGGCATTGATGTCAATGAAAGCGATGTCAATGGACCCAATGAAGCTCAGCAGGCCGCGTTTCAAGTACAGAAAGTCCACCTTCGTGCCCGCCGCAAAGGCGCTGCACATTCAGATGTCCGAAGCTATGGCTGCCGGCGACAAGGAGACCCTGCGAGTCGTATGCACAGGGGAGCTATACAATAAGCTCGCTAGCGCCATAGATAGCCGTCCCAAGGGCGTGCGCTCCGAGTGGGAGCTCGTTCGCTACGAGAAGTCCTGGCGGTATCCGCGACTGGCCGACGCAAAGCTTGGCACTCAACCCCATTCCCGCGACAAAGCTCTGCTTCAGCAGGCCATCGTCAGCATCGCCAGCGTCCAGCGCATAGCGCGCTACGACGACTCCAAGGGCGGCATCATGATCGACGGGAGCGAGCGCGTGCGCCACATGGTCGAGCACATCGTCATACAATGCATCATAAATCCCTACACCTTCGAGGCCGGCCCTTGGCAGATCTGGGGCACGTTGCCCGAGTCCACTTACGAATCTATACTAGAGGAAGAAGAAGACTTGGCCTTTATGATGGAAGAGTTCGCCAAAACTAACAAGAGTAGAGAGTTCAATCGATAAGGAAATATAACGAGACTATCATAGAGCTTGTATTAGACTACCCTTTGACCTAGTGAAAGGTTCAGTCTGTAGTTGCAAACATGTTATGGCCGATCGTCTAGGTACGTGGTTTGTAGTAGCCTCAACATTTCCTCCATTTACCACTATCGCCTATTCGCTTATTCCCAGTCCCTCCTCGACCCTGTTGTTCTTTTACCCGCTCTCTAGCCCCTCTCCCCTTCCTCTAAACAGCACCAGCACCGCATCACCCTCCTCGCGCTCAAAATCTTTTCTACCCCCCCGCAGGCAATCTAAAAGAACTTGCCGGTTATCTTAGTCGTAGTCGCCTCTTCACTTACCGAGGCTAAGGCATCGGAATCTTCCGGTTGTGCTACAACCGTAGGGCGATCGAGCGCATCGAATCGAGTACCTCGCACCTTCGATTGGGCTAGTTGAACTGCCAGTCTTAATGCCAATGCGCCGAAACCCCAGAGCAAACCTCCAACGGGTGCCGCGACGAAGGCTCCGAATGCGCCCCAGTCGCCGGTGTATAGTCCCTGTTCCAGGAGGATGAGCTCGCCACCCAGCTGCGCGTCGCCGTAGTATATAGTTCCGAAGATGAAGACTGTCAATATCCCGCCTAATCCCCCAACCAAGACCTCGAAGCCCCGCCACCAGTAGAATCGATCCGATAAACCGAGCATAAGTACCGGAATCGTAGCAGCGGACAGAAGGTCGGATATCAAGTAGATCTGTAAGATGCTCGGCGCCTTCAACGCTAGCACTACAACTGGGAAGATAACCAGCACAACAGCGCCACGAATCCACCAGATATTGAGGCGATTTCGAAAGATATCGTTGGAGGCAGAGGACACCATAGCAGACTGTAAACTATCGAAAGCTGCGGTGCTCAGGCAGACTGACATGACTATGACAATACCGACGACCCAGTTAGGTAGCTGTTCGAGCAGGAGGAAGAAAGCAACAGAACCATCTTCATCAGGAGGGAAAGCGCCCGACCAAACAGCGATCAGACCGGTACAGCCAACTAATGTAAGAACGATCAGGATAACAACCATAGCCACAGAAACACCGACCCAGAGATCCTTGTCAGTTTTGGAAGCGAAAGCACGAAGCCAGAAATTGGCTAGGAAGAAGTCATTCGTCAGGACAGCAACGGGCAATATATATATGAGCTGCCATCCCACGAGACTAGGGTTGAGAAGACCAGAATCGACAATCAGCTCCCGCTTGATTTCTGTTTTCGCGCCGACGGTGATCGTAGCTATAAGAATCAGGCAGCAGATCATGGCGCCTTGAATATTGTCGGTGATGAAGGAGATCTTGAATCCTCCAAGGGCTAGCACGTTGTTATCGTCATCGTCAGCAAATTTTCTTCGCCGGTGTTACGAAAGTTTCACAATAAAGGAGTGAATTACATGTATAAATTGTTGTAACGATGCACTCGACGATGACAATTGGAAGGCCATCCAGTCCGGTCAAGGCCTCGACAACTTGGCCGATCGCAGAGAGCTCCGCCACCATATATAGAAACAGTGTCAGGAGAGTCAGGGCACCTAGATAAAGCGCCGTAACTATGCCATACCGCTGTCTCGTCCATTCCGTGAGTACGAAACCTTCTGGGCACTTCCTACGGATGACAGGTGCAAGGGCTGCGAAGACCAACAGCGGGCAGGCAGACGCAATCGCATAGACAACGACTCCCTGGACACCGGCAAGAGTAGCTAGCTGGGGATAGGAGAATAGAATACCCGAACCCATAGCTGAAATTTTAGCAATGAAGGTTAGTATATTCAGATATCGAAATGGGGGGGGGGGGGGGAGAGAAGGGATCGGAGCGGCAGCACGTTTCCCACGCAAGCATTAACTTGATCGAGTAATTACGGTACAATCTCAGCTTCATTTCCACAGAATCTCAGGGGATCTCCTCGCAGTCTTCTAGTGACAGAAGTGAGAGGTTAGAAACCGAGAGAACTGCTTCAATTCGGCGCCCGTAGTGAGCCGCAATCTACCTATCCCCTGTAGCAGGCTCGAAAAGAGGCGCGCAGAGGAAGGAGATCTGCTTTGCATGGGTACAAACCTACTTGTCAGTTATGCAACTCATACTCTGGTCCCAAACTCCTACTGCACGGCAGGATGAATTGACAACCTCGGGCGTGCCGCGACGGAAGAGAAATTCGAAATCCGGATCCGAACTGGTCAATAAAAAGGTGCTACCGCTCTTGATCCTCGAAAAGGAGAAGGGAGGCCAGGCCATTTGCCAAAGCACCAGATCAATTTTCCTACTCACCGGCAGCGATGAAGTTGAGGGCCAAAGGAAACGCTGTAGAGAGTATTAGTATCATATGCATTATATCTCGGGGGTGATAGAGGGGAACAGATGACGAGAGCACTTGGATATCCGGTGGCGAAGAATGCCAGGACACCCAGTCCTCGTTTGGATTTCTAACCAGACTGAGTTCTGTTCCCTGCAAGGAATTCGGATTTGGGCTGGTTTCTCATCTTCCAGGCCAAGCCGGTTCCCAGTAAACTATAGATTTACGGTAAGCCAATGACAACAGGGGGCAGATGTAAACCCAGTTGACGAGCATACAGAAAGGCGCCATAAGTGAGATATAAGATGGCATTCGAAGCCTGAAACGATGGCTGGCCCATCTTCGAAGAATTCCTCGAGGTGGAGACTATCGAAATATCAGATCTAAGCAATGAGCGCTTCTTAGCAAAGACGCAATTGTAACATAAAGCGTCGCCGAAAAGATAAGTAAAATCCAAAAGTCTATAATCCAAAGAACGACAAGGAAGAGAAGGGGGAGAAGTAGAAACTAGAATAAAAAGGAAACAAGGAAAGAAAAACACCACAAATTTTGTCACGAGAGAAGCTAAGCTAGTATTAGCTGTAGCTTCCTCATCGAGTTGTACTAATACGACGAAGTGGAGAATAGGTGGAGACTACTTATGTAGTGCCTACCTACAGACGTTTGCTGCTCAATAATCGAATAATAATGTATCTATCCGGTAGTATAGGTAGGTACTTGATTGGAACTTCGAAACTTGTACCTTGGAGGTCTGTTTCATCCAATCAGACCTCAGAGTCTGCATTATATGTAGCTTCAAATTATATCTATGTCCATTGTCTACGTACTTACACATATAAAAAGGAGAAATCATATATGCTTTCATTCCTACGTACCTAGGTATTCATCTTGCTATCATACGTAGTACCTAGTGAGCTTCATTTATGTTTAGAATGCCCACTGCTTAGCCCTAGGTCGGCTTCCCACAAGTACCTATGCATGTAATCTGGCGTCACAAATAAAAGCCATCTTCATAATCTCGGAGATATACGGCCTATTCTGGGATATCAACCGTAGCGTTCACGTCAAGCTACGACGTATAAGACGGCGTTGTCCGGAGCAACAGCGACCTCAGGTTTGGTTCCTACTTGCCATTACGGTGCTCAAGTACATGTGCGTCCTAGTCGACAATAACCTCATAGCCAGGCAGTTGGATCTTCGTTACACATCTTTCATTTCGCTAGCGAAATGTATATTTTTGGTGGCGCTAGATATTCAACGGTCTCCTGTACAGCAACCACAATCGATCAGTTCAGAGTTGAAACCTGGCTACCAATGCTCAACTCTTTGGGAGAGCCACATCCCCAACGCAACCAACAGTGAATGCCCCTTCTCTCCGTAGACTCATTCAGACACGCCATTTGCTCCCTTCTGGCCCCTACTGCATCGTAAATATTCGGTCTTATGGAAGAAATTGAATACCTAGCACCTAGAGCGCCGCGGGATCGCACGCCTCCCCCCTGATTCTAGCAAGGGTATTGTACAGAACGGTAAAATTGGATGTCGGGGTACTCATATTAGGAGAGATGGCCCAGAGTAGGCATACAATGACGAACAGAAATCGTCGGCTACCACGGTAGCAGAGGAAGACATAAGAGACTCATAGGTGGCATTTCATCGTGTACTGGCTGTGAGGTTGCGCAAGGCGGTAGGTCCCGAAAAGCCTGTAGCGGGGCCTCGTACATTTTGCATCTCCATATCCTGTCCATCTCTCGACGAACTCTTCCCGTGCTGATCTCGACGCTCACCGAATCGCTGATCTCCCTCTTCAAACCGGTACTTAAAGCGGTAGTACGTCGGCGGCCGCGGGCGGCACAACACAACGATCCAATTTTTCCATATGCTGCCTTGAGTGAAGGCCCGATACCGCTCCTTCTTCAAGAATTTGTGCGAATTTAGGAACTCCCTGGTTGTTTCGCCCCTAGCCATGAGAAAAAGATGATATCCCATCAGAGCAGCCGGATATACGAAACCAAGGACCCCATAAATCACCATGGCAAAAGGGACCCGGAAATGGCTCACGGCTTCTCCGAAGGAAACGTGCTCCTCGTTTGAGAAGACCAGCACTTGCGCGAGAGAGGCAGCTATCAGATAGATCGAGAGGAGGGTACCTGAAGTTATAAAAGCAAGGAAATATCGGTAATTGCGTCTCCCAACACAATTATTAATCCAAACGCAGTGATGATCTTGGGTTTCGACGCAATTATCACACAATCGACAATGATGGGCTCGCGGGGGACGCCAGATATTGCAGGTCTTGCAGTACTTCGTCGGTACTTCCATTGCCGCAGTGCTTGACTCGGCCGATTTGACAAGAGTCCAGTCATTCGTTGGCGGAGCTAAGCGCAAGGGGTCCTCATGCTCATCCACCGGTGGAAATTGATGTATATTGCGTGGTAAGATCTAAATAAGGACGTTAGCATCACCGCGAAGTAGCGCCTTTAGATTACTCTTACTCACCCCTGGATCTGAGCCTGACGCGTGAAGGAACGACGAGATGCAAATATAAAACAGATAGGCGAAGAAAATAGGGACAGCAGGTGAAACATGGTGCCACAGGTAAGAAGCTGAAAACGCGAAGAAAAGAATAGCTGGCAGGACAACGAAAAAGCCAGTAGCGATATTGATGGGTCGGTGGCGCGTGTTTTGAAGACGACCGCCAATGCAGAATACGGTGTTGCCCTCGAAATACTCGTGGTTATAGCCATGAGTAAGCGTCTTCTCCTTGGTTGCCTTGGCTTTGGTCTTGGCCTTTGCGGCGGGGGCGCTGGCAGCAGAAGGGGCGAATCGGGGAGACGACGCGCCAGAAGACAGCTTCTCGGCACCATGCGTGTTACGATTGGCGGGGGTAGCGGTAGTGTCACCCTTGCCAGGTAGAAAGAGGCTTGATCTGAAAGAGCGCGGCGAGTTGATCGGGCTTGGTAAGTTCCCACTGCCCCCGTAGGTCTTAGATTTGCCAACATCCAGGCTCAGACCTTTCTCTTCGGCCTTCTTGCGCTGCAATGGGCGCACGCTCTCACTGACGCTACCCGCAGGATAATGACCACGAGTCGGACTCGTGGTGGCAGTGATACGATCGTACGGCTCGGTCACCTCGGTACCCCTCGAAGGGGGTGGCTGGCCATCAGCCTCATCAGTCATGTGGCGGACTAGGCGAGCTACGGGTCTTGATATAGTAGCACCCTGCGGCGGTGGTGCGATGTGGGACTGATCCTCATCCGGTACGTCTTCGGTGCTTGGCCGGCCTTGAATTCCTGTAGCGGGACGTGATGCGCCTCGTTGGGCTTGCAACTTCTGAGAACTCATAGGGTGAAAGAAGGCATGCGAAGCCAAGGGAACATGACTTCGGCTTGTAGAGCTAGCAGGCCGGCCACTATTGATGCTACCGGTAAGGCTTCCTCTTTGTAAAGCCTTTCTCATGGGAGTTCCTTGCGACCAAGCACCGCGCGACGAAGACATGCCAGTTCTCGCGGTTCCAGGGCGAGACTCGCTGGCGCGAAGACTTCTCCTCTGACTTCCGTTTGTTCTTATTTGCTCTTGAGTGGCTCCGTCGCCATCTTCGGACGCGATGTCGGTCATTCTCGATGAGATGATACTGGGGGGGCCTGCGGGGAACTTGGGACTCGGAAAACTGCCCATGTCATCTTCTGGCGAGGTAGGTCTCGCCGGTGGCTGATTAGCCGCCATTGCCAAGGCAATGATGCTTCTGTGACAATCCGTGTTCTCGCGTTCTCTTTTCTTCTTTTTATTTGCACTATTCAGTTTCCATACGACCGTTCCCTACAACATCGCAATCATGCAAAATAGCCGGAATCTTGGCGCCGTTACCGAGTGTGGCAGAATCAATCCCTTGGTGAGTAGTCGGGAAACGGTCGCGACTATGAGATCTTACAGTATGGGCAGTAATAATACTTGGGTCCTGATTGTGTGATCAAAGGAGAGTGATAAAGGATCGAAGGATGATATCGATGTTTACTGACGGGCAAGAGGGTGGATCGTCTACTGTTTGAAGCGGGAAGGTTGAATTGACAATTAAGAGAGTGTCGATGATTATATCGATCGTGTCTGCACAGCAGGTGTGATGTAGTCAGTCGGGTTGTCAGAGTTAATATTGATGAAGGGAATTGAATTGGAAGTGAAAAATTAAAGAAGGACAGTCGGTCGATTCAGATCGAAATGGTGGGATGTCGTGATAATCCGCAAAATTCGCGGTTGTCGCGAGATCTGAGATGGGAGAAAAACGACATCAATATTGAAAGGGGCTTGTCTTGCCATGTCTTGCATAAAATAAGGTTACCTTCTTCGGCCTTCCCCATTTACTACTAGGTGAACTGTAGGTCTGCATAAATGTACATGTCACACATACACATCTGTGCAGTAGCAGATTAGGGTGCCTATGCATACACAAGCACCTGCTGCATAGTTATGTGCATATGACGCAGATACGCTTTGACCATTCTTTTTAAACCTTAATTAGGTAGGTATGTACATAGTTACCTAGGTACCTAGTAGGTTCTATGTACTTAGGCGCGATATTCAGCGCTGCCTCAAAAATGAGGTATAAAAACCTTCCAATAAATATATTCCCTGATTGGCCAATGTGCCAGCTTAGGACCACCCAAATTACTCCATCGTACGACATCGAAGCTTCTCTTAAGCGAAACCTCCTCAAACCCGACATCACGTCAGTATCTAACAAGGTACAATAAAACGCGACACTTACGACACTTACGACACTTTCGATACCTACGATACCTACGATAGCGTCGATCATGGCTTCCATTATCGCTCGGCGAGCCTTTTCCCAAAGGGCATTCTCTACCACCGCCCGCCGATTGTCGACCGACCCAGCCCTCAAAGAGGAGACGAAGCGCAATCCCGAGTTGATGGTACGTCATATTCGGAAGTCCAACGATATGCATAGGATACCCTTCGCTCTGCTTCTATTTGTCGAGGGCAGGGCAAGATGAAACGTGGGAATGGATGCTGACTCGATGATTCGACTTGTCAAATATAGATTTTGGGAGGTGTAATGGTTCTGGCTTTGGGTGGTGCCGGTCTTTACTTCGGTATGGCTTCTAACATCTACCAACTTAACCTCTCGTCTTCGCCCTTGTCGCTGTTCGAAATCTAACCAATCCGCCTAATATAGGCCGCTCTCCTACTCAATCGACTTCCGAAGCGCCCGTTGGCCTAGCCAAATCTGGCATGCCGTGGGAAACCGGCGCAACCGAGGGCAAGTACCGATACCATCCCGGTGGTGATCCGGATTCTTCTCCCAAGGACGCCCCCAGCGCCGTCAATGTTGTCGTCGTCCCCAATGTCAACTTGCCAAAGGTACGTCGTCATAGCCGCGATATCCCGTCATCTTATGCATCTCTCGCAGTTACCTACATATGGCAGAGTCTAGCAATCTCAACTAACTTGGTATCTACAGGAACTCCATGAACGCTACAACAAATGGGGCAAGGATGGTTACTAGATCTGTACTTCTATCTCGAGAAAATCACCTTGCATAGCCGCAGCTACAGGAGTGAGGGATTTCACCAACTTTGCTGTACATAACCCAAACAAGCATTGTGGTATTGTTAGCACTACTGCTGTTGACTATGTCGTCTTCTAATAATACCCAGCCACAAAAGTATTGCTCGGTTATGTGTTATTCATGTCTGACTAGGCAGAACCCCATACTTTGAAGTGCATAATCACTACCTTGGGGTGGCTCTTTTTCCGTATCATACCATATCATTCGGCCATTAGAGCTAGAATAGCTGTGCTAGTAATAGACCTGCATTGCCATCGCAAACGATAACCTAGTGCGGTGAGACCGAGAACCCTCTAAACGGAAACTTTCTCAAGCCATACGTCGTCCATCATAACCAAGGTATTGGGAAGTCACAATTTTGCGGATTGCTTCTCCACAATCCAGATGTTGGAAGTATCAAGACAGGCGAAAGCCACACATTTACGACACAGCATTCAGTAGACGTACCTACCTCCTTCCAGGCTCACGTCGTCAGCAGATCCACCTCTTCGCTCGTGAGACCAAACAAATATAGTAAGTCGACCAGGGTCTCGCCATTGAGCCGTGCGCCAGCCTCTAGCTGCACTCTCGGTTTTGCGTTCCATGCTACGCCCAAGCCCGCCGTGTCCAGCATCAATAGATCATTGGCGCCATCGCCAACGGCCACGACTTGCTCGAGTGCGATTCCTTCTTTCTTGGCAATCTCGAGGAGAAGTTCCTGCTTTCGCTCTCTACCTACGACGCGTCCTTTCACCTCGCCTGTCAGGCGTCCGGAGTCATCAATTATAACCTCGTTCGCGTGTGAGTATTCAATTCCCAGTTCATTAGCGAGCCAACGCGTCAGTGGCAAGAAGCCTCCAGACAGCACGGCGGTTTTGATACCCAACCTCTTAAACGCTTTTAATAATTCGGGGACCCCTTTTGTCACATTCAGGACGGGCCGCAACTGCTCAAAAATTGTGGCCGGGAGTCCCTTGAGTAGGGCAACCCGTTCCCGAAATGCGGCGTCGAACTCCAGCTCCCCTAGCATTGCCCGGTGTGTGATATCCGCAACTTTGGCGGCCAGGTCCGGGGGATCTGTGATGGTCGCGGCGAGTAGATCAATCACCTCTTGCGTGATCAACGTGCTATCCATGTCGAAAACGACTAGACGTGGATATCGCCTCCACAGGGTGTCCCGTTGCAGCGCGACGTCAACGTTCCATTCTCGCTCAAATCGATAGATGAGCTCATGTTTCCGGAGATCAGTCAGCGACAGATAGCTTGGGGATGGTGCAGGGGACAATGACAACTCGACAATAAGAGGGTGCTCCGGATCGTCGAGACAACGATGAGAGGAGGTGATTTCTTCAACGCCCCTAGGCAGAGGAAACGTGGACATCAGATGGAGAAAGGATGTGATGCACAACGGGGATATGTAAGAACCGTAAAGGTGGTCAAGAGGCTCGGGTTCAGCAGCAACCGGAGGTTCCAAGGGAAATGACTCAATATTAGTCGTTGGAGCGAGGTTGGCGGGGATATCGGAATTGGAGGAGGGGAACCGCGGGGAGGGAACCACATTAGGCGCACGAGGCGACGTGGACTTGTATATCAAGGTAGCCACAAGTCGATCCGATCTGGTACCTCGGGTCGGGGCGCAGTTAGGATGGGTGAAGTCGTGATTAGCACCTTCGAGGATGCGTGGCGGCTCGTCCTTGGAGGGCACGCCATTAAACGGGCTAAAGGACTTAGGAGGGGATATTCTAGACCCTTGAAGATCTTCGACGACGGTATCAATGCCAAAATGGCTATCCAGATGTTTGGGTGGTCGATACTGCTGGTGTTCTTTGAGGTAGGAACTAGTTCGCATCGAAGACAATTGCGGTCGACCCGAATTCTGCTTGGAGGGGCTGTCATCGGCGGCCATGATGACGATGACGGATTTACGTAAGAAACAGGATCACCTATATAGACAATATTTATAAATAATGAAAAAAGGCGATAATAGGTGCAGAGGATCGAATTCGAAGCCCTCTCAAGAGTTTCTAGGCTCGTTTCAAGGACAATTGAATTATATTGGATCGTATTGGATTTCGTAGGCGGATAGAGGTCCTTCTCTTGCGAAGGGGATGTAGTTCATAAATTGCGCGGGGTGTTTTTTTTTCTCTCTTACCTGGACTAAGTGTGGGGAAGGTTCCTGGTGGCTGGGTCCTGACCAAGCATGTAATTGGTCGAAAGCTCAACAGTTTTTAAGTTTTTGATTAAAGATGACTGGATGAATTTTTCGGGTTTTCACCGGTCAGGAAGTTACCCAGGTACATACTTAGGAGGACTCGAAAATGTACCTACCTACCTAGTAGGCAGATTTCGTCATGGACATTGATGTATGTAACTAGGTATCCATGTGTACCTAAGCACATATTTAAGTATGTATCTAGGTAAATATTATATGCAGTCAACCAAAGAATTCCCACAGATAAAAAGTGATCTCGAGTGCTGCGCATAGACGTATAAATATGCACGCAGGTATAGTAGATTACTAATTACTGAATTATTAAGCAATCGAAAATCGAATAAGTTGAAAGAATGGAAATTTTGGTCTCCAAGAAATATTGAGAAGAAGGCGCACTTGGACCTTATTAATAATTCAATGTCCACAACTATCTAGGTACCATGTACCCCAGGATCTCGCAGGACCGGGGTTAGATGTCAAATTGAATGCGGTAGGGTACCTAGCCGCTTAATGCAGATCATCTACGGACGGCTATCGGTCCCGATGAACCGTTCAAGCGGCTCTTGAACCATTGCAACATTTCAACCTCATACCGAGACCCGGATCCATCAAACTTCATTTCCGTTTTAATTTTTGAAAAGGTAAAAAGGGGGGAAGAGAAAGAAAAACTTTCAACGCTCCGACAACCGCTACCAAATCGCAATATCGTCTAAGAATCACGACATTCCTTCCTCGGGCGTCGTTACGAGACTTAGGACATAGGTATCATCTCACGCGGAGATCTGCCAGTTAAGCCGGAGAGGTGGAATAGGCAATAGGAATCGAACAAACCACACACCCAAAAAAAAAAAAAAAAAAAAAAAAAAAAAAAAAAGGCCAGGATGGAAACCTTACATGAATGAGTAGGGAAGTAAATTACTTTTCTGTTAGACCTGTAAACCCTCATACAGGCTTACGCTAAGCTCTCTCCCACGACAGATATTATTCGCATATCCTCATATATTTTCAGTGAAGTACCTATAAGTAATATTACAGGGTTAACGAAGGTCCGAAATAAGATTAATCGGAAACCACTGGAAACAAACCAAACTACTTGTATAGTACTTGGAAGATGTGTGGTCACGCGGACATACCTGGATACATACCTACATATTAAAGGACCTAAATAAATAAAAGTCTAGACTCTCTAAAATAGTGGTCGGTTCGGGTAGGAAGGCTTCAAGATACATCCCTAGCATATATGTACTATAACTCAAATAACCGACGTGGGCGTTCCAATCACTCCATAGCAAAAGCTAATATCGTCGATTGTAGTTACCCAATCACCATCCACGAAACGGCCATCATACATGTTACCGGAAGTTTATACTAGTATATATAGGTAGTTACCAACAGTTACCTACCTATCCAATTCAATGGCATCATCGTTATCACAAATAATAGACTTGGGGAATTCAAGGGTCGAAAAGGGCACAGCAATTCTGGTGTTGCCACCACATTAGCTGATACACGTTGAATATAGTAATTTGCCGTTATGGCTGCTTTGGAAAGAGTCCCCAGTATTCGGCCAATCAGTCGGACGGCTTTGTTGTTACGACTATACTAGCGCCGATGTCGTGATCGGTCTCTAAAATTTCTAAGATGCCTTGACGCCTTCGAAATACGGCCTATCGCCTGTAATATCTCATCTAAGCTGATCGCGCAATACCCCCGGCTCCATATGCGACAACTTTACAACAACCTAAGCCCGGTTCCTGTGCTCGACACATCCCGAGAACCGGATTAGTCATGCATTTTCCGGGGAAAAGTATGCAAATATACTTTAGTCACTGGTTTGATTAGTATATACTACGCATTAGAGTATCGAAGTAGGTATCTATCTACAAACTCGGACGACGGGCTTCTCTTGTTGACCCCCCTTATAACTCAAGCAACACTTCTGACGCTTTTCCCCATACCGATTTCTTCAGGCCATCTTCTGACATTCTTCTCTCTTGCCCTTGTTCTCATCGTCATCCCCAATTTTAGCATAACCGTTCTCCAGTTGCTCCTAGCGGTACCACTCATCTTAGTATCTCATCCTAGCTGCTCCGAATCTCATATCCCTTCACTTCTTCACTTTCTCGACTCAGACTTCGCTCGGCCAGTTGAGAGAATTTCAATCCATTCACACACACACACACAAACACATATACACACATACACACACACAGAGAGAGAGAGAGAGACAGGATGGAATCATCGTCGTTCGCCGAGTCTTCCTCAAGCTCATCGTCCCCACGTCTCACATCTAAAAGATTACCGCCGGTAACTGATTTAGAGTCGGGATACGTCTCGGGAACTTCGTCGACCGCTGGATCCTCAGGCGAGCTGCCACAAGTGACACTCACACAACCACATATGAAGCATCTCAACCGACAACTAGAAAAGATGACTGCCATGGATAGACTCCGCTTCGTCAAGGTCTGCTTTCCCAATCTATATCAATCAACCGCTTTCGGCCTTACTGGCCTAGTATCCACGGATATGCTCTCAAAGATCGAGAGCGAATCGCCGGGATCTTCGCCCGTCGACCTCATCTTCCTAGATACGCTTTATCACTTCGAAGAGACATATGCCCTAGTCGAAAAAGTCAAGGAGAGGTACCCGAGCGTCCGCATCCACACGTACACGCCAAAGGATGCCAACACTACAGCAGAGTTTGAGGAGAGGTATGGCGCAGGGCTATACGACACGGCAGCGGAGTTGTACGACTGGATTGCCAAGGTCGAGCCGCAACAGAGAGCCTATTCGGAGTTGAACGTGGCTGCCGTCCTGACCGGCCGAAGGCGTTCTCAGGGAGGCGAACGTGACAAGATTGGCATCCTTGAGATGGACGAAGAGACTGGCATCGTCAAGATAAACCCGCTAGTAGACTGGACCTTCGCCCAGGTCAAGCAGTATATCACGGAGAACAATGTCCCCTATAATGAACTCCTAGACAGAGGGTATAAGTCCGTCGGCGACTGGCATTCGACATCCCCGGTCTCGGCAGGCGAGGATGAAAGAGCCGGTCGGTGGAAGGGCCAAGCTAAATCAGAATGCGGCATTCACAACAAGAAGTCTCGATACGCTCAGTATCTTGAAGAAATGCAGCGCAAGGCCGAGGAGGAACAGCTTGCAGCAGCACTCGAGAAAGTGGAAAGAGAGCAGAAGGCAGAGGATTAAAATGGTATTGGATGAGAGCTTACAACCGTTCTGTCATAGGAATGGCGGGTAGAAGGTCGACCTAATAGGGAGGGGGAAACACCCCCCAAAAGACTGATGATCTATTTAGCCACCATTGCTACGGGTTGTTAGTAAGAGCCGTCGTTTTTTGGACGTTGTTCGAATAACTAGTACGGTTGTTCGGTTGCATATTTTACCAGGGGTCGAGCTTTGGGATTGGATTGAACAGGTACATATTGCATTGGCGATGGTGTTTTCGGCGTATACTGTACTTAGATATGAAAGGACCTGTATATGTCCATGAGATTGATCATCGTTCCAAATAGAAATAATACTTCGACTTTGATTTCACGGCTGCGTCACATGCGGACTGATTATGATTTACAGTGACTTGCATTTTCCTGATAAAGGCTGGAGCCATTAATAGTAGTTTAAAAGACGAAGGGTGAATGTGTGAAGATGAGGGGAATTACCTAGACACAAGTCATATTTGTCTCTTTTGTTAAAGTTACCTACTAGGTAGGTACCGGTCCATCGGGAATGGCAAGTCGGGACCTAAATGTGGGTAATTTTCGTGTGGGGAGAAAGATGTCACCCAAACTCAACTTACCTAATTTGCAATTCCCAGTTACACTAATTGATGCGTACCTACCTACCTACTTACATCCATAGGTACGTACGTCTATACGTACCTATACATACCTATTGGATACCTCTATGCATGTACCTATCTATGCATGATGCCTTCATTGGCACCTCCCCTCATAAGGTACTGATTTCGAAAAGACACGGAAAAGAATAGAGGCGACAGTCTTCTTCTCCCTCTTAAAAGTACAAAATGTTCTTTTGGATGTCTGGTTAATTACATATATCCCCGCAGCTATGTAAAGTTCGGGCCGTACGCAGATATTTATGAATGTGATAAACCTGGGTACCTCGCTATCAGCCTCCAAGGACGCTTATACCCAGGCATCACGCACCCTACGACTCCATCCCCAGACCAAAACGCATTACCATATACAAAGGCTACCCATTCATCCTAGGCGTGTCTGCTCTCGGCATGAATTTAGTCATGGCACCAGGTTCCCTAAGACTTCCATCGACCGCCGTCATTCTGGTTTAGGCATGTCTGTTTTGATTTCCGGAGGAGCTGATGCCTCTTTCGGCCCGCCTTGTTGGTTCAAGGCGGCTTCCAATCCACTAAATAAATCCGGACTTTCGGGCTCGTTCTCTTCTACTCTTTCTGTCACAGCAGATTCGATTTGGGTGTCGATGAGTCCTGGGGCTGACATGATATCCGCAGGCGCTGGGGCCGCATCTGGACCTAGTGGTTCTTGGTTCGCCTCTATGTCCACAGATGTCTTAAGAACATCCTGGCTCGGCTGTAGGGTACTTATGGTTTCTGGGCCAGCCGTAGGCTGTGGTGAGGGACGTGTTGCAGGGATGTCCTCGACTTGGGACTGGGCAGTATCTAGAGCTGGTAAAGTATCAGTAATAGCTGCGTCACCTGATTGTTGCGTTCCCTGGACCGAGGTGGTGTGCTCTGTGTTGTCTATATGGTTGGGAGGAGGAACGAGACCCGGCATTTCCACATCCAAATCTGCTTTCGTCTCGTTCGGGCCAGACGATCCAACGGGTTTGACCGGTACCGGAGCTTGCTCTAATGGCGCTTCTGCTAACCTAGTTTCAGTCGTAGTGGCGAGACTGGAAGGCTCTCCGTTGTTCAGCGCGAACCTTGATGGTGAATCAGTTGGTGACGTGGTAGCTGCTACAACGTTTTTAAGCGGGCTCCCTTCGAAATGTGGTGGAATGTGTGGTAGAAGGGGTTGCGTGGGGGATAAATTAAGATTAAGAGGAGGCGAAGGTAGTCTTGGTGGTGGTGAGCCAGCTTCGGTTGAAGTATGCACCGGCGTCGCCTCAGTGGAGGGCTCTGTTTGGACAACAGTCGATGAAGTTTTCAACGTAGGAGATGGATCAGTTTTTGCTTCGCTTTTAGTTTCGCTATCGGCCTGGAAAGTCGTCCCGCCGTCTCCATCGGGCATCTCGCTATCCTCTTCGTCACCCTCATCACCATCGTCGCCTTCCTCTCCGTCGTCTTCGCCATCATCTCCCTCATCGTCGTCGGCCATCTCACTATCCTGGTTCTTAGATTCGGACTGGTCGCCTGGTTTCACGTCCTATGACAGATTAGTAAAGGACAGAGCATTCGATTCTCGATAAACTTACCCCATTTTCCGGGTCGCTTACTTTAGCACTCCCAGCAGCAGAATCCACGCCCGCGACTGTTGCCTCGGACTGTATACTTGCGGGTAAAGGTAGCTTCTTCTTACGCCCTCTTCCGGGACCCTTAGGCTTCCTCTTAGGTGGCGGTGGTCGCCTTCTCACGGGTGTTGCGGCAACAGATGCATCGGCACTTGCAGCAGCATTGGGTGCTGGTACGACGGTGGTCGATATGATTTCTCCGTCTACTGGCTGGCCTTCATCCAAGGTAATCTCCTGTGTATATGGGTTGCCGGCAGCGTCGATACGACGGACGGTAGCTTTCATTATAGTAGGCCCAGACGACGGTCCGGCCGGGAGACTCGAGGACAAGGTGATAAGGCCTTTCCTCCTTTTAGCCAGATGCGAGATAGTAGATCCCTCGGCATTTCGAGCGACCTGTTTCCAGACCTTGACTTGGTAACCTTTAGTGCTTGGATCTTCCTCCTTTTTGTCTGTCTTCTCGGCCAGGGCAGCATCCGGGTCGACCTCCTCTTCTTCAGCAGGCGGTGGACGTTTGTATAATCTTCCAGAGCGAGCTGCCCTTAATAGCTCTTGCGTATGTGTGGGGAGCAAATGCGAGTCCTTGGGCATGCCATGTGGGAGTTCAATTGCCCATACATCATTCTTTTGGGTGGTGTCGGGAGGGGGCGGCGGCGCAATCTTGACCCATTCTTGACGCCATTGTCTAACGGGTAAACCTGCGAAAGGAGAAAATTGGATGTCAGTATGAAACCTGATGGCTGACGCTAATGCGCGACCCGCGCGACATGGAAATATAGAAATACGGAAATGCGGAATGATGGCGACATATGGCGTACGTACCCTCGAAGTCGTCGTGCTCGACATAACCGCTTCGGTTTCCGCGTCGCGTTTGCGTGTTCTGGCGAAACTGCGGTTGAATTCTGTCAGCTACAATGGCTAGATAGTACTTATTGGACTTATCCGTCTTGGGATATTCAATGTTCGTACGTTTGGAGCCATGAGAATCGAGAGGTAGGGCGCGACTCGGCGACCTTTGCTCTTTCCAGGTTTTCAGGATCAACCAATTCAAAGTTTTTCGGCGAGAGGCATCGATGATGAAAACAGCCAATGACCTAAACAAATAGTACAAGTATTAGGATTTGTACTCGAAACGTCTAGTGGGTCCAAGAAACAGATAATCCTCTGATGGTGCACTGCAAAATACCTAGTTAAATACGGCAACCTATCGCAAATTACTCGTGATGGTTATCCGTTTGCGCAACTTAAACTAATAAGAGTGGTGAGAGAATTGAAACGCGACAACAAATCGTTTTTCCCTGACATCCGACAATGCATGCCTACTTAGGCCCACTACGTACTATGGCCCAAGCGCCAATTAACCTTCAAGCTTATGAACTTTATGAACTTATCGAAGTAGTATTTTAGTACCTACCTAGTACATACCTAGTTACCTACCTATATGTAGATATGTACTTACGTAAGTACGCCTACCTACATTGATGCAGGTATGATGTACATCTAGGTGCGCAGTATTTATATATATATAGGTATGTATCTGCCTCTCCGTAAGCATATCTAGGTACATAGTACTATTGTACCAAGCGCGCCTACATACATATTCATATATTACATATGTATGTATGTACGTAGCAAATCCTCCGACCCTTTCTTCTAATATGAGCCGGGTGTAATACATATTGAATTCTGACACCTGTGCGCATTGGGTAGTCTTTGAATTGTCAGAATTGGAGGAGTAGAAATAGACGCCTAGGTACTCATAATCACATCTATCTTGCCCTTGGGTGAGGAGTGTCATAGTAAATTCAGTAATCCTCGAGCATCTCTTCTTCATGCATACATAACAAGATACACATAACAAGATACACCAATACCTCAGAGGCTCACGCAAGAGGCGCCAAGCAGGATATACCTCTAGTATTCCGTGTTAAGTGAGTTTGGTTTTCGCCACCTTTCCATGCCTAAATCACTTTACTCCGACCTTAGACACTTCTGTCCTCCTCTCTGTCGGCACTTGATGTTCTCGCAGAACAGAAGAGTGGGTGCTAGCAAGCTTGGAGTTTGATCGGGTCTTTGTTATACAAATTGACGTGATAATAGTACAGGTCGGTGCGTGCTGTGTGGCAGAGGTAAAGTGCACAAAAGGGGTGATATTTACCTCTACACCATGACCAAAACCGAGAGCATGTGCCTTTACGTAGGTAATGTCATCATATTAATCCCATCTGGGGGGAAGTTAGCAATTATGCCCTCGTCAGCCGCGGAGGAGGTATGGATGTAGCCTCACCCTGTGTCTTTCTGCCGCGCAATATCCCCAGACTTCCCGCTCTGTTTGCCCTGTTACGGTTGAATATAATTAGCAAGACCGTCCGATTACCTAGAGTAAGCTGGCTTTGTAAACATACCGACATTCCACCCTCGACTACCAATCGATCAAGTTGATAAAACTTGCTGATGACGGTTTGACGCTGTAGGATGAAAGTAGTATTCCGTCAGCCCCTAGACTTCTCCCTATATTGTACAATGTCGTATTGTCGGTGTATGGGTCCCGTACCTTCATCATTTGCAACTCCTTTAGCCCTTTTTGTATGAGGGTCTGTATTTCCCTGGGGTCGTGCACATCGACACTCTCTCTGAAGGCGTCTCTCGTCCGCCGCTTCGCATACTCTCTGAAGTTGTATGCCTCGAACTGCTCGCCTTGGCGCAAGAGCTGTCGGTACTGAAAAGTTTAAGACTTGCGTTAGCTCCGCTCTTCATCATCCGGCACAGAGTGCGCATGCTTCGGTTCCCGACATAGCCGGGGTATTGGGGGTTTGAAGAGCTCTGGCTCAGGAAAGGTTGCCTCACCAGTGACCTAGCTTGCTGCGGCAAGTCGCCCTTGAGGGCCGAAACGATAGACATGTCGATGCGCTAGACGTGACTAAGGATCGAGAGGTTTTCAAGAGGAAACGGACAGAGAGTAAGATGAAATGTCTGGTTGTTTAATCGTTGTTTAATCGTACTGTTAGATGTGCGGATTTAAAAGTGGGAGGTAGAAAGGATGATGCAGCCGGTGCGCAGAATGCCGATCCGCGATATTCGATCGCGGCAGCTTTTTTTCTCTTTCGTCTTATTCCAATCGGCGCCGAGCAAAGATCGGAGTTATGAAATTTCGATAAGTGACACTAAAATCGGTACCTATACTGTGGAGACGACGTATCGTTTGCCCGAATTTTGCAGATACATACATGTCATATATGCTATAGTTACATATTTGGATATACATAGATATTTTTATATATACATGTATCATCTATCGCATACTCTTACGGTCAGGAGTCAATTAATAAGATACCAATGCAAATCATTGAATTTATGGCATCTATAACCTCGAGATCCTTATTTCACAGCGGCGCTCGTCTTCCGCTGCCATTCCGTCATAATATCATCAAATGTGACAAGGTGATCCTCGATCTTTCTGGCGTGATACTTTGTCTTATCTTCCGGAATAAATTCAAGCTGATCGTCATCACCAACTTCGTGCCCAGTCCTTTTCCGTTCTGGAATGTGTATAGTGTCCCGGTGATGCTGAAAATTCTCGTTAAAACAGCGAGACGAACAAAAAATAGACGGAACACCGAGGGCTTCTACACATTCTCGACAGAATACTAGGCTAGTCCCACCTTCGTCCATTTCGACATCTTCGTCGTGAAGGCGAACGCAAGTTTGGCCAGAGGTGCATTCGTGTGTTGCTTCAACATGTGTGTCGTAACGCTCGTCTTCACACTCTTGAGAACAGAATAACGTAGGTTCGATTCGAAGGTCGTAACAGTCGCTAAGTACTTGGCACAGAGGGCATATGATAAAATCTTGCGCGTCTGGGATTTTTGAGCAGACTGCACACGAGGGGAGGTTCTGCTGGCCACTCGAAGGCGCTACCGCTCTAGCTCTATCCTGCCGAGCCTTGTCTCTTCGTGCCTTGTCAAGCTCGTGTGCCGCCTTAGCTCTCTTAAGCTCCTCAAGCTTTCTATGAAGTGCTTGTTTCTGATCCTGCTCCCCTTTAGCCGAATGCCGATCACGGATCATTGCACCGATTGCGTCGGCGATCGGTGTCCCAGTCCGAATCATGTCAATATATTTTTGAGATCTTGCAGCACCGGACGTGTCGTGGCCGGGTTGGAAGAAGATGTCGATATAGGCCTCATTCCGTGCTTGTGGGGAGTTGGCAAGCCTTAACCGATCTATAAACCCATTGAACGCTTGCTTGTTCTGGACAGCACCGTCACTAAAGGCCCCCCTCAGTTCCGAAGCAAGCTGCTCTACGGTAACGCTCCGGTCACCAATCCTTTGCTGCAAAGTCCGTTCCTCGGATGGAGTCTTAGTTGCGTGTTGAAGTCCTAGATTTTTTAATTTATCTCTATACCACTCTTTCTTCTCTTCTAGTATGCGCTGCTCGATGGTCTTGAGGTCTACCTCGGAATTATGAGCCTTGGAAAACATAGTATCAAGTTCGAGCAGAAACGGCCGCCGACCTGAAAACCATTCCTTGGAGGCAGAGTTGAGATATCGATCCCTAATACGGTTGAGGAGGCGAGTCCAGCAATCTGGGCACTCAAGGGGATGCTTCTTGTTGTGATCTCTTATGCAAGACGCTTTGATGGCCTGTACATCGTCGGCGCAAAGTTGGCGCTCCTTTTGAAGGGCGATAACTTCATCCCAAGGTTCCAGCATACTTTCGCCTATACAAACACAGACCCGGACGATGCAGAGGAATGATAAGATTGTATGAGTAAAGTCTTATATAGCTTTGTCACGGTGCCTGTGCCTGCCTAGCGGCAAGTGAGCGCGTCGTACCCAAGGGAGCCTTGTGCAAACGCCGACTCATCCAAACCGGGCCAATAGAAATACTTGATCCTTATGTTTGATGAGTCTGATGAGTGACTTCTTCTAGAATCGTATGGTAAGAAGAGCGGGAGTCGAAGGAATACTTGGTGATATATGAAAACGAGAAGGTGTAACGAGTGAATGAATATTGAAATAAATGGACATAGAAATTCCACTACGATGTACCTCGATACCTCTGGTACTTGCTAATTTAGTTACCGCAGTAATTAACGTAGCTTCCTGGGGCTGGTACTACAAGCTGCAAGTGATCCATTCACTGCAGGTCCGAGCGCCCATAATTATTTTTGGTCAGCCTTCACCAGTAGGAACGTATCTCAACGACAACTTTTAGAACTACATAGGTACATCTCTAGCGCCTCTCGATTTCTTCAAACCACCAAGCCGTCAACTACGCAAACGCCAATACGCAGCTGGTCAACATGGTAAGCCGAACTTCTGCTACAATTCGCCATCTCCTCCCTTCGATGAAATCAACTAACAGCATGAATAGGCGGACAAATTGCGCACCCAGCAAGAACTTGAGCGACTTCAGGCCAAGTACGTCGGCACCGGCCATCCGGACACGACTTCGTGGGAATGGAGAACAAATGTTGCGCGTGACACCTACTCCAGCTTAGTCGGCCATCCTCCCCAACTAGCCTACATCTCGCTCGCGCAGAATGAGCCTGCAGCCAAGGTCCGAGCTCAGCTTCTACGCAAGATGATACAACCATGTGGTGCGCCTCCTCCACGCGAAGGTGAAGAGCCCATACAGAGACTTGCCTAATCTGCAGCATTCGAATCGGTCAATTTCCGAATGACAGACATAGTGGGCATGCTTGACAAGTTGAAGAATCAGAGGCGACTGGATTCACCCTTCTCAGACCCAGATAGACGATACGAGGTAGCATTGTTGAAGTACGGTGCATTAGTTCTGGCGGCCAATCTAGGCTTCGCTGAAGATAAAATTCTGGCTAGACGTACGTCGTCATTTATCATTACCAATAATCGTCAAGTACTCGGACACTTTAGCTTTAATCTACAGTACTCATTCCTCGGGGATGCTATTTTCGGCTCGTCGCTGACGAGATCCTTGTGTTCCCAGACTCCTTTGTAGCTTCTTGTCGAAGTCATCCGGGAGATCTCCCCATACTTCGGTAACGACGGCGGCAATGCTCTCGGGCGGGACCTCAACTCTTCCTCGAGGTCCGACGCACCAGGTTACCGCATCATCGTCGCCGTCACTTTTTTCCACCACTTTGTCGACATAACCCTGCCTCACCATCTTCTGCAGAACGTTATCGGTCTTGTCCATTGGCAAGTTCTGGCTAGCATTCATGCGGGTCAGGTATCGCCTTAGCTTCGTGTCGCTCAGCTCTCCTCCGTTGAGCACGATCAAGGAGATGACCATGGTGTAAAACCCAACGTATGCAGCTTCCTCAGGTGAGCTTGGTATTCTTGATGGGGCGACGATAGACTGAGATTTGTATTCCGGTGGTAGAGTGGAAACTAAGATATACTGTCGTGAGGATGTGGCGGTTTGCGAGGCGGCTTTCCTAGCATTCGCCTCTACATGAGAATACTTGATTAGCACAAGGCAATTGCCTGCATGACCCGTAGTAATGATCGTGGTGTCCCTTACTCTGCTTCTCCTTAAGTGTGCGCTTCTCCTTGGCTGGTAATTCGGCCATCTCCATGCCGAAAACCTTTCGGAGTTGCAATTGCGCACCGTCAAACACTCGCTTAAACGACCGAGGATTGCTCCCTAAAACTATGCAATTTAAGTAGATGCTCTTAGACATATAGACATACATATATGGGTAACTTACCCTTATCCCGAATGCCATCTCTCCTGATAGGTACCCTCGCGTATTCACATGCCAGGGCATATCGTACGAGTTTCTTCACCAGCTGGTCCTCCGCGTCGTCACCTGTTCTCTCCATGTCGAGATCGCCATCTTGGTCCTCTTCGGAAACATCGGAATCGTCTCCCTCATTGTTGCGGCGTGACTGGCGACGTCGTCTCTGGGTTTGGGTCTGGGTCTGGGGCATTGTCGCGGGTTTGGTTTGGAGACTGGTAAATTGAATATTTGACTGGGCGACTGGCTGAATGCTTCCAGACCTCTAATAGTCGCACAAATTGGGAATATAAAGAGGCTCAGAATATCATGGCAGGTCGCTGTATCTAGGTACTAGTGGAACTTAAAGTCGTATGTGTTGCAACGTGACGACGCGTCTAGGGTATAACGCGTGGAGATGCCCCAGATCCCTTGCTAGGATCTTATCGATAATCGGCAATCTCATATACCTAGTACGTACGTAGTTTATGTAGTACAACCCTCCAGGATATGAAAGGTTAGTAGTTCTCCACTTTTGCCACAAGTGGACCGATCAGCTCAAGTATTTTACTGCGAAATATATGTGAGGATATACATAGCTAAGTCTCTGGACTAACCTTATATAGAAATGCTCAGGAACTACAGCCAATAAGAATCAGGTGCTGTCTGGAAAAGGAGTATTAGCCAATCAAATCTTAGAATCTTCAACTAACCTTTCATATCCTGGAGGGTTGTATAAGGTAAATATACTATACTAGATTATTGTATATATCTATACATATATGCATAAAATGAAGCTTATTACCCAATTAGGAAAGCAAGTAAAAAAAAAAGTTCAAGCGCAATTCTTTATCCTTTCACTGTCACACTCAGGAAGTGGGAAAGAGAGTAATACATTCTTCATGATTGCCTTAAGTGTGTATGGCGGTTCCATCTGTCTCAGATGCCGATTGCATCTTCTCCGTCAATATAATCAACCTTGTCAAATACCCTACCGCATATTCAGGCCTCGGCATCCAACTCTGCGCCGCTTCGCTACCGAATCCTCTGCGCCCGTCGACCACGACCTATCTTCTGAAGTGAATGATGAGACACCCGATAGTAAGCATCGTTCCAAAGCTGGATACCATGGAGGCCACAAGAAACGTGGAGGAACATCAAGGAGGTTGAACACTCTCTTGAAGCCGAAGAGACGCCTTTCTCGCAATCGGATTCTTACAGAAGATACGCAAAGCCTTGACTCTAATATGCTTGGCAAACCTGCCTCTGTACTCATCATGAGGGATGGAGGTACTTATCGAAGGAAAAATAGTATTCCCTTTCATTCGAACGACGCCGAGGACGAGTCCAATAACCAAAGTACCGATATCGAGGCCCTGCTCGCCAGCCAGCGAGAATCACCCGTCGCCGAAGAGGTTCGCAAGAACATTGACGGCTTAAAGCCCAAGACGGAGACTGCCCTATCCGAAAGGGAGTTCCGCAAGTTACAGGTTTCGCTTATAAACGGTTTTCTAAACCCACAGCTTGAAGATTATCTCGACCACAATAAAAAATCCATTCCGTTCGAGTTCAAAGTCGACGCCAAGTCAACCATTGGCAAGGGGGACTGGGCCAAGTATATCACCCCATGGGCGCCACTGGGTAGTCAGTCGAGCATCCCGAGCGAAGTCGAACCCAGTCTGTATGGATATGTGGCCGATTCAGCCACTCCGAAGGAGAGGCTTGCTGTTCGAATCATGCGTGAATGCTGGTGTCTTTCAATCGGAGAGCTCGACACTGGACTCGGCGAAATGAGAGTGGTAATTCAAAGTAGCGAGTTCCTTCTCTTGATGCGTACGTCCGTCGTTGTTGTTCCCTCTTATCCCCTATCCCTTGTTGCTCACTCCTTAGAATAGCCTCGCTAAACCCTTAATGATAGGCGGTACCCAGCGGTGGATGTCCGTTATGGGTCAAATATGGCTAGACCCTGGCGAAAAGATCGAGGCTTTTCAGGATAAGAAGATGCTGCGTTTTGTCACAACAAAACCAAAAGCTGCTATCCTGGTAAAAGAGCTGCATGACACGATCAAGCAGATCACGTCTAAGACGTTTAGGATGAGTTACGTCTCCCGCGAGCCCATCGACGAAGCCTTTCTAGAAGAGGTCGGGCGTATTACGAATACGCATGTCAGAAAGAAACAAAATTCTAACCTGGTTAGCCACGACTTCCTAGATAGGAACTCATTTTCCTATACGAGTGCTAATTATTCCTTTCTATAGCTCCAAGTTACTTGGATAGAGCTGAAGGCACGCGCTGCACAAGGTCTCACATGCCTAGAAAACCTGAGCGAGGTCGTCATCCGCTTACTGCTTACCGCTTTCACTCCACAGCCGGGGAGGACCACTAGTCTTTATGTGGACGGTGTGGACGATGAAGCTGCTGGGCGGTTCGTTGTGGATACGGTAAGCAAGGAAAGGTTGGGATGGAAAGACAGGATGAGCCAATGGGTTCGCTACGTGCTCCCACTGGCGCCTGAAGGTGGCCGTTCAGTAGCGAAGAGTACGCTGAGAAGGCTCGCACTTCCAGTAGAGCCATATACGGAGGTGCCTGACTTCGACGAGAATGAGGAATTCCTGCCTAGTTCGCGGTTCCCTGCTCACCCGACAAAGTGGGCTGAACATCATAAAGTATCAACCAGGGCGGGCTTCGGCTATTTACTACATGAAAATAGCCCTGATGCCTCGCCGCCTCCCCTACCTGACATCCTAACCGCCAACCACCCGCGCGTGTTTGCACCCGTCGCGCCGCATCCTCTTCACCTTGCTAGATTGGAAGCAAATAACGACGAAGCGGACCATACACTCATACAGATGAAAACCACAGTAGTCATCCATTTTTGGCCGCAAAAAAAGAGCAAATCCAAACAAGAGTATTCTCCTACATTGCAAGCACCTCTACTCGAGCTTCGCCTCGCAACTTCAGGCACCGAAGTCAAAGGCGTTGAGAGCTTGCGCGCCATCAAGCAAACGCAAATCACAGACGTAATGCTTCCCGCCTCCCTCGTTGATTTACGCTTCACGCAAGCGCAGTACTGGGAACTAGAGGGCAAGCCTGCCGAATTCTCTAACTGGCAGCCTCTTGCCGACTTCCTCGGGCCCGCACGCATCGACCTAGCGCGCGGCAAACTCGACGTGCCTCCGCAGCAGAAGTTCCCTATCCCGAAGCGCCTCTTCAACTACTCAGATTCCAATCTTCCTTCCACAGATGAAGACGTTTCCACGGACCCAAACGAACTTATTAGTACTTCGTACACATTCACCGGCCTCGAAATTCGGCGGTCTGTTTCGATGCCGTACGAGGGGTTTCGATTGACATACGCTTCCGTAGACACGGAACGAACGGGTGGGCACAGAACCGAGGTCAGCCTTGAGCCTAGCGAAACTTCGATCACCGAGATAGACTTGAACAAACTGCATGATGACTTCCTAGTCACTTGTGAAAGGTTTGCTCGCACCGATGCCTTCTGGTCGGGACATTTAACTACTAGATGAGATGCTTAGTAGCCATTTAGGACTACAAAGTTAAGAGGTCCAGGCCCATTCATGTGGGCATTCGATATATTTGTGCTAATGGGTACCATAGTAGTTTAGGGCTGCGTATATAGAGATAATCCACTCGGACCTTAGATTATGTAGATTATGTAAATAAAGTCTCTGCGTGCCTACTCAACTCAATTACGTATTCAATTTGCTTAATTTAACTCTTATCCTGAGCGGATCGACACAGCTCAATCGCTACGTAGGTACACTAAGACACCAATCCAAAGTTGATGTAATATCGATGATTGATGCGGTTCGTACCGCCGGTCTCTGTGTCTAAGGGAACAGCGGCTTGATGTCTAATACTGAGTTGCGGAAGCAAGCAGAACACCTATCAAGAAGATCTGAGCAGAAAAGGGAAATGGCTACAAGAATATTATATTCATGGAAAAAGAGGGGGCATATCAATAAGGCAACAAATAGTCATCACAGTCACGGGAGCATCAAATAAGAAGAATCACGGTCTATGACTCTATTTTTGCTAAAAGCACATGATGAGAAAGTTTTGTCGCGATAATGCCCCTAACCCTTCCTCTCATATTGTGCCCCGAAGTCGAACGTCCGAGAGACCAGATCGTGTAAAACAAAAGGAAATTCGTGTAGAGGCATTGTTCATATCGTCAGGGGTCCAAGGCAGCTGATGATCCGAAAAATGGATACGTCTGATGCCGGTAGTAGGGTTATGGTGGACAAGCTTATTTCTTGCCCGTCGCCTTAGCGGCAGACTTGGTAACCTTACCGGCCTTGCTGCTCTTGTTCACAGCCTTGATGACACCGACGGCGACGGTCTGACGCATGTCACGGACGGCGAAACGACCCAGAGGAGGGTAGTCGGTGAATGCCTCAACGCACATAGGCTTGGAGGGAATCATCTTGACGATGGCGGCATCACCAGACTTGATGAACTTGGGGGAGTTCTCGACAGACTTGCCTGTTCGTCGGTCGATCTTCTCGAGGAGCTCAGCGAACTTGCAGGCAATGTGGGCCGTGTGGCAATCTAGGACGGGGGCGTAACCAGCACCGACCTGACCAGGGTGGTTGAGAACAATGACCTGTGCGGTGAAGTCATCGCAACCAGCAGGGGGGTCGTTCTTGGAGTCACCGGCGACGTTACCTCGTCGGATTTCCTTGACGGAGACGTTCTTCACGTTGAAACCAACGTTGTCACCGGGGACACCCTCGGTAAGCTGCTCGTGGTGCATCTCGACGGACTTGACTTCAGTGGTGACACCGGCAGGGGCGAAGGTGACGACCATGCCAGGCTTGATGATACCAGTCTCGATACGGCCAACGGGAACAGTTCCGATACCGCCGATCTTGTAGACATCCTGGAGAGGGAGACGGAGGGGCTTGTCCGTAGGGCGCTTAGGGGGCTCGATAGAGTCAATGGCCTCAAGGAGAGTCTTGCCAGTGACCTTGCCACCCTTGCCTTCCTTCTCCCAACCCTTGTACCAAGGGCAGTTGGTAGAGGGAGCCAACATGTTGTCACCGTGGAAACCAGAGATGGGAACAAAGGCAACGGTCTTGGGGTTGTAGCCAACCTTCTTGATGAAGTTGGACGTCTCCTTGATAATCTCGTTGAATCGGTCCTCGGACCACTTGGTGGTGTCCATCTTGTTGATGGCAACAATGAGTTGCTTGACACCAAGGGTGTAAGCGAGCAGGGCGTGCTCACGAGTCTGACCATCCTTGGAGATACCAGCCTCGAACTCACCAGTACCGGCGGCAATGATGAGAATAGCGCAGTCGGCCTGCGAGGTACCAGTGATCATGTTCTTGATAAAGTCACGGTGGCCGGGGGCATCTAGCAACTAACTGTTAGCACTTGAAAAGAGACAGATGGGTGATTGCATTGAGATGGGTTGTTATTGTGGCTTACCAATGACGGTGACATAGTACTTGGGAGTCTCAAACTTCCAGAGAGCAATGTCGATCGTGATACCACGCTCACGCTCAGCCTTGAGCTTGTCCAACACCCAGGCATACTTGAAGGAACCCTTGCCGAGTTCAGCGGCTTCCTATTAAGTGGATCAGTTTACCTATTCAATGTCTGCTTTGGTTGGTGCTTGGCATTTATCCAGGGTCGGTTGCTCCGTGCACCAAAATGTTGTGCAGAACGTCAGAGCGGGGTAGGAAAATTTTGTGCCCCTCGGTGGGGGAGAAGATAAGAGAGGGGCACGCGGTTGGGAGCGCAAAAAAACAACAAAGAGGTTTGAGTAGGAAAGAACGGGAAAAGAAAATATTTCTGATTGTAATGGAATATGACGGTATTTCAAAATAAGATTAATGGGGGAAATTATGTTCAAACTGACCTTCTCGAACTTCTCGATAGTTCGCTTGTCGATACCACCGCATTGGTAGATCAAGTGGCCGGTAGTGGTGGACTTTCCACTGTCGACGTCTATACGACCGGTTAGGAATCTGAGATCAGTGTGTAGATTATCATCAAAGGAAACTTACGGCCAATGACGACAACGTTGATGTGAGTCTTGTCTTCCTTACTGCGATATTGTCAGTAAACAGAAGCGCGCTGCAGAAGATGGAGCCAAGTTGTCCACATACCCCATTTTGGCAAGATGTGACTGAGTTGAGAATATGTGAAGAGGATGACGCGTAAAACTGCGTTGAGGATGATTAGTTTTTGGGTTTTCAACAGTTGTGGTGACGGGTGATGGAGGAAGGAGGATGGAAGACGAGAAAGATAGAATGTGGGAAGAAGAAGGAAGTGGGAGATAGGATATGGGAGGTGGGAGGGAAAGGTTTCTCACGTTCAGCAGGTGTTAATGCTCTGATTAACGGTGTGCGAGACGAGGATCAAAAGGAGGAATCAGAAGAAGGTTGAGAGTGTAATGTCTGGGTTTATAAATTATTTCTGGATGGTGGCCAGGTAGAATTTGATTGTGGGGGCATTGCCCCTCCTCAGGCCCTTCCTGCCTTGACTGTGTGACTATCCACCCCTCTTTCCAAATTCACAAACCGATTTTTGTTTTAATTTTTTTTATTTTCGCCTCTTTTGCATGTACTTGGTACCTACTCTCTGAGCTTTAACAACTTTGATTGGCTTAAAACTTTTTAAGTTAAAACAATCCCAGGCATAGACCTAGTTCGTACCGTCAATATGCGTACAGTACTTGCCTACTTTTCATGTAGGGACTATATATACAAGTACCTACATGGTTAAGACGACCCCAGAAGAGTTGAATACACAATATAATACATCAATATTGATTCTCTTCTCTTGCAAAGCATCAAGCAATGTGTGCACATATATGATTTATCATCTCACATGGGGGAGGAGGGGGATGCCTTTAGCAATACCAGATTTGTATAAGTACACTGAGTACATCGTATTAAACTTTGGCAGTACTGTGCCTAGGTATCTTTACATTGATTGTCAAAGATTACACCGTTTAGTTGTATTCGGGCAGGTGCCCTGTGAGTCAGGCCGATGCGCGCAGCAAGTAAAAGCTTCCAGCGTTCGTACACTGGCACAATAATCCCGAAATACGAAACCTTAATTGGGGGAATGAAGGACCTTGGAAGCAAGAAGGAAGAAAAACTTTTTTTGATAGCTGCCCAACATGCCAGACTCCCCACATCCATACATCGATATTAAGCCATAGTGGGTATTACGCAGCCTTATTGGCCCCTGTCTACCTGTTAAAGCGGCTATTGGAATTTATCATGTGAGATTTACTACGATTTAATCTTCCTAGGAAAGCACACAGGTACTTACCTACTTACAACTGAGTGTTTCAACCTCAGTACTGTCAGCCAATCTGAAGAGTTCGGACTCCACGGTTAACTCCGTACCAATATCTTGCAAACGAACACTGGCACTGATCTACTCCGGCCAAACACTTAGATGGGGCTTAGTTACGCTCGTTCTTTTTGACCTCTAGGGCTTCTACTATACCTCATATTACCTGTCGTAGCACGGAATCAACATTGATGGATAAGCACATGCTATAAGATGCTTATTTAACTTGATTTTTTTGGGGGGTTCATATTGAAAACAGTGGATGGCATGAGTTTACATGTCTACCTAGGTATATAATAATGATCGAGCACTTAGTGATTAAATCTTTATAGAATAATATCTTATGAGCTTACACGACAAAAAGAACAAAAAATAAAAATAAAAAATAGAAAATCTTATATCAATGCCCTCTCAAGTATCGTCAGATTCTCAAGGCGACTGTGAAAAGGATATGCATATCGATGATTTATAGCATATGAAAAAAGGAGGCAGCAAGAAAAGTATTTCACGGTTGATTTCTTTTACCGGCTAAACTACACTTGACGGGGTATCTAGTTGCTAAAACACCTCTTCAAGGGTACGGAAGATAGGGAAACCCATGAAGCAAATTACTTTCTATTCACCCAACTCCTTAGGTGAATTGACCCTTCTCTGTCTCCATCTCTCCACTACTTAGCCCGGGGCGAATGTGCAAGTTGAGCCAACGTCCAACGAACCCATGTCTTTTTTATTGTCATAACCTCATCCGACCCATATGTTACTCGTAACTTGACCGTTTTCGTCCAGGTCATCTTCTCGTCGATCGGGATTCCTGCCACACTTGATGACCAAATCCTTCTCCTTTTGACCTAAAGCAACCTGATCAAAGCCTGGAGGCAAAATCTTATCACCTTCGAGATACCAAACCTTTAGACCACGAGCCTTGTCGCGCAAGGCTTGCTGGTTTCGTGGATGTTCAAATCCACCTGCTTTCTCCATCGCACTCCAGGAACAGTTCAAGGAAGGGTCGGCTATTAGGTCCACAAGTCTCGATGTATCGTGTGCGGACCACGGAGTGCGGGTCTGTCGGGGTTTGGTGGAATGGTTTGCTCGTCGGATATTCCGGGCGTTCTGGCTGAGTACCAGAATATCCCGATCTTGTAGATTGTAGTCATCTTGTAAGTCATCTGGTGGCTGTGCGCTAGAAACTCCTCGCGAACTAGCGACCGGTGGTGATAGGTCTCGAGATTTACCAGACTTGGCTTGTTTGGAGAATCGCGGACGTGTAGGAGATGGCCTTTGAATAATTGCATTTTCGTTAAGAACCCTCCTAGACTCGCCAGGTAGTTGCTCATTGACTTCAAAATCATCACCGTCATCCTCGTTGTCGCTATCCCCACCAGGACGCGACCGTTTCCGTGTACGGTTCAGAACCTGACTAGGTTCTAGGAGGCGGATTGCATCTCTTGTATCCGATGCCTTTTTTTCCCCCTTTGCGGTTTGTTGATGTGAAAGCGACTTCACTGCTGGACGCATCGATGCCTTTTCCTCGGTCTCCTTCACGGCTGCTAGTGTGGCGGAACTATTGATGTAATTTTGACTACAAAATATTAGTATGATCTTGATATGCAAATAAATGGGTAGAGGGTTAACCGTACTTGGATCCTTGCGGCGGGAGTTGATTATATCCTTCAGCATCTGTATCTGATGCTGAGTCCGAATCATCATCAGCCTCATCGCCATTATCGACAAATAAAGACTCTGATTCTGCACGTTCGACAAGCACCTTGGACCTTGAATTTTCATTTGCGGGACGGACTTTGCCTTGATCTGCTACCCTGTTAAGCTCCCGGTATATGCGAAGAGCCCATGATCTGATATCGCAAAAGATCGATACCTGGGTATATTTTGGGTCTAGAGATGCTTGTAATCCAGATAAGTTGTTAAAGGGAAGCTTGGACATGAGCTCTTGGACATGCGCACGATAGGTTTCGTATAAATGAGTATCTTCGCCGATTTCTACACCGGCGAGCGGCCTGTACGGCCCTTTGTCTAATGCATCTCGGGCGTGGACGACATCACTAATAGTCTCTCCGCAGAATATACCGGTAGCGAATGCAAAGTATCCCTCCAACGACGGAATAGAATTGTCAGAGACAAGCAACTCGATTAGAAGGCGACATCGAACACGAAATGCCAGATCGAGAATTGTCTCAATATCGTTGTTCTTGTCCTTGTGCGAATCCAGGACGGACAAAGCCGGGAAATTATCGTCCAGTTGCTCAAGAATTGCGTACGGCCTTTTCTTCTCTAATTCGACATCCAGAAGCGACGTGAGAAGTGATACGAGGTTCGCAGAGGAGATAGCAACTTGGATCTTAGATCTCACTCCTTGATCACACTCATACTCTTCGCTCAATTTGATAGGTTTGATGAAGAGCGTGTTACCATTGGCGAAGGGAAGACGAGCATGATTGAAGGACTTCCTGTAACTGTTTAATTTTATCCGATCATCCACACTTGGCTGGCTGCCGCCGATAGACGACAAGATATCATATAGTTTATCGGACCAGCGTGTGAGCTTAGGGATGTCAAAATCAAGCATATCTTGGATTTTATCAGCGTCCATTTCGGGCGATCCATGAGCGTCCTCCGTTTCGGACAATGAGCCGCCCAGAGGCAGTGTAGTTTCCTTTACTGGAAGCAAGCCTATATAATGATTAGATACGAGTTAGTAAGGGTTAATTAGTGTGGAATACCTTGGTTTTCTGGCTCCGGACTAGCATGATCAGGAGTACTTTTGGGAGAAGCACTTGGGGCTACATTCTCAAGGCTCTTTTGGTGATGGCGCGAGGTACCGCGTCGAGTCATTCCGGGTAGTTGTTGGGGCTCAGGTTCTATAAACGGCTCAGGACGTCTGGCGCTTTGTCGGGTTTGCCTTGTAACATAGCCACTATGAGGTTCGACAGGCTCAGTCCGACGCGTTGCTGGACGGCGACGCCCGGCCATGATGGATTGAAAGAGCCTATTTGTTTGAGAGGCGTAGATAGAATCTTGGGTGAAGGGTCATTCTGGGACGTGAAGGAAGATAAGACTGAAAATATGTAAGTAACTTTGAGTATCTCGTCAGGGTTAGGGTAGAGGGTTATTCATCAGGGTAGTTCTCCAATCAGGTTTGAAAGGTAAATAAACACCTTCCGTTTCAGTGCGGGCCACTTAGCGTTATTGATGTATATTCGTTAATTATATAAACAAACGCGTAAATGCATATGCATATATACCCAGTTTTAAACAAACAGACTTTACCGCTCTATACGGTAGTACGTAGGTATTGGATAGTGCAGTTGCAATTCTAGGTACTACATGTTACTTTAGAACAGTTCCATGTAAATATTGAACCCTGGAAGTACCTGCCGGGTACCTAAGTAGGTATGGTAACGAAAATATGTGGGTAACACTGGTACTATAACCCTGCACTTGTTCTTAGATCTGAATTCTCCTGTCGCGTACCTACGATGGGGATGCACTGCCTCTCATTCTCCAACTTCCTAACCTCTTCACCCCTTTTATAAAGATTTCGATTTGTCCAACACGATACTCTATAATAATATTCAACCTTCTTACCACTATTTGGACCCCGTTTGTTCTTTCTTCTGGCGTTGTCCTTCTCTCTCTTTCTCGCGTCATTTCTGTATATCCTTCTTACACTCGTCTCCGTTTCGGAAGATTCCATAGTCGTCTCGTCTCCCATCACATTACACCGGTTCATCCGTGGTTCTTTCAAGGGAGGCCGTCGCTTTTTAGAACAGTAGTAGTGACCTTACTTTTCAGTCCACCTTAATCGGTTATTACACATCCTCTGGCCACATACGATTCCACTAGATTACTCGACTCTGTGCCCATCATGAGGCTCAGTCCGCAACGAGCACCGCTTATTATTTTGCTTTTACCTTCACTGGCCCTTGTCACCTCTGCACTGGACGCGAAAATCGTCAAGGATGCTTCCAACGTCGGTGCAGACAGTGCTTCTTCTCAATCCCCTCTCGACTCGACCATCACGTCCCAAAAGACGTCTAAATTCGATGTAGGCACTAAAGATGCCCCTGTGGATGGCAAAGACGGGATGCCGCACGAGGGTCCCTTCGTGAGCATCGACAAGGGTCGCAAAAAGGGCGAGGCTGCTGATGCCACGGAACCCAAAGCTCTCCCCGTTCTGAAAGATAGACCGGTAGATCCCACTGTCATCGATGGAAAGAAAATACCCGAAAGTAATGATGGTGTCATGGACGATCCTCATCGCCAACCTCCCAAGCAAGGCACCACCGGTACGGAGGGGGGTGTGAGCCAAAAGGACAAGGCTAGGAAGGCTAAGGAGGGAGAGACTGGGGAGAGGGTCGAGAACGTGCCCGAAACTCCTAAAGAAAAGCCCCCCTTGCCCCACAGCGAGCAAAAGAAGATTCCGAGCGAGAAGGTTAACAAGAAGGAAAAGGGCAAGGTCGACTTACACCAGACGCCTGAAGACGTAGCTGGCCTTGAGGTAAGGCAATGAAGCATTATCTTGATCCCTAACCTGACCTCTGGCGTGAGCTAACTTACCCCGTAGAAACCTTCCGACCTACCAGATAAACTACGCGACGATCCGAACCCGCTTCCCAACTCGGCCAACAAAGACCACCTTGACGTGTCCAAACCTACCAAGTCTACTGCTGGTGCATGGGAGAAAGGCAACGAGGGCAATGATGGCATTATCCAACCCCTTCACTCTTTCGTTCTTTCACTTACCATGATCCTCTTCTCCGAAATCGGTGACAAAACATTCCTCGTTGCCGCACTGATGGCTATGAAACACGACCGTATGGTTGTATTCTCGGCCGCCTTCGGTGCCCTGTTGGTCATGACCGTCCTATCCGCAGTCTTGGGCCATACGGTACCAGCTCTGATACCTAAGAGGGTCACGGCTTTCCTAGCCGCAGGGCTATTCTTTATTTTTGGCGCCAAGATGTTACGCGAGGGTATGGCTATGGATCCGGACGAGGGTGTTACAGCAGAGATGCAAGAGGTCGAGATGGAGCTTCAGGAGAAGGAACATCAGGCCCTAAAACAAGGCAGACGGCGTTCCTCCTTGTCCCCGTATGCTCTAGAGATGGGACTCAACCGCGACCGGAAGTCAAGATCACAATCTCGGTTTCCTACTCCGCCTCGCAGCCCTTCGACCTCGCCGGGCAGGAGTCCTTCTCCTCGACGTGGTTTTCTTGGCGGGTTCGGAGTTGGCCTATCAAATCTCTTCTCGTTACTACTAAGTCCCGCATGGGTGCAAACTTTCGTCATGACCTTCTTGGGTGAATGGGGGGATCGCAGCCAGATCGCGACAATTGCTATGGCTGCTGGCCAGGACTACTGGTGGGTGACGTTAGGTGCCGTGCTCGGACATGGCTGCTGTACCAGCGTGGCAGTCATTGGCGGTAGGGCTATTGCCGGTAGAGTCAGCTTGAGAGTTGGTAAGTTGTGGCAGGCTTTGCGCCGACGCGTCTGGACGAACTATAGCTAACTCATGCGTTTCGACAGTAACGATAGGAGGTGCTGTTGCTTTTTTGGCGTTTGGCTTCATCTACTTTGTGGAGGCGTTCTACGCATAGCGTCTTGTTTTCCAAAAGAATCGAGAACCAAAATGCAATTTCCCCTCCGACTACAACCCATCCACGCCTTCTTTCTATAATCGGTTGCAAGGTTTAGCAAGGGACAAGCCGAAGATGGTTCCTCAGCTATAGGCGGGCTTCTCCAACAAGGGGGGGAAAGGTACGAGTAATACGGATCTACAAAACGGAATGAGAGGGATTAGCCGATACGTCGCCGTTGTATTATAATTATCATCGTCACTGACTCCAGAGGGCATGAAGACCGGTTCACGTGTGGAGGTTGGACCTATTGCATGGGCGGAGTTTGGAATATAAAATAAGCAGGCTCGTTTGAGGTGGCCGAAGACGACCATTATCAATCGCACATTGTCAAATTACTAAATATTTCCGAGGAATGACGGCCCTTCGGGATATCCATTGTCTACGAACATGAGTTGGTAGATGCTTGGTGGTTTATAGGTGTCGACCATTGAACAGCCGGGTTTATTTCTAAGTTCCTCAGTTACAATGCTTAGCTCCAGTAGCTCCCTACGGCGACGATCCGTGATTATATGCAGGATAAACGGTCGATGTTACCGTGCCGCCGGATGAAAAGCTACGGCCACAACCGGGACTCTCGAACTATCTGCCTATCCATGTAGGCCGGAAAAGTCCGCTAGAGCACTAGGTATGTATTCAATGATGGTCAAATTATGACGTTAAACACATGTAGGTTGGCGGAGAGACGATGTACATATGTACGTACGTACGTAAAACGGAAACATACGAGGACAGCATAGACGCTCGTAGGCCTAAATTGGAAAAGTCTCGGTACCCCGCCTCTTGCCCCCATTCCCGACTTGGACAGCTCGCGGCGAACCTCCGCCAAAGCCTGTAACATACGAGATATTTGAAGTCCTCGTCGGCGGAGCTATTTATCTAGATCCAAAAACAGGGAGAGAGCGCGCCTCAGTCAAGGAGCTAAGGGCTGTGCATTACATAGATTCTCGCAGTGAATCTCACCGTAACCACTGACGAGTGCACAAGGCAAATATAAAACAAGACCAAAAGAAGAAAAGCATCCTTCTCACCTTCTCACCTTCTCCCCCTTTTTTGAGAAACTCACATTCACCATGTGGCAACCACATTCACCGCCACCTCCACGTATTACTAAGTCTCCCGACCCGGAACCAAAGAAGGCTGCTCGTCGTATCGCACAAGTTGTGAAGCTGAAACCCGAGTTTGTCGACAAATACAAGGAAGTGCACGCGGCTGTGTGGCCGGAAGTTTTACAGCAGATAAAAGACTGCAATATTCAGGACTGTAGGCTCTTCTTCTCTCGCATTGGCCTCAAAATTGGCTTTTCTGTCGAGCCAATCCTTCTGACAATTTTCTAGACAGCATATGCCATGATCCTGGTACCGGCATCCTCTTTGCAACCTTTAAATACGTCGGCTACGACTATTCGGGGGACATGGAGCGTATGCGAGGAAATCCTAAGGTAAGAGAGTGGTGGGCTATGACTGACGGTTTTCAAGAGGTAAACGATTCCGATTAATCTGAACCAAAGCATAAGAAGCCTAAGTACTGATTAGAATCTCTCATCGTAGAGCTTGGTGCCTGGTGCCAAAAGCAGCGAGTCTGGCAATCCGGCATGGTGGAAAGAACTCGAGGAGGTATTTTATTTAGAGTGAGGGTGAATTCCAAATTGAATGGTCAAGTTTGTTTGTAAACACCAACGAGATCAATGCCAGAGGATATTGCAGATATGACATAAATCTCGTGCCCGTAAACGCCCGACGTATGGTAAACTCGTGTGTCCACTCTGACAACAGGGCGTCATGGTCTAACGATAAATATGACCGAGAGCGGTATCCGACACAAGAGGCTTGACGCGGGTTAAGACTAGCTGACCAGGTCCATTTCACCTCCACGATCCAAATAAGCCACCAAGGACACCTATACCACCGCTCCCACCACCGCGGCCTCCATGTCTCTTCGCCTCGTTTCTAATCCAGTCTTCCAAGAAAGACCGATCTGCCATTCTTTTCCCATCAGATACCTTAGTGCGGACCTGAGCCTCGCCGGCGTCAAAACTGAGCAGCGTTGGTATGGAGGTAACCATATACTCCATTCCGAGTCCACCACTCATAATGTCGGGGGAGTCATATTGGACCTCGCAATAACCAACGCCGCCTTCAGCTTCGCCCACACCGGATTCGATGACGGATTTGAGGAGTGGCGCTACAACATGGCACGTAGCACACCACGAGGTAGTCCAGAATGTTATGAGAGGCGTCCGCGAGGATGACGATAAGAGCAGGTATGTGTGGAGATCATCCGGTCGACGGACGCTGACAGAAAAAAAAGTGGTCAGTCTTAGGAAAGGAAAACGTCACGCGACGACGATGACGATAGCACTGAGGATTACTTGGTTATCTGGGTAAGGTAAGTTCGCATTTACTTGCTTGACTTACCAAGAGTAAACCTGGTTGGTGATGCGAAGACGCATAGACGTAGAGAAATTCCGGCTGGGCTGAGAGCGGCAGAAGCCACTTAATGCTCTCGACCAAGGTCGCATGGTACCGTGAATTGGTGTAAAGGGAATCGATTATACGTAATATTTAATACACGTGGTGGAACTGGGATGTCACATAGTAAGTAGCTTACATACAGTTAGGTTCCATACCAGTGCGGACGCCCCATATTTAAATCTGTTAGCAGCATAACAATAGCCAAGTCTCTAATAATCCTATCTCATTCAATTATATCATAATCACATCTCAGATGATACATGAAGGATTCTTACTGCTTTTAATTGCTGTTATATATTTTATTTTTGAGCCAAGTATGTTCTCCGGGTGCTTATACTAAGTATAAATGAACTCGCTGTTATGTCAGCAACATAGGTAAATATGGGGCGTCCGCACTGGTCTGGAACCTAATTGTAGATGTAGGTAAACTTAGGTGTAACATTGAAACACCATACGTCATATGCATGTAAATGAACTTATTCAATACCTACGGTATATAGAAATACGCGTATATGAATTAACCCCGAGAAGAAACCGATGCCAAACGTTTACATGAAAGACTTCCATCATAAAATACATAATCTAGAATTTCTCCATGAAATTCTTTCGTACGGTCCACATCCTAGCCCTCTTTCCGAAAATGTACATGGGTATCGTGAACAAGAGAAGGATCAGCTGGATAATCCCGAGCCAAAGAAAAACCATCTTGGAACCGTCATCCGTAAGCCACTGCAGCGAAGAGGGTTAGTTATTTCTTTTCCTTTAATAGGGGGAGTTGGGGGTTCTAGGCATCTTCTTGGAGGCTAGAAAAGAAAAGGGACGCATACTTCCGTAACAAATATACTGAACACGAGCCCGTGAAATATGTTCTTGCTAAAATTCAGCGTCACCAAAGCTTCTCCGGCATACTGTCTATAGCTATCGACGCAAAACGTGATAGATGTCGTAGAGCCCAGTGCGCAGCCAAACGACACGACTCCGAAGAAAACCGTAGGGGCAATCCACGGATCATCTACATCAGCTGACCACCCGAACCCCATAAGTCCGATAACCGTCGTCACGGCCACCGGAATTGCCATCACGAGCCGGAATTCGGGTTCGTAGAGGCCGCCATTCCGACGTGCCATTGCTCTAACGATAACGTCGCTTACTTTGCCAGCAACCGCTGTACCTAAAACACCACCAATGAAGGGTGATATGTAGACAAGACCTGTTTGCAGGGCATTGAACTGGTATCTGCCTTCCCGGTATATGACGGCTACCGATTCCGAGATGACAATCAGCCAACCAATCGAGCATGCGTACACCGCGGCCGACCAGAGCACCGACGGGTAGGAGAAGAGGATAAAAGGACGAATGGCTGCCTTCCACCATCTATCTTGGTTAAGTCGACCATGATGAACCTTCAGCTGTTGAGCGAATGATTTTGGCGGGGCATTTCGCAGGGCGTGTGTGTAAGCTTGTCCTCTGGTTATCGTTGCCAAGTTTGAGAATGACATCTTCTCACTCTCCGTATCGGAATGGACTGCCCCGTGAGCGACACTATGCGTATGTCCCTCCCTTGCCCGGAAATAATCGCCAGAGGGGTGCTCGTAAGGCGGCGAATTGGGCATGTGCAATTGTGGTGTTTGGGGGGTAAGGCGGCCTGGGCCTCCCAAGTTTGCCCGGGACCACGCGCTGCTGTTTGACTGCGAGCGGCTTACGTTTGGACGGGGTATACGAGCAATGGCGTCGGCTTTCATCATAGGTCTAGTAGAAGACGGTTCCTTAGCAGTTCCAGACTCGTCCCCGATACTCGGTTGGGTCGCAGGCTCCTTCTCCGCTGAGGGAATGATCGGGGTATCGTGAACGTGTTCTGCACTAGGGGCTAAATCCCCGCTAGGACCGGGCGCGAATCCAACGTGGACACCTTTATTTCGCGGCTGCAGTGATGCGGTAGGTTCGTGGTGGCTCTCCGCATAATTTCCTTCGCCTGTATTTATCGTCGACTTCTCTCGATTGATGATGGCGCCCTCCTTGAGATGAGACTGGGAGACTTGCCGAGCTGAAGACCTCCTACTAAAGAGGCTGGGTCGCTTTGGCCGCCGTGATCTCGGTATTGGGGATCTATCCCAGAATGTCTCAGGGACGAAAAAGAACAAGAGGGTTCCGCAAAAGCCGACCACAATGGCAACAATCCTAGAAGAGAACTTATCAGCCAGGAAAAGGTACATGGCATGGCCTCTGGCGTAATGCTTATAGTAACTCACCAGAATACCCAACGCCACTCTAGTCGTTCAATTATAGCAGCACTTAGGAGTGGAACCAAGTTCTTTCCACCGAGCAACAATAAAGTATATACGCCGATACGATACGCTCTCTCGTGCAAGAAGAAAATCTCGGCGATAGTAGCGGATGGAAGACATTCGACGGGACTTACAGCAATTCCTTGGAAGATGCGGGCTAGTATCAGCGACGTGAAGTTGGGTGACAAAGCACACCATACTGCCGATAGAATAAAGAGGATCACACTGTAAAGGTAGACCGGACGTTTACCGTATAGGATTGCGGTAGGCGAGAAGATGACGCTGCCAATGCCGAGGCCCATCATGTACAAGCCTGTTGTAAGCGAAACCTTGGAAACGTCAATATGGTAATCTACTTGCGGCATTAGCGAAAGTTCTCATCAGCGTTAGGGGAGAAAAGTTAGGGGGGGCGTCGTCTCTACATGCCATTTGCAACGTCAGTGAAGCCCGCCGCGATGATGGGCGTGATTCCACCGCCTACTGCACAATAAAGACCTAAAGATAGTAAAGCAATATCACGGCGCCAAGCCGGCCAGTTCAACGGATCGTTGTGTGAATCGTCCGGCTGAGGCTCGAGAATTATCTGCCCATCTTTGGTCTTTTTCTTTTCATCATGCTCCCTATCTATTGGCTCCGCTATTGGCTCTGATGGTGTATCCTGGGGGTGAGGGTGAGGTAACCCAGTCGGGAGAGAAGAATGAGACGTCCTGGCCGGAGCATTCCGAAGACCAAGTGGCTCATTTCGGCCCTGCGCAAGGAGGAGGACAGATCCTGTATAAAGGGTCAGCATGAAGCGCATTTTGTCGCTCAAATATGTCAACTAACCTGGTACTTCTATGGTCTCTCTATCATTCAACATTCCCATATTCCACTTCAACTTCCCATCGTCACGATGCTCGCGAACAACCCCAGCTTTCTTCTGGAAGAATGCATTCCACATGCTCTTGGGCGTCTGTTTTTCTGCTTCCTCCATCCTTCTCGTGTTTTCCTAAGTGCGTTCGGCTAGAACATCCGCGTTTTTCTTACGTAAGTCACTCTTAAGCCAGACAATATACGGGTGACTGACAAAGTCACGGTACATAAATAAGTAGCTAGTTAGTCGAGTCTTGAATGGCACCTCGGTGATTACCTATGTGCTGATAGACATTGATAAAGGGCTGCAGCTCCAATGAAAGCGACGAGCGGTGTGAAAGAGACCTTGTGACTAGGAAATAGCCTTTGAAAAGACGCGGGGAGCGATACACTAGAAATAGAGATTATATAAAGTATATAACCAAATGGCAGGAAAAGAAAAGAAAACCACTTTATGTACCTAGGCCCCAGGTATATAAATTCATTTTCCCACGTTCCCATACCGAAACGACGGGACGATAATCGCAGTAGTAACACCAACGTGATCTACTAGACGAGGATTGCGGAATTATATGTAAGTAGGCATTTGTCTAGTTGGAATAGCGTGCTAGTGAGAAGAACCCCTGTGAGCCAATGAGATGGCAGAGTGTATCTATATATGGAGTTCCGCTGTTAAGGGTAAGCCGCAGGTGGTCAGGCGGAGGGAGGCACATGAGACCAACCAGCTTGCCCGCCACGAAGCGGCTCTTTCACATGGTAGGTGTGGGCGGGGATGTACCATACTATGTTGTATGTGTAATGTTGTAAGTTCAATGTTGACTCGGGATACGTACCATGTAAGTCAAAATGCCTACATATGTACATTGGGTTCGTGTACCTACTACCCAAAAATCCTGGTACGCAATTGTCGTCGGTGAGGTTAACAAGAAAGTCGCACATGCTTTCAGGGTTCTTGAGGGGAAGGAGAGAGTTAACGTCGATCCTCGATGTGCAACAGCAGTTCCTCCACTGGGACGCAATAAGCTTCAAGGTTGGGTCAGCAGGGGGGGTTAAAGTCATGTACTATGACGGTACATGTATTATACTAATCCTTGCTTGGTTTAGTGTACCATCTTGGGCCGTCAAGAATGTCATGAACGTGCACAGTCGTGCATTCCCAAAATCTCCCCCATATTGTTGGCAGCGCCTATCTCGTTTATTTCCCTGCTTTAAAGGCCAGCAATAGCAGCATTACCCCGGAAATTGCGTCTTGCGCCGTCATTGTCGTTTACGCTCCTCTTTTCTCCCCCCCTCCCCCACACTCGGATTCAGATTCCGGTAGGTGGCAGTGTGGTTTGGTAGAAATCGCCCAGGACTTTCCGTTGAAGACCTTATTCGGGCGACCTTATCCCAATGGCGTCGCGAATTCCACCCCTCCTAGACACCTATCTTCGCCTACCACCTGAAACATCGCTCTTCCTCTTCAGTGGAGTCTTAGGATCAACCACGAATTGGCTTGTCCTCCGTTATCTGTATTCTCTACTCTCCATCCCGTCTGTCTCCGTAGCGGGACAAGGTGGTCTCGACGTAGGCAAAATAGACGGCGCGAGTGTAGTTCTCGTTAGTTTCTTGCGGGACTACGCTTTCTGGAAGGACGGCGCCGGGAAGCTTGGCGTTGATCTCGACGTATTAGCTAGAAAAGGCAAATTCGTTTTCGTCGACGGTCTCGTCGGCTTGTTTCAGACGCCACCGGCCCACGCGACGAAATATTCTTCAGAAAATGCGCCTGGGAAGGTCTTATCTAACATTACACTCCAACAACTGTACAAAGAGCTTGATGATGCTATCGCACGGGTTCAGCGCTCATCCCCAGAGCAGAAAACAGTTTTGATTGTCGACCAGTTGGATATGCTTCTGGCTGCATCGGGGGGGCAGGTTTCAAGCCAGGGACTACGAGAGACACTACTTGACATCCGTGAGGTAAGTTGCTCAGGGCAAATACCCCTGATACACAATATCATCGCTGGGCTACATTGGAGGTTTATTGATAGTTTTATAATAGAAAGTACACTCATGTATTGTCACCATTTCTGCAGATGAACCATTGGTGTCACCACAAGCGACTTCCCTGGAAAAGGAACATGCGGCACTCACGATATCCTTGGCCCATGACGCCCATCTTGTTATTAGTTTGCGGATGCTAGATACGGGTACGGCGAGAGACGTAAGCGGCGTTTTGAGGGCCACGCCAGGCTGTGGGAATGATGATATTGGTAGGGTCGTGGAGGAACAGGAATTGTTATACTTCGTCGCTAACGATGGCGGAGTGCGAGTATTCGAACGCGGTCAGTGAATATTACGCGAGGACCTAATCAGCGAGTAATTCATTTATAGCACAAACGTAGATAACAGGGCGCCAATCCCCAACACTTCAGTCAGGCCAGAGAGCCTCAAGGCCCACACGTAAAAATCTTAGAGCAGTATTGCCATAATAACCAGTCAAAGGAAACCGTCAGGCTTGTCAAGTCATAATGCCATTTTTTGTTCGGGAAATGCTAGTATTGACATTTCCGTCGAACTCGGATATTTACGAGTTCATGATGAGCCCAGTCCAGAAGTCAGAAACACCATTCCCCTGCCATGCCACTGTCATCACCCATCATTCCCCAGCGAATGAAAGCCTTATTTCAGAGCTGGACCTCGTGCGTCCTTGGGTACGCCGGTTCGGAAGCCGTTCTTGAATCTGCGAGAGACGTCTTTGAGGTATCGCATACGGCCGGTGCCGACGGTCTTTCGGCGCTTGGCCTTCTCGCTCCAGTTGTCTGTGTTTTTGACAGTCAGCATCATACATCTCTGGCATATTACCATTTCCATCCCTTCGGCATGAAGTCTCTTCTGTAATTTCTCTGGGCATCACATACACTTTCGGGTCTTAGCGGCCGGGTATCCGCACGAGGAGCAGGTGTGCTTCTGGATGTGAAGAGATCGACGTCCTGAAATCATAATCGTCAGTCGGCGTCATTGTCTCTTTAGATATCTAAAAGATCAAACACGCGGCGCATCTAAATCGGTCATGTGCGGCATCGTGGTGTTCATCGTTCTCAAGAATTGGTGCGTGGATTTTACTAACCACATCGTCGGCATAGAGTATGCGTCTTGTTGTGACGCTTTCCGAAGCTGGAAGTTCCCTTGGCTATAATTCGAGGTCAGTCGAGGGTTGGGAATGGGATCAACGTTTCGAGAGGATACGCACTCATCTTGGCGGCGAAACTGTAGAGATGGCTGTCAGTCTAATGAAGTCGGTGGTGAATGCCAAAATGCTAAATTGAAAAAGATCGATTTGGGGATATTTGGATGACATACCTTCAAAGTGGTCTTAGAGAAGAAAAGTTTCGCAAGTTGTGTGCGTTTGGACTAAGGTAATATTGGTAAGTGATGGTGTTGCTGCTTGTGAAATTTTCGCTTTGCGAATTTCGTGGGGAGTCGGGGAATTGGTTATCCGAAAAGGAACCGAGACGGTAGCCCTAAATTAAAGCTGGCTACGGTACCTAATCGAGAAAAGAAATGGGCACATGCATTTATGCGGACACCTAGAGTTGCATATCGTATCTTACCTAAGCAGCATTTGTACCTACGTATCTACATAGGTACCTGCTCTAGGCAGTGGACCCAACCAACAGAAAGCTATTCCTGATAAGATAAAGATAGGGAGGTTCCAAAGGCTGCCCCTCCTCTCAGCTGTCATTTCATTGTCATGGACCTTGTCCCTGTGCCTCGCGCCCAGCGCCCATGTGACGGAAGCCGCGACTAAGGGACATCCGCCTAATAAGTGGAAGCTGCCTTCTAATAAATAAAGGTTACAAACATTCAAACATTTCAGCTTAGAAACATATCCCGGATACCTTCCTATTATCCTGCCCTTTAAGTATCCATCCGTCTTCTATCTTCTTCCGGCATTCAACATACACCTACTTCAAGTGCCGGTCGCTGTTCTTCTCATCTTACAGGCTCATCCCTACACGTCGCAGACAACCCTCTAGTCTTCGAAGAGGTCTTCTACTTCTACTCCTCCTACGCCTTCGACCCCTTTTACCTTACATCGTCTAGTTCGATTTCAGGCACAGAAGCAGAAATACCTACTTTTTCCTCTGTTAGTCTGTATCTGGCTCAAAGGCGCCATCATCGTCGTGTCGTCACTGGCTAGGAAGCCTCTCACGAAAATGAATATCATCTACTCGACTGTCAACACGATCCGTGACAAGTACACCCCTGTGAGTCATACTTCCACCTTTCGAAAGACGGGCCAGATCACTCCCGAGGAGTTCCTAGCGGCCGGCGACTATCTCGTCTTCAAGTTTCCAACTTGGTCCTGGGCAGACGCGGATTCGGAGTCGAAGCGTGTTAGCTACCTACCCCCCGGAAAGCAGTTTCTAGTCACTCGAAACGTTCCATGCAACCGTCGCCTCGATGAAGATTTTGCTGGGGATGCCGGGCATGAGGAAGCTGTCGTTGGCGACGGCGACGATTTTAATACCAAAGGTCGCGCGGATGATGACGGGTGGTTGCGCACTGGTGGTCTAAGCAGTTCTCAACCGCTCAAAGCAAAAGATGTTCGAACCGTCGACGATGCGGGGAATGTAGGAGACAGTATAGACGACGAGGATGAGATTCCGGACATGGAAGACGATGACGACGATGAAGCCATCATCCGAGATACTGATCCGCATAAGAAGACGGGGTAAGTATTCATCCAATCTCGCACCCGGTGCTTTGGATCGAGAACCAAGTGCTAACAGGATACAAAAGGGCTCGCCGCACGTACACCCTCTACATCATGTATTCTCCTTACTACCGAACGCCCCGTCTCTACCTCTCTGGTTACTCCGAAGGACAGCCCCTTGCTCCTCATCTTATGATGGAGGACATCGTTGGAGACTACAAGGACAAGACAGTCACGTTGGAAGACTTCCCTTTCTTTGCCAACAACGTCAAGATGGCTAGCGTGCACCCCTGCAAACACGCGTCAGTTATGAAGACTCTTCTGGATCGCGCGGACGCAGCACTCAAGATTAGGCGTGACAAGATGAAGTCGGGGAAAATAGTAGGCAACGACCCTGGCATGGAAGGCCTCGTAGATGAGATCAACAAATTAGATGTGAAGAGCGCCGAGGCCGCCGCTGAGTCGAGCAATGACGACTGGGAGGAGGTCGAAGTCGAAGATCAAGAGGTGGCTATCCGAGTAGACCAATACCTTGTTGTGTTCCTCAAGGTACGCAGTCCTTTCCTCGCCAACATTTTTGGGCAGTGCTAACTATTATATAGTTCATGGCTAGCGTAACCCCTGGCATCGAGCATGATTTCACTATGGGCGTGTAGCCTGTCGATATTGCAGCATTTATCTAGAGTGAACAGGCTTCTTAATTGTTAGTGTTCTCATGGCGGCGTTCGGGATTTGGATGCGGATTACAACGGGCTAGTTCGCAGGGTCTGTTCTTGTTTATTACCCCAGTGAATACTAATATCTGATCGGTGTACAAGCGTAGCTCTCTTAATGCGATATATATCGTAAATACGAACAAATCGTAACAGAAATTGTTCTGGGTTTGGCTGATGACCTCACTTCGCCCAGCCGACGCTGGATCAGAAAACCAGCTATGAACCCTGTCTTTATGTACCTAGTTGACAAGCCTATAAAGTGAAGATATCGCGCTTGATGCGATATCATCCAACCCCTTTTCTCTACCTATTCAGGCCAAGAGACTGACTGATATGCATATATAGTGAACCTATACCCAAAAGGATTCATAGAGGATTTAAAAATCCCACTGCAAGTAGCGTTCAGAGAGGCTTCTCGTGGCTCCGAAGGGCAGCGGCTTTGGAATTACCTTCCGTGGCGTCTTTCGAATCCTTCTTCGCCATGTCCTTTTCATCTGGCACATCTAAAGCCGATACAGTGGCAGGAGAATTTTCCCGCCAGAAATCATTTTTGCCCGCCGAAAGCCGTACCAACCACGGTGGTAATATACCACCAGAGACCCGCCAGGTCCAGTGATCCTTTTCGGCTTTGTTGGGCGGGACAAGCCGTCCCCCTGACGCTTTTTCGATCAACCACACCGTTGCGTTGAGCGTGATGTACAAGCAAATACCACCGATGAGTCCGTCCGCAATGCTGTACGTGAAAGGCATTGCGCATATAGTTACAAACTGCAGCATCCGAGGTCAGCGTTTACTCACGTTTGGACAACTTTGCCGTTGACAGGGAGATCTAAATGGGGGGGGTTTCTTTTTATAAAAAAAAATAAAAATAAAAAAATAAAAACCCCCCCTTTTTTAAAAATAAAAAAAAGACAAGTAAAGGATGAAACCTCCTCGCGGGAATAAGACCAGGAAAAGAGCCCATGCAGGATACTACTTACGGCAGGTACAGAATCACCAATATACCTCCAGTTGATCTCGGTCACCGCCTGCATCATCATCGAACCGACTAAGACCAACACGCAGCCTGTAGCCCATGGTGGGATTGAGGCAAATATCGGTGCAAAGAAAATAGAGATGAAAAAGCATAAACCCGTGGTTATCGACGTTAGTCCAGTTCTTCCTCCCTCGGAAATACCTGCACCACTCTCGATGAAGGCGGTGACGGGTGGGCTTCCTAAGAGTGATCCTATCGAGATACTGATGGCGTCGACCATGTATGCGATTGTCGATCCCTCGAAATCCTCGGTTACAGGGTCCACAACACGAGCAAAGCGAGCCATTGAATACTATATATGACGTAGATGAGAGTCAGCATCATAAGAGGTTTCCGGGAGTATTTCCCTTCTCAGTGAAGAGGCACGACTCTGGAATGGCCATGTGGCAAATTGGTAGGGTATGAATTCTGAATAGTGCTCACCAAAGTCCCCGTGCAGTCAAGGATATCCACATAAAGAAATGTAATAAACGCCAAGCCGAACTGACCTCCGTATTCAGAGATGTCCCATCGCTGAACCGTGAGAGTCTTGGTGATCTTGTGGAAGTCAACCACCTGCTTAAAGAAGTTGAATTCGTCGTCGCCCACGGCGGTATAAGGAAAATAAGTCACGGAAGTTCCTCGTGGCCACGAGATTATGCTAACGAGGAGAATGCCTGCTATTATAGCGCCCTTCACGCGATACATCATCAACAGCACAGTCAACACGCCACCGCAGAAAATACCAACCCACTACAACAACGAATATCAGCTTTTTTTTCTCTTCTTGGAGAAAGAGGTTGGAGAGCTTTAAGTACGCCAAAGGAACAACAACCCTTCAACCAACTCGGCTAAGAAGTTCACACTCCCAATATAGGTCAACAGGAGGGAGAAGAAACACGGGATATCACATACTAACGTTGGATTGCGCATCTTTGCTCCATCAGGGCAAAGTTGAGTGACAGGGTCTAGCAAGTCAGGCGTACAGCCGGCTAACTCAAGTGGCGTAGATTGTGCGCCAGTCAGAAGACCGATACCCTCGCTATACGTAAAGCCTATCAGGGTTAGGAAGAGACCGATTCCCACGCTCGTGGCGAGCTTTATCGATCGCGGAATGGCCCTTGCGAGCCATTGCCTGAGGCCGAAGAGGGCAAGGGCGAAAAAAACCCAGCCCTCGACAAATATTGCCGTCAAAGCTACACTGTACGGGACTGTGCCGGTACCATGGTGTCCAACCACGGTATACGCGAAATATGCATTCAACCCCATACCGGGGGCCAGAGAGACTGGGCTATGAGGGGGCAAGTTTTCAGTTAACTGCTTGTCCGCAAAATGATGGGAATGGGTCACGACACTCACAGGTTCGCGAACAGGCCCATGCAAAATGATGAAAGTGCACTGATGGCGGCCGTCGCAGTAACGAGATCGCGTTTGACTTCGGCGGCACATAATAAGTAATCCTCGTTCACGTCACAGATAGGATCATCCGCTCCGCCATTGCAGACACAGGTTCCTATTTGCAGTTCTCAGCTCTCCGAATCTCAGGGCGATGGAACCGACTATGGCTACATACCGCCAGTATCAGCTACGATGCTGGAATTGACAGCAATGATGTAAGCCATAGCAAAAAAAGCGGCGACGCCAGCGCGTAGCTCGGTGAAGAAGTAGGACCCCTTTCGTTCCTTGGGCTATTTCCCGAGATAGATGGCTTGTTAGCACCCAGATTTCACATTGGACGTCGCAAGTGGGAGTACGATCCACCTACATGACCAGATCCTTCGAGTTGGAACCATCTTCCAACGGGGCTACTCGCGACCCCGGAGTTGATGCGATGAACCCACCCCATTTTAACGAGTGACAATGAACCACAGCAAAGTGGCTTCTGGGGCGAGTGAAGAGTGTAGTTAATCAGCCGATGAATCCCTGGTCGAGGCTGGATAGGGGAGTCAGCATGCCCACGATTCGATTGGCTCTACTATTGGAGAACTATCTTATAGGTGTAGCTTCAAAGAAATAACGAGAAGCGTCACCGAAGGAGTAATTGACGACGATATATGCGGGATATTGATCACCTACGCGCAAAGATTAGAGGATTAGAGGTCTTAAGACACATGGCACGCGAGCATCGGGAAAGAAACAGAGGGAAAAAAAGGATCCCAAGCTAGTCGGGGACCGTGAAAGATGTCAGCTCGTGCTGGGCCTTGGCTAGTGACGACTTACAGCAAATCAGATGGGATAATACCCTTACGGATCTTATCACTAGATCTTGGCCTCAAACTGGGATGTTCTAGATTACCTTCGCCCCCCTTGTTATTTAACCGAGGACTAGCTACGAAGACGGTGCAAGGCTACGAGGACGGCGTTCGACAAGAATGATCGCTATTTGATTTTCTTATTCGCCGTGACGGACTCGAACAGTGCCAATTCTCGGGCATCTTTCAACTACACGCCTCTAGTCGACTTTGTCACCGTGAAAACGATCTTGGCAAAAGTAGGATCTAAAAAGTATCATTTTCGGGATTAATAAAGGAATTAAAAGAGAAGAAAAGAAATGCAGGCTAACAACCCACTAGGTAACCCGCCACTACCACCCGCAGAACCAGATGTGGTAGCTGGGAAAATCTAATAATATTATTATACTCGGATCCATCGACAACACGACTGGCCCCTTTCAAGGCCGCTAGTTCTAGGATAGCATATAATCCTATCTCTTATACTCTACCCCTGCCTCATCCAAGACGTTATTTCCGACCTGACCCCCCCTCCCCCCTCCCTAGACTCATCCTCCTATCCAAACTCCGCTCATATTTCGACCTCGTTAGTCTTGGCGGTGGCGTCTCGCGCGTCTCGCCTGACATGTTCAAGCTCTAGCTCTAGCTGCTTGTTGACATTGCGCTGGACTTTCTCTTGAACCTCCTCACCCTCGAACATGAAAGAGAGCTCTTCCAGTGTTCTGTTATGCGTCTCTGGAAATAGCAGGTATACCGTCCCGATTTCAACCACAATCCACACACAATAAACTAAGTAATACTTCCATCCGATGCGGTCCAGTGCTATCGGATTTACATATGTGTTGAAGAAGACGGCGAAGCGAACAGTTAACTGCTGAACCGCGATACCTTTAGCTCGCTGCTGGTATGGAAATATCTCCACCACTACAATGCCCGCCGTGAGAATTCGCTAGTTAAACGGCGATGCGCCAAGCTCTGTGGGCAACTTACTATACGTGTACACCAACGAATTCCATCCGATGTTATAAAACTATGAGCAGATCAGCCCAGAGAGTTCATCCGGGAATGCGGACCGACTCACAGGAGAGTAGACGAAGATGAAAACCAGGACTGGGATTGCAGCCGCCGCCGTGTTTTCGAGGGCGAATCGTGCTGAAGCTATAGTCCACACCGTGTAGACGACCGCAGTGCCAATAGTGCAAGTTAGGAACATGCTACGGCGACGAAATCGGGGTGCTATTATAGCGATCGGAACAGCATTTATCAACCCCCAACACGTGTTGCTCAGGATGACCTTTTGTACAGTTCGATTCTCCGTGATGCCGACGAGATTCAAGATCTTCTTCACTGCGTTGTGTTAGTATGTTATGGTATATATATATACATTGGTGTTTGGAATCAGTGAACTCTCTGTTCAGGTGGCAGAATATAGATGACCGATATAAACATGTAGTAAAGAAATAAAAAAAAAAATAATAAAAAAAAGCGAAGTCTCAATAAGAATATCCTTTCGACCTACTATACGGCTGTCAGTACATTACACTGTGGAGGCAGATTGGCAGGACGGTGAGATTCAGGGGGTAACTCCAAGAATGGACGGCTCAATTTTATCCTCGTATGTGGCGAATTGCACGCACCTGTAAAAGCTAATAAGTCCGTTGCCACTCCACTGGGTAAAGAAACCGACTATTCCAGCAAGGAGAAATCGGCGTCTCATCGGGGGATCGCTACGATATAGTATCAGCATCACATTCACGAGCTGAAAAATAAGTAAATATCAACATACCGATACACGTCAGCCCAAACGAAAGCCTTGGCGGTCTCCTTCTCCTGCGCAATAGTACTCTGAATCTGCGCAAACTCGAGGCGAACAAATTCCCTACCGTTGTCGCCCTCGCCGTGGTACCTCTGGAGAATAGCGTACGCTTCATCGGCGCGATCAGTCGAAATTAGAAACCGAGGGCTCTCGGGGCAAAATGGCATAAAACATATCTGGCACAAACTAGGCACTAGCTGCAAGAGAGACGGTAACCTCCAGGCCCAGGTGCTGTCCATTTGAAATGTTCCGTATGTAACACCCGCGGCAACGATGGCCCCGACGTGCCAGGATGCGCTGAACAAAGAGGTCATAGTAGGCCTTTCTCGTTCGTAAGATAGCTCTCCGACGAGCGAGGAAGCATTTACGATAGCGAAGGGTATGCCGAATCCTAGGACCCAACGTGAGGCGAGAAACATGTCACTATTCCGTGATCCTGCCTAGAAGGGAGATGTCAGATATGTTATCATCAGCTCTATAGTATTCGGAACGTGTTTTTTTTAAAAAAAAAAGAAAAAAAAAGAAAAGAAAAAGAAATAATAATAATGATAATGATAATAATAAAAGATAGATAAAATAGAAAGAAGGAACAAAAATGCAGCTATAAGCGCATTACCTGAAGCCCAGCACCCATACATAGGATCCACGATCCTATCACAATAGACCAACGGCGGCCAAGGTATTGTGATACGGAAGGAACGAAAGGGATTGCCATTAGAGCTCCAAGAGAATACATAGCATTCAAGAGACCAAGTTTACCCTCCGTGGGATTATCAAAATCATCGACCCAAGACGATACAGCCTGTAAAGAATTCATCATCGAGGAGTCAAAACCCGAGGTCCATTCGACCCCCAATGCACAAGGAATTAGTATCTATAAATATGAGTCAGCTATGAAGTTATGTAGTCTTAGCAGAATCTGGACCGAAGTAAATAGGGCTCTGCAAACGTGGGAATTCACATAGGGGAAAAGGAGGGAGAGAAGATCGAGGCTGGGTGGTGTTGGTCAACTTTTAAGAAATAACTAACAAGGTATAATGCTCGTAAATTTGGCTTTTGATGCCATTTCTTAGTGTCATCCTGGGCGATATTCGCCAGGCGAGGGTCGACATGATGCTCTTTACCCCCAACTATCGCCATTATGACAGAATCCACACAAAGCTATACGGGTAGCAGAAGTTGTAAGAAAGAAGAGAGGTGAAGTTCTCCCTAGGACGATAATTACAACCGTTATGATATCGTAGAATCTGCCGGCTTGCAATCATGGCGTCTCACCGATATGGAAACGGGATCCGAATATCCGCATTTGATTTCACCCAGACATTCAGCCGCCTGTCTGCAAAATCTCATATGGTAACACATAATCGGCTCCAAGGGCAAGGTTATTATGACGCAATCTGTGTTTATGAATTGGGGCCAATATACCTGTATGTATCCATGGGGGAATGAAAAGCGATGCATCAAGTCCGGCTTTGGATCCCTCGGATACACCCGAGATATTCAATGGCGTCAGTTTTCCACAGCATCATTTGCAAGGCGGTCCATATTTTCCACGAGCCAATCCATGTCAGCTCTAGTAATATCAACACCTGCCGAATTAGCTGTCGAACAGGATACATATACCATGGGCCCTAGATTTAATGGCATATCAGAAGGACTTGTGTTTCTCGTCCATCTTCTCAGACTTCGTATGGTGTGGGTATGGCGCGCTGGTAAGTAAAACCAACGGCCTTTGTGATGGCTTGCCCAAGCTGCCAAGGGAAAGTCGGGTCACCTAGCCCTTGACTCGGCTGTAGCATTGGCCCAGTCCTCTTTCGGCAGGGCAAAAAGGCTAGCTAGGGTCGAGACACAAGGCATCGTGCGATATGGGAGATGCCTTCGCGATTTATAGCAGCACTAGCGGCACTTGGGCATTTGCCAAGTCTCGCGAGGAGATAATGTCCATGAGTCTATTGCTCCCGTGTCTGACCACGACAGGTCTGCCGAATTGGGGGTCATTGACAAGCGTATATGTACAGGATTGGGTCACTCGAAAGATGGCCAAGTGGGCGGTCGAGTGAACGGCTTACGGCGTATCAAGGACCTCGGTTTCTTCGTGGCCAGGGAGATGGCGAGTACGAAAGAAGAACACGGTGAGGGCGGAGCAGGGCGCAGGTCAGATCCGGGCCCTGTCCAACTGCCACTCTTAAGGGGAACAATGAAAGGTGCCTTGAAATAACTTTGGGGTAACTATAGCATTAATTAGGCGCTTTCACCAGGAATGATGGCTTTAATGAAGCCCATTTGATAACAAGCTATTTTCTACATCCATAAAGGCCTATCATAAAACGGCAATTCATAAAAATGTAGGGGATGGCTGTAGAAGTGTCAGGAGCCATATCAGTTGCCGGCGACCTGCTATCACCAGTCGACAGACGGTCGTAGAGGAGTCTGTCTAACTGACGATTCTTCTCCTTCGAGTAGGAACGCGTTATCACCAAGGATAGGCAAGTTCTGATCTATACTCCATCTTATTACTTCTTCGTTAATGACTGCCTCCCACTTCATAATAGCGGGATGTTCGTTTGCAACATCCTCAAGCAGGATATCGCCCTCGGTAGTAGACCCGACGACCAGATATTTCCAAGTTCCATCCGACGCCCAGTATTTTTCGGAAAATATAGAGTCTGTGCTTAATTCTTCGGCTGCGTTTGAGAGAAGTTGATCAATATATGCCGAACTGTGGTGACCAGATTCGTTTAAGGCGGTAGCGACGCCTTCAATAAGACCAAGTATCCGACCAGCCTTCAGTCCTAGGTTTGCACCTAGGTCGAAGCCTTCGTCAAATCCTATCTGAATGCTTTCGGCTTTTCCGGCAATGATACCATCTCGGTAGCCTTCGGTAGTGTGTTGAGTTTGGAGTCTTTGGGTATCCAACAATATTCCATCATCAGATTGAGATTGGTTCTCATCGGGCGCTAATGATAATTGGGGAAGATCCACCTCAGCAAAACCAGAATAGGGATTAAGGATGCTGGAATCATCAACATGCATTAGGCCCATTTGAGCGTATGAAATGTTTTCCATAAGGTTTGTTGGAGGTAAATGCATTGTAAGACAAAGGGTTTTTTTTTTTTAATTTAGGTACGTGAGTTTGCGAAAGGATATGCTTAAGTTTACGAGGGATATTATATTGCTTAAATTTTTACGGGGGTTTTATTTTATCCCCGATTTCCGAAGTAAACGAAAACTTTTCCCAGCTTAAACTTATTAAAATAATAAATTTTTAAAATTTTATTATAATGCTTTAAGTTTACGAAAAGTTATTATATAATTAATTTTTTTTTAAAATTTTTTTAAAAAATTATTTAAATAATAATAAAATATATATATTTTTTAATTTAATTATATATTTAATATTTAAACCACGTTAATATAATAAATAAAATTAATAAAAAATATATATATTTTAATTTAATTATATATTTAATATTTAAACCACGTTAATATAATAAATAAATTTTTTAAAATTTTTTTAATTAATTTAAATTTAAAATAATTAATTATTATTTATAATATTATAATTAAATTTTATTAAATAATAATTTTATTTTATTCCCGTTATTTTTTAAAATAATAATTAATTTAATTTTTTATTATTTATTTAAATAAAGTTATTTTATTTTTTATTTTAAATTTTTAATGTAATAAATAATTTATTTTAATAAAAAAATTATTATATAATTTTTTTATTAAATTATTATAAAAATTTTATTTTATATTATATATATATAATTTTTTTAATTTATATAAAAAAATATTTATTAATTTTATTTTTAAAATTAAATTATTTTTTTAACACGTTATAAATTTAAGTTATTTTTTAAATTTTTATCGGTTTTAAATTTATATTAATTATTTTTTTAAGTTTTTATTAATTATTTTTTAAATTTTTATTAAATTAATTTTTTTTTAATTATTTATTAAATTTTAAAAAAGTTTTATTAATAATTTAAAAAAATTATATTAATTATATTTTATAATTATATTATTATATTAATATAAAATTTATATATTAAATTTATTAAATTTATATATTAAATTTATTATATACGAAAATTTATTCCGTAATAATACCGAACGTTTTTTATAAATATTCGGAATAAAAAATAAATAAATATTAAATTTATTATTTTAACGAATTTAAATTAATAAGCCCGTTTTTAATTATATTTTTTTAATTATAATAAATTTTAATTAATTAAATTATAAAATTCCTTTAAAACATTAAAAATGTATTATTAATTTAAATTAATTTAATCGTTTTTTCTTTTTATTAATAAATTTTTATTTTTATTTTTATTTTTATTTTTTAAAGTTATTATATATTTAAATATTTTAATTATTAAAAAAATTTAATTATATTATAATTTAAATATATAAATTTTATTATTTATATTAATAAAATATAATTAATTTAATCGGTACGTTTAAATTATAATATAATTAAATTTTTTTAATAATTAAAACACGTAAACGCGTTTATTTAATTAATATTTAAATATATTATTTAAAAATAAAAATTTAAATTATTTTTTAAATAAATAATTTTTCTTATATAAAAAATAATTATTAATTTATTTTTAAATTTATTTTTAAAATTATTAAAATTATTTTAAATTAAACTTTATAAAATAAATTTTTATATAATAATAATTTAAAATAATAAATATATAAAAAGCTTTAAATATAATATTATTAATTATTTAATTTATTATTAAGTTTTAAATTAATTTAATCGTTAATTATAATATTATAACTTTAAAATAAATAAATATAATTTTTATTATCGATTTATACGTGGATTTTTTTCCGTTTAAACTTAAAATATTTTTAAATTATATTTAAATAAAATTTAAAATAATTAAAAAACTTCGGAAATTATTTTATTAATTCCGAAATATAATTTATAAGAAATTTTATACGTGGTTATTAAATAATATAATATTTTATATTTAAAAATAAATTAATTTTATATTAATGGAATTATTTTTAAATTAAATTAATTTAAATTAAATTTTAAAAAACGTTACGCTCGTTTTATAAATATAATAACACGGGTTAAATATAGTTAATTTTTTAAAACTTAATTTAAATTAATTAAAATAATAAATTTATTAAATTTATATTAATTAAATATAATTAATAATTTTTAAAAAAAATTATATTTATTATTAATTTTTTTAAAAAATTAAAATTTTAATTTTTTTAATATATATAATATATATTAAATAAAATTATTTTAAATTTATTTTTTAAATAAAATTAATAAAACTTTTATTAATATATACGGAAACTTTAATTATAAAATTTAAAAGTTTATAAATTAAAAAATTTCCCCATAATAAAAAGTTTATCTTTTTTTAAAATACATGATAAAGTTATTATATAATAAACGATAAAAGTGGCGGTTATATAAAAAGCACGTGTGTTATATACGAAAAATTAAATAAAATATTAAAATTAACGTTTAAAAATAATTTCTTTTTTTAAATTTTTAAACTTTAATTTTAAATTTTTAAACTTTAATTTTAAATAATTATAAACTTATTATTTATTATTTAATTTTATTTATTTTATTTTTATATTAATTTAATAATATATTTATATTATATTTAAAAATTTAAAATTATTATATAATTTAAAATAAATTATTAATAATTTTAAATTTCGAAAAATTTTTAAATAAATTATTTAATATTTATAAATTTTATAAAATTAATAATTTATTATTAATTTTTTTTTTATATTAAAAATTTTTTTTATAAATTTTATAAATTAAATTAATTATTTCGTTTAAATTTTAAATTAAATTAAATAAAAATTTAATATTAAGTTATAAAAAATCTTAAAAATATATTTAAATTTTTTTAAAATAATAAAATTAAAAATTAATTTATATTAAATAAAAAATATAATAAAAATTATTATAGTTTAAACCATGTTATAGTTTAAATCGGTTAACTTTAAGTTCGGGCCACTTTGAAATGGCGGTAAAACGTTGTTCCGGTATAATAAAAAATAAAAAATATATCCCCGTAATTACGAAATTATATAATTATTTTTTTTTTAATTTTTTCTTTAAGTAAATTAATATATATAATCATTTTTTAAAAAATTAAACCATTATATTTAATTTAATTAATTTAACCTTTAATAAAAATAAAAAAAAATTAAACCGAATTTTATTAATATTAATTATTATAAATTTTTTATTAACTTTATAAAAATTTATATTAATATTATTATATTTTATATTAAAACCTTTAATTATATAATTAATTTTTTAATTATTTATTTTTTAATTATTTATTTTTTAATTAATAAATTTTTAATTATTAATTTTTTAATAAATTAATTATTTATTATTTAAATTATTAATAATAAATAAGGTTGGAATTTAATTATTAATAATTAATTAAAGCTTTAATTAATAATTAAAAAAAAAACTAAAAATTAAAGTTTTTAAATTATTTTTTTTAAAACTTTTTTTTAATTTATTAAATAAAAATTATAAAAATAATTTAAAACTTATTTTAATATTTTAAAGTTAAGTATTATTTAAATTTAAAGGAATGGGAATTTTGTATTTTAAATTTAAATTATAATTAAAAGTTAAAATTAAATTTAAGGTTTTATATATATTAAGTTTTTAAATTTTTTTTTAAATAATAAACCTTTAATAAAATTAATTATATTTGTTTAAATTTAAAGTTAAACTTTATAAATAATTAAAAAAAATTAATTTTTAAGAATTAAATTAAATTATTTATTAAGGTTTAAAATAATAAAAAGATTTTAATAAAGGAAAATTTAAAGTTTCGAAATATTAAAGCTTATTTATCCCATTTTATAATATATTTAAAATAATTAATAATTAAATAAATAAATTAATTATAATTATATAATTATAGTTATTTAATTTAATTAAACTTGTTAATTTAATATATATGTAATATATATTTATAATTAATTTAATTAATTAATTATTTATAATAATATTAAATTATAAAATAAAATTTTTAAAACTTAGAAAAATTTTTTAAAGTAAAATATTTAATTATAAAAAGTTAATTCCTTAATAAAATTTTCCACCTTTAAAAATTATTTTAAGGCTTACTTTAAGTATTATAATTATAAGCTTTAATAAACCTTAAATTTAAAGTTAAATATTATATAAATTTAAAAAAGGTGGAATTTTAATATTTATTTTTAATTTATAATATAAGTTTAATAAATATTTTTAATATAAAAAAACTTAATATCTTATAAAATAATTTTTTAAATTAAATTAAAAACTAAAATAAATAAGTAAAAATAAATAATTTTAAAAATCTTTATTTTATTTGATTTTAAATTTATAAAACGGGTTTTTATTTATTTTTAAAATAAATATTTATAAAGTTAAAAATTTTTAAAAATGGTAAAATAAAAACTTTTAATTTTTAAGTTTTTCTTAATTATTAATGAAGATTTTAATTAAAATTAAATTAATTAATTAATTTTTTTATATAATCTTAATTAATTAATTAATAATTAAGAAATAATTAAAAATTATTAATTTTTTATTTATTTTAATAATAATAAATAAATTTTTAAACTTTTTAAAGTTTATTTAATAATATATTTAAACATTTATTTTTAAAATAATTAAATTATTTATTATTATATTTTTATAATTATTAAATTTATTAATTTTATTGTTAAAACTTTTAATTTTAATATTAAAACTTTTAATTTTAATATTAAATTTATTATTAATATTATTAAAGTTTTTAATTTTAATATTAAGGTTTTTAATTTTAATATTAAATTTATTAATATTAAATTTAATATTATTAATAATAATATTATTAATATTAATATTATTAATTAATATATTAAATTTTTTTACATTAATAAAAAAATTACTTATTTAATTATTTTTCTTTATTTTAAATTATAAAATTATAAATTTAATATTAATATTATAAATAATAATTATATTATTATAATTATAATTAATTTATATTATTATAATTTTTATTTTATTATTAAATAATTTTAATATTTAATTATTAAATAAAATTATATTATTATATTTATAATTAACTTAAATTATTATTACTTTTATTTTAATTTTTAATATAATATTTTAATTATTATATTTTAAATTATATT